ATCCTTCATGTACGTTGTACAATGTAATATGTATATACTAACGCGTAAGATGACGCGATTTATCTTTACGACCTTTACTTTAATAGCTTTGCGTATTTATTCATACCGTTTCTCCTTTTCCCCTGTTTGACTTTTTTTTTACGACCGATATTTCGAGGGTGTTTGTTTCACTACACAGATCCTCGAGAAAGCCTCGCTCCCTCCTCCTTCTCGGCTCGTTTAGAGAATGAAAAGATATTTTACATGTCCCCGTCGTATTCGAAAGAATCGATAATTTCTTTGACTCGCGCTATCGTTAAAATCACTCTCACGATTCAACGTCAAAGGAGTTGAAACTTTTTTTGAAGACTCAGTCTTCCTCGATCTGGAAAGAATGTGATCATTGTCCTTGTCATTGTATCGTCATCATCGTTTTAACTCTTAAGGTCATCTTCCACTCGTAACGATAGGAGACAATGAAAGCGTGCGCCTTCAAGTGTCTCTTCAACGAGCAAAACGCTCATTCTGCAGTATTGCAAAGGTCTCGATTAGTCTTCGTGACCCAGGATTTGAAATATTTTTACATCTTTTTTTTCTTCACCTCCTTATACCCTCTCTCTCCCTCTTTCCCTCTATCTCTATCTATCCGTTTCATTTCTTCCTTCTCCTTTCTTAGGTATACGAAATATTCTCGTGTATATTCGATATATCCCTCGCGCTCGCATCGCTTCTCTGTCATTTCTATTGATAAAGTGCGAGGCAGCTAGGTACTCGTTCTCGTTCTCATTAATAATAATAAGTGGAACGGATTCGAACAAAGTGTGCTTTTCAAACGATCTCGAGAGCGTACAATTTCGATTTTTTAATCGTAAAGCGTGCATATACGCGTAATCGCACGGAATACGAATTGAAATAACATTTTGTTATCGCCTTTGGGATGTCTTTGAATTTTTGCCTATAAGGCAAAGAGGAGAAAGACGAATATTTCAAAAGCAAGCACAAAGGGTTACGTCTCGCATAGACTTTTATTTATGTCTATGACGTCTAATCGAACGATCGAGAGTAACTCGATTTCGAAAATATCGTGTTTAAAGGAGTTCTTTTCAAATTTTGCCGACGTCGAAGAAAATGCAAAATAGCACACGCGTTCTTACGACGAATTCAAACGCCTTTACGATATTACAATAAATACTTTACAAATGGCGTTTCTTCCCTTCTTTATAAATCATCCTTGGTCTCCGGAATCGACGAGTTTCGCGGTAGAGCAAACAGCGGATCAATATATACGATGTAAATTCGTCCGCGAGTTTGACAATTTTTCGTTCAATTTTTCTCGAGAGACGAAGAAATATCGTCAAGTATTAGGACAACGAGAAAATAGATTTCTCCTTTTCCTCTCGTGTCTTTTCTTTTGTTTCCATTTCTTTTTTATTCAATTCTTTTTTTTCTCTCTCTATTTTTTTGTTCCTTTCTCTCTTATAACCTTCTGCCTTGCAATCGAAATAAATCAAGATTTCACGTGGATATAAAGCGCATTTCGATTTTCAAATAGTTCCACCGTTCAGTTCGAAACTCATCTTCGCAAAGGAGTTGGAAAGGAGAGGCTCTCCAGGTCGAGTGACTGCATATTTCACGAACGATTCCTTAGAGAAGTTAAGAAGTAACGTCAGAATATTGTATCTGTAGTTACGGCCAAGGAATAAACAGTATATATCTCGAGGAAAAGTTCCAAAAGGCGGGTTAACGAACGATAAAATTAAAAGTCCTGAGTTTACGCTCGAATAAAGATTCTTTCAAAGGAGGCGAAAATGAGTTGAAGGGAAAAAAGGAAGGAATCGGGTCTATCGCGTGTGGTTCGGTTTTCAAAGATGTCGCATATTTTCGTGTAAATATACGACGAGACGTGCGACGAGATGATGTCGCGAGAAGATGGAAAAAGGAGCGTAGCGAAAATAGAAAGTCATATTTAAAACGGCATACGTCCTTGTGTCATTCACGAGATACGAATAAAAGTGGGAGTCGAAGAATTTCAAGGTTGCTCGCAATTCGATTTTTATCGTCTAACTCTATTTCGATTTAGGATCGATATCAACGAGATTATCAGGCTTGAAAGACGTAATTAACGGTAAACCGCTATCGGTCGATACCAGAAATTCTTGCGCGAACCAATCACAGATTTGACAGGGATTCTGGATAACTGAAATACCAATCGCGTAGTATGCTCTTAATCGTCAGTTCGATTTCTATTTATTAGCCTTAACAAAGTTAATGGCTCGAAATGGATTATTATCGTTTAGGCCCTGGCTCGTCGTTATAGGTAATATTAGGTTTGCCTAGGCGTAGATACGTCGGGTTTATACGAGGGAAACTCGTTCTTCGATCGCTTCGAGTGCTCGAAGAACGAGCAGCAGGTAACCGGACCAGGGAGTCCGGCCTTTGCTCGAAAGCAAAGTGCCGAACTAAATATAACTCGTTAGCACCACTCGGCATGTATCTTACAACAGTGGCCACGTCTTTGTATCTATTCATCGGCATAGACGCCGTTGTCAGTCAAGCACAAGACTATCCTTTTGAATTTTCTTTCTCTTTTTTTTTTTCTTTTTTTTTTTTTTTTTTTCTTTTTTTCCTTGTGATTTTTCCTTTATCATGCTTTATCCAATTAAAACCTTCCAATAACTTGGAGTTTTGATGATCGCCATTCTACGCTTTTTGCATTTGTATCTTTTAATCGACCAGGACGATTGTTGTTCGAATAAAAAATGATTAGAAAATCGACGGTGCAATGTCGAACGGTACGAAAGGTGCTCTTTCCCTTTCGCAGATACGAAACTTAAGCGAAAGGACAAATGTTTTTTTCCTCATTAAAAGCGAATTTATTTGCATTGCAGCTCATGAATCGCGCATTCGAAAAGTTTGCGTTGCACCGATATCGAAGAAAAATCGAATATACTTCATTTACTATTCACCAGTGAAATTTCGACAAAAGCGCATTGATTCATTGACGAGTCGCGTGACTATCTCTATAAATTTGCTCAAACGCGTACCGGCCGTCACTTTCTATTTTATCATTCTGATTCAGAAACGTTTTCCGTAAGTGCGTCAGTGAATCGCGCCGATCCTATGTAACAACAATCAACGAGTTTGGAAAACCGGCCGATTGCGTTGAATGAGCGGACGACGCGTAGAAATAAACGCAAACGGACACGTAGAGCGCATTGTCGTTCGATTCCAAGTTCACGCATCACGACACAAGCTCGAACGTACGAAAAGCTTGCTCGCAGGTAGAGCATTCTAGTAGTTTGGCCTGACTAAATATAGCACACGGTACGGCTATAAATCCCAAGCTCCCGGATTCGGCGAGGGCCCACGCTGCTCTTGTTGTGCCACATCCTCCTCAAATCGGATGCAAAAGTCTATGATCGATGATCGATGCTCTTCTCATTGATCCAACAGCCATGAAAAATAGTCTACATAGACGCCAATGCTTTCTTCCTGATCGTCGACTTGGAATCCTTATTTCGACGCGACGCGTCGAAAAACGCGTTGAGAAAGGAAAATCCATTTTTCACGATTATCCTTAACGAAGTCTGTCCTTCTATATAATTTTCCGATAAAATAGTCATTCGGCGAATCGAATAAAACAAAGGAAAAAAGAGGAAGAGCAGAGTTGAAGAAAAGGGGAGAAGGAATCTGGGATAGAAAATGGGTCTGGGTAAGCTGGCATGAAAGAGACGTGCGCTATTGTTCTTTGAAAATAGAGCGAGCGAGGCTAACTTTACTCGTCAAAGAAACGCAACCCTTTTCCTTGTTAAATAAATTTCTATCGGGTGAGCAGCAACGCTCCCGTTTGTCTATCCAAGAGAAATAAATGATAAAGATCGCGAAGAGCTTGACCCAGGCCTACGCAAAGGATATTTCACTCGAAAGAATCAAATCAACCGTATCGGACTTTCCGCTCGGTATCATTTCCAGGCTTGGTGACACGCACGTAACAACAACGTTCACGTGTTTTCTATCGAAGCTCACACAACTTTTTAGTTTCAATATTTTCTACGATGTTACGTGCTCGATGTTCGCCAATTCGAATGGACTGGTTTATATTTATCCTCCAATAGTAGAGATTATTCTTCTTTTACGGCTATGGCGGTGCAACGATCAAAAGGTCATCCGCGTCTCGATTAATACCAGGAGTCACGTGCAGCTTCGAGAAAGGCGGCCGTACCTGTTAGATTACCTTGTACTCGCTGCGGCTACGTTTGCTCGCTCAGTTCGCGCTCTTGCAGCTCTCAAAGGGGTAATTGCGTCGTTTGACCCTTTAGCGGCCTCGATATTTCCCTTATTTTTTCTTCTTTCTCTTTTCCTCGTATCACTCCAGATTCGAGCGAGCGAGCGAGCGATAGACTCGACCTACCGCAAATCTAACGCAATTTCCAATATCTAAACGTATGCATCCCATTTTTTATGCCCTCGCCTTGAGGCATCATTTTTTTTCCCCCAAGTCGTGATATCCGGCGGAAATTTGTACCTTGATAACATACACTCTTCGGTGAAATTTCTCCTTGTGTGGTTTTACAAAACGAACTTTCTTCTGAAAGATTCGCGCGCGTACGTGGACACATAGACGAGCGAATCGGTTAATTCGAAATATAATATTTTATTCGCATCGGGCACGATCTCTTGGCACGTGCTAAATTTCTCTCCCTCTCTTAACAAGTTCCACTCGTTTCAAGCAGGTAGGACACACGGAGTGTGTTGTGTGACCTGTTGATTGGATCGAATTAGAGTGGTACGCGAGGGACCACTTTGCATGAATATATATATATATGTATATATATATATATATATATATATATATATGTATACATATATCTATATATGTATATATATGTAGACTATAAGAAAGACAAGATGTGATGGATCCGGAGTGGACTCGAGATCTACATACCTTTCTTTCTCTGCTTGCAAGCATTAATAATAAAAACTCTCTCGAAAAGAAGGAAAAAAAGTAAAATATGTTGCAGGTCAGGGAGGAAGGTTCGTAGGAGCCCAGTGCCGTAGCATGCCGGCGTGCTGGGTGAGCCGTTGGTGCGCCATTGAGTCCGCCGTGGTGGTAAGACAGTATCTCGAGGAGGGTACTCGAAGCAGTAGCAGCAGGAGCAGGAGGAGGAGGAGAAGAAGAAGAAGAAGAAGGAGCGATCTCGGCTGGAGAAGCAGCACGGAGCTCGACACTACCGACCGATGAGCGCGGGGGGGGATGGGGGCTCGGCGTTGGCTCCGTCAGGGCTGCCGGGCTCCCAGCCGATGGCCGCGACCCCCTCGACCGCGACCCCCCCCGTCACCGGGCAGCACCAGCAGATCGGACTATCGGCCGTCGTCGATCCTCATCAGGCCCATTCACAGACGGGCCCTGCCGGTCCCACTGGTCCTTCTACCGGCGCTCCGGCCGGTGCTGCTCCCAAGGCCGCGACCAAGAGGCCCGCCCGCCGTGCTGGCAAACCGCCACCCGACAGGCCTATCAGGGCTCTCTTTTGCCTGCCCCTCCAAAATCCCATAAGAAAGCTCTGCATCGGCGTCGTCGAGTGGAAGTATCCTTTGATCTTATGGTCGTTCCACGTTTTCGATCGACGAATAGAAAAAGAATGCTTTTTTTCACGTCGTCCAGTTTGACGTAAGAAAAGTTATCTTTTCGAAAGAACGATTAGTCTCCCGGTACGCCCATATACGATCGTTCTTTTAGAGCGATTAGTTTAGTTATTACATCGTTGAAGGAACAATACTCTCGTGTTGTCGTAGAAAATGATTAAAAGACATTGAGAGCACGCATTACTGGTGGACATTTGCGAAAGCAATGAGTCCAATGGCGCGTGGGTGCGAAATGGAATGACCATGAATTTCGTTCAAAAGGGGCATGCTGCGAGCCATGGAGATGGCTCCTATAGTGGATGGATACCTATAGCGGAGAAATGCCTGACCGCATTTCCACGATGCTCCGTCTGAGAATTTTATGAGAATGCTTTTAAGATATTCCCTCGCGTCGGTATACATGTATATATGTAAGCTACGGTAAGATAGAATTTTCCTTGGCGAGGTGACCAAAAAAAAGAAAAAAAAAAAAGAAAGAATGAAAGAAATAAGCTAGCACAAAATTCTCTGTTCCCTACGAGGGTCAATAAAAGAATTCCTTGGTTTCTAAAACCTCCCGCTGGGAAGCAGCTAATGGGAGAAAATCTTCATTAAGATAAGTGACCGTCGTTTTCCTTAATCAGAATCTTTTACTCGCAGACCCTTCGAATGGCTCATCTTAATGACGATATTTGCAAATTGCATCGCCTTGGCCTTCTACACGCCGTATCCGTTCGGTGATTCTAATCAGACCAACCAGTATTTGGTAAGTACTCGTCGTAAAGTCGAATTAGTCGGTACTCCTTCAACGGATCCTTTACGATCGTGATAAAGATCGCTCGGGAGAAACGAGATAGATACGGGGTAACTACGAGGTGTAGAGAAAGGAAAGAAAAGGGTGAAAGGTAAGAGAAAAAGGGGGGAAAAAAGAGGAGAACAAGAAAAAAGCCGAAAAGAAGAATAATCAAGATCTGTATAGCTATTGTATAATACGACGACGATAGTTCCGTTCGTCGAACCGTTTCAACGTGGCGCGTTATCGATTACAAGAGGGCAGGGTTCGTGGCACGAAAGTCGTTCGAGCTGAAAGTTCAATAATTGTTCAATCTTGTCGGCATCGGCGTGCATCCTACCGCACTGTAATTGGAAAGCACAATACGCGTCTACGGAGCGATGACAAAAGAAAAACGATATTTCTTATCTTTTTTTCCCGTGGGACACATCGAAAAGGCGGATTATTCTTTCGGCATTTAGCGTTCGACGCGAGAAGCTTTTGGAAAGCGTAAGGGAGGCGGGGTGGGGGTGGGGTGGGGTGTTAGGGTCAAAGAAAAGACAAAGAGAAGAAAAAAGAAATTGCGCGAGACGTCGGTCGCGTCGCGTAATTGTTCAAAGGACGGTCTCGAGCGGCTCGACGTTTCAGAACAAATCCTCTTCCACAACGCTAATAGACGCTCGTCCGTCGCAACCATTATATTTCGCACATCCATCTAGATAGATACATATGTACGCGGTGTATATAACTCGCAAGACGCGCATTGTGCCCGAGCTGTCAGAGACGGTGGTGCATTCTGCCTTTTAAGAATGCAATTTTCCCTTCTTTCGCTCAGATACCTGTTACTCTTAATTAGCTCGGCTCACCGACTAAAACAAGTTCTTCTTTTTTACGGCCGGCTATAAAAGCGCGTATCTATGCGAAAGATTAAAAATATCACACGCGCTGTTATATACCTATTAATGGGCAGGAACGTTTGAAAACGCGATTAACGTTTAAGAACGCTTTCTTCTCATCGAAAAATCGATAACCTTTTATATTCCTCGGGTAAAAACGACAAAGCTTGATACTTGGAAAGCGTAGGCCGTACGGATGTTTACACCCTCGCGAGTAACGTGACGCGTGTTCCTGTTATCAATACACGTCACACGCGATTCGTACGTACGATAACGTACGGATGAATCGATTTTGCCGACGACCATCCTCTTCCGTTTTTACGAAATTAAAATCGATCTTGATTATCGACGTTTACTCGATAAAAGAAAAAAAATTTTCAGACCGAACGATATCATTTGAATTTCAGGAAAAGATAGAATACGTATTTCTCGTCATTTTTACGGCCGAGTGCATAATGAAGATCATAGCCTACGGATTCGTCGCCCATCCGGGCGCTTATCTGCGCAACGGCTGGAACGTGCTGGACTTTACGATAGTCGTCATAGGGTGAGTTTTTATATCATTTTCATTCGATTAAAAACCTTAAAAAGCTTCATCGTCGCGCAATAACGAACGTTCGAAATTGACGATAATTATTGCAAATAATCCGGATAGCTTCCGTCGTCGGTTTGTCGGTCAACGTTCATACGGATTCGAATTGAACCGACGAAATGAAATAGCTGATTCTATTATTGATTCTAATCTAATTGGTCAACCATTGGATAACGATCGATAGGTTGCGCACGACGGTTTATCCTTCATGTCGCGGTTTAATCGACTTGAAAAGATACGTAAAACGTAGACATAGCTTCTCGTTCGCTGGATACTTAGAATCGTACAATACGATATTCTAACGATTCGAAGCATCTTTGCGTTTCGTGCTTCTTCGATTAATAATGATCGATAAGTTTGAAAAAGGAATTATCGTATTAGAGCGATATTATTTACGCGCGATATTAATAGGTAATCCGCGCTCGATCGAATTAACGCAATTTGCGCGATTGGAACAATCGGTGGAGGAACGTCGAGGACGGATTGCAGTCATCTCTGGGGGTGGGGGGAGAGGAAAGTTTTCATGACGTCGTAAAAGATGAAATCTAAGAGGCTCGTAACGATAAAAATATCGTTGTGAACGCATTGACATCATGGAAAGCGTTTATATTCGATTTTACAAATCGTCAAGTTCCAAGATCACCGTGATTTTCCGATGGATCGTGCATCGACATCGGCCCCGTCGTAATAACTCCTGTTCCGAAGAAACACGTTTATATTTTGATCAATAAGGTTGTTACGACATCGTCAAATTGTAAAACATTTTCATATTTTATTGTTCGTAGAATGATGAGCACGGTATTGGCGATGCTCATGAAAGAAGGATTCGACGTTAAGGCGTTGAGGGCTTTTCGAGTGTTACGACCTCTCAGGCTGGTTTCCGGTGTACCAAGTAAGAATCCATTTCGAAAGAGAAATACACGTTGGCGAATAAACGTGCATGCATACATAAATATATTAAGTTGTATATAATATATTGAAGGCGATTAAAGCACGTAACGTTTAATGCCCTATATACGATATCAACAGGTCTTCAGGTGGTCCTAAACTCCATTTTAAGAGCGATGATACCGCTTTTGCACATTGCCTTGTTGGTTCTCTTCGTCATCATCATCTACGCTATCATCGGCCTCGAGCTCTTTTCCGGGAAGATGCACAAGACGTGTAGACACAACGTGACTGGTAATGACTTTGGTATCTTTGAATAGCGTGGAAATAGGATTGGATGAGTGAGATAGAGAAAGAAAAAAAAGAAGAAGAAAAAAGACCGCCGCGAGAGTTGCCTACGTTCGTTAGAGCTTACGTTTTTTTTTCGAGCTAACGGAGAGACGGAAATGAAATTATCCGCAAGTACGCCAGGAGTAAAAACTTTTGGAGAAACTCTCACGAATGTTCGATGAAACAAATGGAAAAAATATTGTTTCCCGAGGAAACTCTCGGTTTAACCTCGAAACACAGTTTTCGAGGCGACACTATTTTAGATATGATTCAGCCAGTAGCAAAACCAAGTCGCCGTCTAATTATTCTTAGCGATAGAACCGTGGCTCGTGCTTACGCACGTCAGATCTTTTCTTCTCGGTAAACAGTTGCTTTATGAGAAAGCCATATGCGTGCGACAGATCTGTCGCTGACGATATATTTCTACGTGGAATACTTCAAGGAGGCGTTACATAGAAAGCCGAGTCGTGGATATCGGAGATGAAATAGAACTGTTGTTCATGCCAAATCATTTTATCGCGAGTTCGGGCTCGTACTGGACGATCGATCGTCTAGCTAATGGTCGAAAGGAGAGATGGATGGATAGGGAGGAAGAGAGAGAGAGAGAGAGAGAGAGAGAGAGAGATAAAAACATCCAACACATTCACATTTTAACTATGATTTTCGAGCGAGTATTTTTGCCTAGGAAGGAGAGAAGAAAGAAATTCGCAATGTTCGATTGCCCGGACGAGACCTACTTTTGAGATATGATATCGATCGAAAGTGATGCTAGAATAGCATAGAAACTTGAACAATTTTACAGAAAATTGTCTAACGTATTTGATAATTTGTTTTTTATTTCGCAGATGAACTAATGAGCGATCCCGTTCCCTGTGGTCCTATGGGTTTTCAGTGCAGTACCCTCGGACCCGATTTCTACTGCAGCAATCAATTTTGGGAAGGTCCGAACGATGGCATCACGAACTTCGATAATTTTGGTTTGGCCATGCTCACAGTCTTTCAATGCATCACCCTAGAGGGTTGGACCGAAGTACTTTACAACGTAAGTTTTTAACTTGGATATTGAAACGGATTCTCCGCGAAAGAGAGTGCTATTCGTTCTCTCTCCTTTCTAACCCCGGCCCTCCCTGCCCCTCTCTTTCTCTTTTCACGTCTTTTTTCGCAGATAGAAGATGCGATGGGAAGTTCTTGGCAATGGATTTATTTTATTTCCATGGTTATACTCGGAGCCTTCTTCGTGATGAATCTAATTCTCGGTGTGTTGTCTGGGTAAGTGTTACACGAAAGAATTTCGATTTGTAGATACGACTTCAAAAGTAGATACGACTTTGTAAATATAATAGAAGAGAAATTAAGCCGATTGTATTTTTACGCGTGGTCGTAGGTTGAATTTCAAATCTACGTCGGAGTATATAATATTTTCAAAGTGCCACTCGTCGTCTACCATTGTTTACGAAACTGTACAATCCATTATCGATGGACTTTTACTTTTGCATTGTCTTCTTCGTTTTTTTTTTCTTTTTCTCTTTTTTATTCTTTATTCCTCTCCGCTTCATAATTTTCAATGCATAGAACGGAAAACCTGTGTATTTTGTGTTTTCCGTGTTTCATACCGATATCAAGTTTCGTGTCTTTACATTCGCAGAAGATATTAAGCGTGCTTGCCTCTCGGCAGTTAAATTATTTCATTAACAATAGATTGATTTAATAGTATACATACTATACGCACGTAATGTCGAATACGATGTGACGTTGAATGCATTAAACGACGAGTTTGATTCCATCTTTTGTAGGTTTCATAGCCTGCGTAGGTATCTCTTAGGTATGCGCTCGTCTGTATCCGTCCTAAGGGAGTTTTGTAATCCTCGACTGGGGATGAGATATAAATATCTCTTTCTTTAGGTATCGACACACTTCGTTGCATATCGGCAAAGCAAACGAGCCGATCGATGCGTGAAAACGATATCGACGATAGGCGTTTATTTTCCCTCTCTTTTTACGTTTTATTCGTCGCTCAAGTCCGGATATACGCGAGAACGAGTTTTTCTTATAAATTCGTCATATCATCCAATTACTAATGATAATTCGAAAATGATCCAGTGAGTTTCTTAGATTTCTTTTTGATAATACTTCGACGTGGATATATTTGCGTGTTCGTTTATACGGATGGCCCAATTACGTTCGTTTCAAATGCCTCTAATCACGGCGCTATCACGGTGTATGCATTTACTTCGGATGCAGTGAGTTCTCAAAGGAAAGAGAGAAGGCAAAGGCTCGGGGTGACTTTCACAAGCTCAGGGAGAAACAACAAATCGAGGACGATCTCAGAGGATATCTCGATTGGATAACGCAAGCCGAGGATATCGAGCCGGAAGCCGACGAGCCCAAAGCACAAGATGGAAAGTGTGAGTGTGATTATATTACCTAAAGATTACCTCGTGCGATTTTTTCATCATCGGATCATTCGCAAGTCGACTCATGTTTCTAGCGAAACAACAAAACGAAATGGAGAGCACGGATCAATTGGAGGGCGACGAGGAAGGGATCCAACAGGAACCCGTTTGGAAGAGAAAGAAGAGAGATTTAGACAGGTACACAGTTCCGATGAGTTTTCCTCTATCGTGCGTGTTTCTTGAAATTTCACGAAAAAGAATCGAGAACTACGAGAAAGGAAAAAAAAAGAAAAAGGAAAAGAAATGAAACGAATCGTCCTTGATGAATTTGCAGGGTGAATCGACGATTGCGACGAGCCTGTAGAAAAGCCGTGAAATCGCAGGCCTTTTATTGGCTCATCATAGTGCTCGTTTTTTTAAACACCGTAGTTCTCGCGACCGAGCATTACAATCAACCGCATTGGTTGGACGATTTTCAAGGTAAAACCGAACGCGCGAGGAGAGTCCTCGCTTAAAAAAATATACTCCTTTACGTTGTATTCTCTCTCTCTCTCTCTCTCTCTCTCTCTCTCCTTTTCTCTCTGTTTTTTTTTTGCTGTGTTTCTCAATTACAGAGATCACCAATATGTTTTTCATCGCTCTCTTCTCCATGGAGATGATACTGAAGATGTACAGTTTAGGGTTTCAGGTAAAATATTCTTTTAGCTAGCGCTATATAATAGACATTTATATCTCGTACACGCTTCTCCTAGGGTTACTTCGTCTCTTTGTTCAATCGTTTCGATTGTTTCGTCGTGATCGGCTCGATAACCGAGATGATCCTTACGAACACGAACGTAATGCCGCCTCTCGGAGTTTCCGTGCTCCGTTGCGTCAGACTATTGAGAGTATTCAAAGTAACAAAGTAAGTACCGTCTGATCATTTCGTTGCCACCCTGCTACTCCATCCTCCAACGAATTATTTAAATCGGTCATTCGCAGCGAGAAATCAAAGAGATCAAATTGAATTCTTTTGTAGATATTGGAGATCACTCTCCAACTTGGTGGCTTCTTTGTTGAATTCGATTCAATCGATCGCCTCTCTCTTACTTTTGCTCTTCCTCTTCATCGTAATTTTTGCACTCTTAGGAATGCAGGTACGTTTCTAATATTCTCCCTCTTTCCACATTATTTTTCTTAAACTTAATTCCCTTACAGGTTTTCGGTGGAAAGTTTAATTTCGCCGATCTCCAGGACAAACCAAGGCACAATTTTGATAGTTTTTGGCAAAGCTTACTCACCGTCTTTCAGGTAAGAGAAAGAAATATATCGCGAAAGGAAGAGAAAACGTGACCACTGGAACGTAATTGTTCTTACGCACGAGCACGATTTTAATCGAAATTAATTGTAAGTGAAAAGTTTAAGAGTCACGCACGGCCAACTTTTTTCTTTTTACCATAACTACTAGCGCGTCCCTTTCCATTCTTCTATTTACGACTTAACAAAGCTCCTGGAACGAAACTAATACTCGTTCTAATTATCTTCGTTAGCGGAAGGTTATCACCTTTTCTGGCTCCTTCATTTTCACAGATATTAACCGGTGAGGACTGGAATGCGGTAATGTACGTTGGAATTCGAGCTTACGGGGGCGTTTCTAGTCCCGGCGTTATAGCCTGCACTTACTTCATTGTTCTCTTCATATGCGGTAACTGTATCCTTTTTTCCTTCCTCGTGGCTATCGTTAGCAATTATTTTTACAACCTTCAACGAGCAGACACGCAGACACGCAGACAGACAGACAGACAGAGAGAGAGAGAGAGAGAGAGAGAGAGAGGGAAAGAAACAATTTTAATAATAAAAAAATCTCGAAACGATTATTCTCTCCGATAATAGAGAGTTAAATCCTTAACGAACGAAGCAATGCAGATATCCTCCTGAACGTCTTCTTGGCCATCGCAGTTGACAATCTCGCAGATGCGGAATCGTTAACGGCCATTGAGAAGGAGGCTGAAGAGGAGGTAAGTGTAATTTCTAAATGAATTTATTTTAATATTGAGAAAAGATATCTCTTTTTTGTTATTATTATTATCATTGTACCATCCGCTGCGAGTAGCCTCCTGTATCGACGTTACTATGAGATGTAAAACGTTCGTGTGTCAGCGATGGCGATAATGTGTTCTGGTGGCAGTGCATAGAAAAAAATTGGAGCGGCAACTGATCGCTTTTATAGCCATTTATGAAGCTCTGACACACTTGCGAGTATCTCGCGTCGATGATGTTCGAAGCCGCTTGAGCGGACTTTTAACGCTCGCTATGAATCTTTTGCATCCACCTTATTCGACGTTAGCTCGGAACTGTTACGTGCACGCACCGCTCTCCGTCCCGTGATACTATATATAGATAGTCAAGTGTGCTTAAGCGCTTCGCGACAAAGACTAAATGAAAATATTTTTGATTTATAAGAATCATTTTTTCAACGTTTTCCAGAAATATAAAAAATGTTCACGCTGAGCGATTAAAATGTTAAATTTCATTCGACACGAAATAATAGCATTTCGCGCCAGGGGAAAGTAAAATTTATTTAAAGAATGCTATATAAGTTTTTGACGAAGAGCGATACGTACGAATAAATAATTCTTTTGCCGGCGACTAACGAACGTACGAAGAGAAAGAAAAGCCCTTGATCTACTTATATATTATCGCAACGGTGTCTTTCATTTACATGATCTCGTTACAAAAAAAAGAAAAAAAAAGAAAAGTTACGTTTCTAACGAATTAAGCAATTAACAAACATCGGATTAGTGTCGGACGTTTCGGAGTATAATAAAAAAAAAAAAAAAAAAAAAAAAAAAAAACCGATGCGACGAAAGGTCTAAAGGAGAAAAGGATGATTCGTTTTGATAGGCGGAGAAGAACAAATCTCACAGTGGGTCGCCGGCGAGAGATGAGATCAGCGGTGAAGGTGGAGATGGCGGAGAAACTGGCGGCGAAGACGAGGGTGGTGCTACGGATATGGAGCACGATCCTAATGAGACAATGGAGGATTACGAGGCTGCTTTGGACACTGAAACGTAAGCCCCGTGTAATATTACTGGTTAGATAGTTTCCTATCGTTAAGTTATCGCGACACGTTGTCGCGACGAAATGTTCCTGTCAATTTCGCCATTTGATGTAGATACGCCTTTCGCTCGATCCTTCCTTGTAATTTCAATCACGCGATCTATTACATATTGCATATAACCGAACGATTTTAGATCGGAGAAGAGCGACGACGGGAACACGCACAAAGTTCGTTTAAATATCGAAATATCGGACGAGGAAGCGGAGGAGGAAGAGGCCGAGCAGAACGAGATACATGGTAAATTGATTGCGTGAATTGTTGTTTTTTCTCTCTTTTTTCTTTTTTCTTTTTTCTTTTTTTGTGCGTATATCGAACCAAAATCGTTTATCCTTCGTATCGGACGTCGAATCGTTCCATCACCCTTTATATACCTTATACTTTTAAACAGCGTTCGAATCGAAAGGTCTCTAATATTTCACGTTGACCTGTTACGTTAGAAAAATGACCAAATATCCTAAGTAATGGAGTACCGGTGAAACGATTCTTTATGCATTCTCAAATTTTTCAACGTTTATCTTATCGTTAGAAGAAGGACAAGAAGTATCGGCCAGGCCACGAAGAATGTCCGAATACAACACGGCTACGAAAAAGCAACCCATCCCACCGGGTTCCTCCTTTTTTATTTTTTCTCAAAACAACAGGTAAATGCAATCAGATGATATCTTAAATCGATCGAATAACTTTTCTTTGCGTTTGATGTAACGCGACACTTTGAATTTTTAGATTTCGAGTATTTTGTCATTGGCTTTGTAATCACAGCTACTTCGGTAATGTGATATTAGCCTGCATCATGATATCGTCGGCCATGTTGGCTGCCGAGGATCCATTAAGTTCTTCTTCATACAGAAATCAGGTAGAAAAGCTTAACGAGTAATCGCTCGTTAGCAAAGTTGACTTTTTCGAAAATGTCAAAGATGTGGAGACGAAACATGTGTCACTCGTAAGCTCTTTTCATATCTTTCAGATCCTGAATTACTTCGATTATTTCTTTACTAGCGTTTTCACGATCGAGATCTGCCTGAAGATGATATCGTACGGATTTGTTATTCACGACGGTGCTTTCTGCCGATCGGCCTTCAATCTACTCGACCTTCTTGTCGTCTGCGTATCCCTCGTTTCTATAGTCTGGAGGTAAATAAGATGCTAAAGAATTTTATAGCGTTCCGTACTTGCTACTACCGGGCTTACCTCCTCCTCCTTCTCCTCCTCCTCCTTCTATTTCTTCTTCTTCTTCGTCCTCTTCTTCTTTTTCAGTTCTGGCGCTATATCGGTGGTGAAGATACTCAGGGTGTTGCGCGTTCTCAGACCGTTGCGCGCCATCAACCGTGCCAAGGGATTAAAGGTAGGGCGATTTCTCTTAACGATTAGAGCGACGATTACTTCTGACTCGTCGTAGTTACCTATGATAGACGCAAACGCGTCGCGATCAAGTAGATACAAGTAATAACGTGTAAAGAGTATTTACATTGGTTTAAACGCAACCGATGGATATCTAATATCCGTGATCTCTACGCGCATTTCCTTCCTAAATGAACAATCAACGACGAAGATCCACAAAGCGAGAACGTGCTAGAATCGAAAGAAACGGATCGGACGGCGAATCAACTGAAACGAGCGAAATCTCGAGGCTGTCGTCGTCTTTACGCCTTGCATGAGAATCTCTTGCGGAGATATTAAAGATCCTCTATATGAGGAGAGATAGCAAATAAATACATACGCGTGCACATACATATGTGTGTGTAACATGAGACTCGTCTACCTCTCGCAAAACTTTCTCGTGCGACGTGATGAAAAAAAAAAAAGAAAAAAAAAAAAAAGAAAAAAAAAATTATATATAAATGTGTGCCGACCACGCGTAATCTCTCTCGTGTAGGGCAAATCTATATTATGATTAATGTTGAACCCAGCACGTAGTACAATGCGTCATCGTAGCGGTAAAGACTATCGGAAACATAGTCCTCGTCACCAGCCTCCTGCAGTTCGTGTTCGCCGTCATAGGCGTACAACTTTTCAAGGTAGGATTGCCAGGCCCCAAATTACTAAAAAAAATAAAAGGTCCTCTGAGACTTACCATACCTCTCTCTATCTTTCTATATTTCTTACTCTCTCTTTCTCTCTCTCTCTCTCTCTCTCTCTCTCTCACTCTCTCTCTTCCTCTCTCTCTTTCTCTCTGACTGTCTATCTATCTATCTATTTATCTATCTCTCTCTCACACTCTTTTTCTCTCTCTATTTTCTTTCTATCTCTTTCTATTTGTAGTACACTAGAGTGGCATAAAGTACCAAAACAACCTTAATGATTACAACCTTCTATCATCATTGACACTTCCCTTCAAAATCATAAGTTCGTCCGTTCGTTCGTTCGTTCGTTCGTTCGTTCTTTCAAGCACTCAATGCAATGCCAATTAAAAAACCACAAAAAAAAAAAAAATCAAAAAAAATTCATAGGTACGCCTATGTCTTATTCTCGCAATCTTTCCGACGATTCAAATATTCTCTAATAATATTTACCAATTTATTTATGTTTTCAAGATAACCCATCGAATTTAACGTCGAAAGTTGAAGATTTGGAAAAAAAAGAAAAATAGAAAAAAAAAGAAAGGAAAGAAAAAAAATATTAAAATAAATGATCAAGAGAGATTGCGAGTACTTGGCGACCGTTGTTTCTTTTCGTCAAATGCACCTTTGGGTATCTTTCCTGCGAAGCGAGCTGTTTGCGTATAACTTAATAATTGAGTTTCTTGTCTCGGCACTCTCCCCGAAACCTCTCAACGCGACCATGTTTGTTTTGTGTAATTCCTCGAGCCCTTGTCGGAAAAGTTTGTTTATCCTAAAGCTGCTTTTACGATTAATCTATGCGCATTACCATCTCGATATATTGGATAAACATCAATTTGAATTGGTAACGATAAATAATTCTGCATAACGATTACATATCGTTAAATTGAATTTCAATCTGACATGGAGTTTCTTCATAATCACGTTGACGATGTCAAATCATTGCTTTTTTCATTTTATTCATTTATTTTTTATTTATACGTATGCGTAGAGATAATTCATGTAAAAGCACCTTGAAAACGAATAGAATGTATTCATAATTTTGTATACGTGCCACGTTAATCCCCGAAGCAATCGTGTAACGACGAATTTTTTCCCTCTCTTTCTTTACCCGAGTATAGAACCTAGTTTGTTGTTAATCGTTGTTCGATGTCGATACTAACATAATGACATAAAGACGGTAGAACACGATGCTTTTAACGATGTTAAGAAATACGACTGTTATCGTACTGTATATACTTTTAAAGGATTTTCAAGTACGTCGCTTTACGAAAATCCGTTGAAATAACGTCGTGTCGCGTCACATCGTTAAGCTATCGTGAAATAACGTAAAGACGAGTAAACGGGGAGGGAGGGGAGGGGGGGGGAGAAGAGACCGTAACTCAAGCAAAGCGAATAAAAAATGAGTTTTTTTTTTTCGTGAGACTAGAGACTTTGCGTAGGGTCCATTACGCCCTTCATTTTTTCTTTTTTTTTTAAACCCAAGCTTTCATTTCTTCGTTTTTGTTTCACTTTTTTGTCTATTTTTACACGGTCTCATATATCTATATATATATACACATATTATATATTACATACACATGTCTCTACTTCCTTTCGCTGTTACACTTCGCCGCTCGAAACTTTAAAGCTGGACTACTAAAACAGAGCAATTTTCATCGATCGACACAATATTTAAAACCGCCGCATATTCATATTCTCCTTGAAACACTTGAAAAAACATTACTATACAATTGCGTGCCGCAAAACTGCCAACTACAGATCTCTATTAAAGGTACGATCCCACGATCGGTAAAAACTAATCGTTAGTTACAAATCGAGCTATCTCTATATCTCTGTCGAGAAACATGGGATTGAAAAACTTGTGAGATGTGTAGTAAGTAGTGGTAAAAGACAATTCACGCAGGCTTTCCTGTTTAAAAAAGACTTTTGGTAGTAGAGAGATTGTTTGAAAATTGCATGCTTGTGCCGGCTGAGCGTTGCAGTGGTGTGCCGCTATATTAACACAAGAGAAAGGAATAAAAAACGAGAAGAAGAATGACACGGAGAAGGGGAAGAAACGGAAGAGGAAAAACAAAAGAAGGAGGCACTTTTAATGGCTTTTCATCATGGCTCGTCAACGAGAAAAGTGAAAGGAAAAAATGATGGAACCGACGAAAAGACACGGCAAATGGAGAATCGTGCTCCTTGCGTTTACCCAAGCATAATTGTTGTTGCTTCAACGAAGAGGCAATAATATATAAGTTCACAGATAGCTATCTTTTCTACATTTATCTTTTATTCGCTAGGTATATAGATCGACGAACGATCCCGATCATCCGAGGATAACTCCTCGTTGGAATTATAGTCGAGATAACAGTTGGTTTAATTTCCAAAGGAAATTTTGTAGTCGCGCGACCTCGTTCTTTGAAAATAGAAACGCAAACGAAATTCGTCGAGTAAGCGAAATTCCTTACGGAAGGTATCGTAAAAGATCGACGATAAGTCTTACGCGATTATATTTTCGTATCGAAACGCAACGAGAGGGATCGATCGATATCCAATACATATTAAACGTACAATTTAAACGACTTACCTCCTTGGGTACACTCCGCTTTAACCTCCAGATATTTGCGAAAAAAAAAAAGAAAAAAAGAGAAAAAAGAAAAGAAAAATCCTAGGTCAACAGTAATGGTCAAACAGTGTTCATTGTACAAAAAAGAATACGAGCTCGCGAATGATCGACGATTCTTTTCATACCGTTAACATTCATTTTGCACGGACTAACACATCGTTTAACTTTCGATTGATGGCCTAACGTGAACGTACAATACATATACAAAGAGATTTAGAAGATTGTAGTATAGTTTAGTCGATGTTCATAGACACAGTGTGTGTTTATTAGTTTCGTCTAATTAACCTTAAGCAAAAGCGAAGCATTTAGTCAAACACAAAATAATATATCGCTCTCGTAGTTTCATGTGTGTCGATCGCTTATCTCTATACGCTCCTCTCTTTCTCCTTTTTTCTCTTTATCTCTCGCTCTCTCTCTCTCTCTCTCTCTCTCTCTCTCTATCTATTTATCTATCTATCTGTCTATCTATCTATCTATCTATCTGTCTATCTATCTATCTCTCCTATAAGTATATGCGGCCAAGCGAGCAAATAGTCTTTTATACATACACACACGCAAACACGAACACACACGAGGACAAAAGAAATGTAGCATTTTATGAAGTATTCGCATTGATTTGATTTTAGCTAGATTGCGAGTGCCTAGTGTTCGACGGAATGCGAGAGGATGATGCAAGTGTTCCGAAATTTTAGAATGAAATAGCGAAGCGAGACGAACGAGCCGATGACGCTCGACTCTCTTATTCTTAATTTAATTTTGTTAAGATTTCGAAAAGACGCAACTTAGCAATTTTGACGGAACGTAAACGATCCGCGATGACTATCGTTTCCCGTTTCTTTTATTTCTCTCTCTCTCTCTCTCTCTCTCTCTCTCTCTATCTCTATTTCTTGCTTTTTTTCTCTCTCTCTCTCTCTCTCTCTCTCTCTCTCTCTCTCTCTATCTCTATCTCTATCTCTATCTCTATGTCTCTTCTCTCCAGGTTAAACTCGCGAACGTGACTGAATAGAAAAGCACTCAAATTGGTGCGATCGGTGAGATTTCGAGGAGGAACGGATGACGATGTAAAACGTTACTTTAATCCCATAGGTGCATTGCCGAGAAAAAATGAACACCGCGATAACCAGCAACAAATAGTGTGGGTTGGATGGATGGCGAGGGCTTAGTTCACGATTGAAAAGAGAAAAGCTCACATGATCGCGATTCGCGTGTGCGTGTATATGTGTATACACCTATATAAGTTTGTATGTCATGGTTTAAAAGTCAGGCTGCGAGAAAAGTTAAGAAAAGAAAAGAGGGTATAAGAGAATGAAAAAGAAAAATAAGTAAATAAAAAAGAAAAAGAAGAAAAAGAAAATGGATAAATAAAAGGAAAGCGAATCGTCGTACGAACGATTTAACTGATGAAAGGAGAGTCGAGATGGAAAGCGAGTGATTTGCTGGGTTTAAAACCGATTTAATGCCAGTCTCATTATCGTTTTCCTACAGTTATCTATTCGGCTCTTTCTCTCCGAGCGCGAAGAGAGCACCCTTCAAAACGAAATTTCGTGAGAAACGAGATACGATTTGCGCAAGAGCTAAGCCTCGTTCGCCTCCCTGTCTATAGTCGTCCTAATACATTGGATGTATTTTACGCGCGCGCGTATGTGTGCGTGTGTGTGTGTGTGTGTGTACATACAACGTCGTTAATCGTATCGGAAAGAAGAGGCAATGCTTACCGGTAGCAGATCGCTTTCATTTTCCTCCTCCTGCTATTAGCGGTAATAGGTCACGAGAGACAAACGAGAGATCAATCAAATACGATAGGAGCTTTAGCGAAAGGAGATAAATATTTATGAGAAAAACAAGAAAATATCAAAAGAAACGAAAAAAATGAAAAGTATGATTGAATGGAAAGGAGCGAGATAACGTTCGTGCCCACCTATGCGTTCTTTTCCTCTCTAACGTTTTCCCCTTTAATATTAATAATAATAATAATAATAATAGTAATAATAATAATAATAATAATAATAATAAAAGAAAAAAAATAAGTCGCACAGCCCCTAAAGAATGAAAATAGCTACACCCCCGATTAATGCTATTCTATTTTTTTTTTGTTTTCTCTGTCTCTCTTACTCTCACCACCCCGTCTTCCCCGCTGTGCTCGTACGCCCTGCTCACCTGCCCCGAACTACGTAAAAAGTACGTAGTGAAGTGTGTGATTGTCGCCATTAAAACGATTGGCAACATTATGTTGGTCACCTATCTCCTACAGTTCATGTTCGCTGTTATCGGGGTACAGCTGTTTAAGGTAACGCCAACAACACCATCACATTAGAGGCTATGATTATAAAGCAGCGACGATCTTTTCTCTTTTCTTTTCCTTTCCTTTATTTTTCCTTCCCCTTTCTCTCTCTCTCTCTCTCTCTCTCTCTCTCTCTCTCTCTCTCTCTCTCTCCTCTCTTCGTCGGCGATAGGCACTCTCTCTCTCTCTCTCTCTCTTTCTCTATCTATCTAGCTCTCTTCCTGTTTCTCTCTCTCTCTCTCTCTCTCTCTCTCTCTCTCTCTCTCTCTCTCTCTCTCGTCTAAAACTCGCTTTACAAGCCGTTTCCCGTTTTTCGGAAACTCGAATTTCCTTCGCGAAATACGCGGTGGCCTCAAAAGGAAATCGACGCATGGCGGATATCGCTGATTTCGTTACAACGATTGGAGATTGGAAATCGAAGATATAGATTTCGAAGCTAATACGACAATTGCGATTTTCGATGCATTAAATCTGTCTATCGATCTGTTTTCTGCGATTCGAACCTTTCGAGCACTTAGGCACCACGTGTTTCGATGATGTTTGTGCATGTACTTACACGACCAACTTTGATGTACCATTTAAATATAACATTTTATCGAATTAACCCTAGACCGTACTCTCTTTCATTCGACGAAGAGAAAGGCGATAGCAACGGGAATATATCATAAATAAAATCGCATTTGATACCAATCGTTGTCACGAGATTTACCAAGTTGAAGGCGCGTGTATTTACATAACGATACTGTATTGCGATACTTGTTCCTATCGATCCTATATTAGACTTAAACATCGCGAAAGACCATGTGACAGTGATTGATTATCTTAAACGCGTTATCTCTGGTTGCTGTCGATACTTCTCCTCGTGTTAATGGTTACGTCATTATCGGAGCACGGTAATACACAATAACACTGTTAACAGTTTCGCGTCTAAAAATCAAAGGAGGTCACTAAGCGGATATATTTTATTTATAACTACGTATAAATATATTTATGTATCATCAGTCGCACCGATTCAATGAATGCATTTGTAGTCGTCATACTCGATAGTCGAAATAGGTATAAGATAATTTAATATGGCATGCCAATGTTTCCTTGTAAATGTGAGAATGTAGCTTTAGCCGTAGTGCATGCCGGACGAAATCAGGTGCACGAAATTTACAAGTTATCAGCGGTTTTACACGGAAAAACGAATTACCGAGAGACAAAGTATCGCACTTTCTCTCCTTGTGCTTTGTTTCGTTGTAATAATCGTTGATCGATATGAACGAATCCGATGGTATTCGTTTAGCCGTTATTAATAAGAATTATTTTGTAGATTATATTTTGACACAAATTATTATATAAATTAGCATGTAAGAAATAGTTAGTCGTTAGTTAATAAATAGATATAAGTATGACGGAGATAAGTAGAAAGTGGTAAAAGAAAAAAAAAAGAACTATCGACTCGCTCACCGATGGGAACACTATTATATCCGGTAATGTGTGTGATTAGAAAATTGGACGGAGTACGTCGAAACGGTGCGTGATTATTAAACGTCTACTTTAATTATTACGGATAGGATGAGTTTAACGCGTACAGGTGATAAAAAAAAAAAGTCGTCTCCTCCGCGTTAAAGGGATCGTCAAACGTATCGTAAGATAATATTCTTTTAGCTTCGTGCACGTGCTTCTCCCGGGAAGAAATATATGAATGAAAAGGACAAAGAAAAATGATTATTTTTCTTGCTTTCGAACGTTTTAAGAAAATGAAATCGGTCGAGAGGTCATCGAAAAGTCGGTCATGGCGTTGCTACCGTCCCGAGTGCATCGAATTGTTTCACCCTATCGAGGATCCGACGATCATTTCAAATGATTCACAAGCAGAGGAGATGCAATATTATAAAGAATGATACCATTTCCATACGAAGGATAAGGACGATGCTGTTTCTGCACGAGCGACGACCCGTAACGCCTGTGCTTTTTCACTTGCAAGCAATTATGGATTACAAGACAGAAAGAATCGCCGACGAAAGCTGCGTTATTTCGATCTGTCCTTTGTACCAATTGTAAGAGCTTCTGCTTGGCTAGCAATTAGTAAGTTCAGCTTGGCGCACCGCTGTTGGCGCATTCTCAATGCTTTTTTTTTTTCTTCGCCCGTTTTCAACCCACAACGAATCCAATGTCGGCGCGTACTTGACTCGGTTTGAAAAGGAAAAAAGAAGGAGAAAAAAGAAAAGAACATTTGAAAAATATTCTCGCGCTAAAATTACGTCGTAATCGGAGCGCAAATTCGAGTATACGAGTACTCGCGAGATCTTCTCTCATATATGTATTTCCCTATTAATTATCTTTCCTTCTAATCTACCGAGCCATAGATCTAATTCATTTTACTGAAACGCGCTGTAATCCAATAGCGGGCGTCAATTATCGTCTTGAAAGAGATCACGCTTTCTAATAGATATAACGTAGTCGGAAATAATAGAGAGTGCATCGAATTTTCCCCGAAATTTCCAAACGTGCGGAGAAGGCATTCTCGCGTTATCCCGTTAAAACGCGTTAACGGCGCCGTATATACGTATAATCGATCGATATATTCGTCGTCGTCGACATACGGAGCTTAAATCGAAGAGTACATAGGGCCAATTCCCAATCTTGATATCTAATTCACTCTTCGAGCTCTATCCGACGTCTTTTCCACTTGTACAGAGTTACAGACCGATGGATACCTCAATATTTTCTGTACGATTAATTAACAAGAGGATCGATCGAGGATCATCGTATCGTCATTTGTACATATAACTACATACCACACACGTATTTGCACGTCAAAAGGAATGTACTCATTCTCTATCTTTTTCTTCTTCTCTCCCAACCTCTCCCCCCCCCGTCTCTGACTCTATCAATCTATCTGTCTATCTATCTATCTATCTATCTATCTATCTATCTATCTATCTATCTATCTATCTATCTGTCTGTCTGTCTGTCTGTCTGTCTGTCTGTCTGTCTGTCTATCTATCTACCTATCACACCCGAGTTTCACCGATCTAACACTTTTACCTTACTCGATCACACGCTAACGTTTTATTATTTGCTCTTGCAAGAATGGCCAATTAATATAGTGTGCTCAACTATGCGAGACATTTTCGATAATCTAGAAAGTCGGTCAAGCAGTGTCCTGTTAATGAGAGAGACCTCGTATTTACTTTCTCATTAATAATAACACGTTCAACGCGAAACGTTTCATCAAGGATCGTTATACCTGTTCTCTTCGATACCTATTCTCTTGGCAATTCGCATGTAATATATAAGATATAAGTGGAATATTAAAAATTCGTCATTTCTCGAAAGATGACGCATCGTTGCTCGTTGCTTTATACCGAAGCACTTTAACCGTGGAAACTAAGTTTCTTGACCTGCTTTCAAGATTATTGATACGCTCCGTGGCTTTTAAAAGAATTATATTATAAATTTCACGTCGACTCCTTCTCCCTTACACTAACGATATTTTTATGTTATTTAGGGCAAGTTTTTCTATTGTACCGATGCATCGAAAATGACGAAGGAAGAATGCCAGTAAGTAATATATCGACAACAAATTATATTAAATTAATTTTATTAAACATAAAATTGAATTTACGCGATACGAAAAGTCCAGGGTAATACGTTAAGGTCGTTAAATCGAAAAAAGAACTTTGGTGGTAGCGGCGAAATATCGGGGGAGGGAAATTACGTTTGTAAAATCGCATGCACCTTGCATCCCTGTCGGTAGCGCGGCGGTGACGGCGGCGGCTACGGCTACCTATCGTGTCGTCCTTTAAAAATCAACGCCGTGTCCTAACGTCGAAAGGGTAATATCGTTCGAGACATCATTACTTTCAGGGGTACTTATCTGGAATTCGAGAATGGCAATATCAATAGACCTGTCGTTAGAGAAAGAGAGTGGGAGCAACGTCGTTTCCACTTTGATGATGTTGCCAAGGCGATGCTGACCCTCTTTACGGTTTCAACATTCGAAGGTTGGCCAGGGTAAGTCTCTTTTGACTTTGGCACGAATGTCTCGAAGAAGAAGAGCTTTTACGTAACGTTATGCTTCCGATAAGATATTAAAACGCCGGAAGGAAGTAGAAACGCTCATTGAAAGCCCTCTTTCTCTTGTTATTATTACGCTAGCCTTTTGAATTGGTCGATCGATTCGAACAAGGAAGATCACGGACCGATTCACAACTTTCGGCCGATCGTGGCCGCCTACTACATCATCTACATCATCATCATAGCATTTTTCATGGTCAACATCTTCGTGGGTTTCGTCATTGTCACCTTTCAGAACGAGGGTGAACAGGAGTACAAAAATTGCGAGCTCGATAAGAATCAGGTAATAAGATCGGATATTTATTTACGGTCTCGCGCGTGAACCGTCGACGCGTTTATAATAACGCAACGTAATCGAAAAACGTCATCAGCCGACTTAACGAGTTTATTGATCGTCTAGCGGAACTGTATCGAGTTCGCGTTGAAAGCGAAACCCGTTCGACGATATATACCGAAGCACCGAATACAATACAAAGTTTGGTGGTTCGTCACTTCTCAACCGTTTGAATATACGATATTCACATTGATCATGATAAATACCGTCACCCTTGCGATGAAGTTCTATCAGCAACCAACGCTATACACCGAAGTTCTCGACGTCCTCAATATGATTTTCACCGCAGTGTTCGCCCTCGAGTTCGTCTTCAAACTCGCAGCTTTTCGATTCAAGGTACGAACTAAAGCGACATTTTTATCGTATCGTTAATATATCGTTAATAGGCTCCTAATTTTCGCGCCCTTTGACGAATTTCTTTGACGATCGCAGAATTACTTTGGCGATGCCTGGAACGTATTTGACTTCATTATCGTTCTCGGAAGTTTCATCGACATCGTATACTCGGAAGTTAACGTAAGTTTTTTTTAACATTGTTCTCATATTTTTTTACTTCGATTTTGAATTGATTATATTTCTCTTTCTTTTCTAATTTCCTCTTTCAGCCCGGCTCGACCATCATTTCTATTAATTTCTTTCGACTATTTCGAGTGATGCGCCTCGTTAAACTGTTGAGCAGAGGAGAGGGCATAAGAACGCTTCTTTGGACCTTTATTAAATCCTTCCAGGCTCTACCCTACGTAGCCCTTCTTATAATAATGCTTTTTTTCATTTACGCGGTAATAGGCATGCAGGTAAAGTGCATTGAACGATTCCTTTTCTCTATCTTTCCTCTTCAACGAAACTTCTCCGCCATTAATAAACGTTGTCCATACGTTGTCCTATGTTCCATAGGTATTCGGAAAGATCGCGATAGACGACGAAACGTCTATATATCGTAACAACAACTTTCAATCGTTTCCCCAAGCAGTCCTCGTATTATTCAGATCTGCGACGGGTACGAACATTTCGTTATTTAGTTTACTTACTTACGTGCGTTACTTACTTACAATGACGAATTCGACGAATACTCTGTTTCCTTCTTTAGGTGAATCTTGGCAAGAGATCATGATGGACTGTTCCGCTCAACCGAGCAAAGTAAAGTGCGATCCAAACAGCGACGAATATAACAATCCATCCGGTTGCGGATCGGACATAGCATTTCCTTACTTCATATCATTCTACGTTCTCTGTTCCTTTCTGGTACATTAATTATCATTATCCATTATACATTATCCAGAAATCTCCAAGACACAATCTCTTTGAATCCGATATATCGTATTCGATAATAGATCATTTCTAATCTTTTCAGATAATCAATCTATTCGTTGCCGTCATTATGGACAACTTTGATTACTTGACGAGAGACTGGTCGATATTGGGACCGCATCATTTGGACGAGTTTATTCGTTTATGGTCCGAATACGATCCCGACGCGAAAGGTCGTATCAAGCATCTCGACGTTGTAACGCTCCTACGAAAAATATCACCACCCTTGGGTTTCGGTAAACTATGTCCGCACAGGGTCGCCTGCAAGGTCGGTCGATAGTTAAAGTTCTAGCGACGTAATTAGATACGATACGTAATCGACACGTCGTTCACCGATACGTTTTCCAGAGGCTGGTGTCGATGAACATGCCGTTGAACAGCGACGGCACGGTCCTTTTTAATGCGACCCTATTCGCCGTTGTAAGAACATCACTGAGGATTAAAACGGAAGGAAACATCGACGATGCTAACGCCGAACTTAGAGCCGTGATTAAGAAGATTTGGAAGAGAACCAGTCCAAAACTTTTAGACCAAGTCGTACCACCGCCAGGAGGTATTTTAAACTTCATTTAACAGGCCGAATATAATACGTTTATCGCGAGACACAATAAAGCCGTTTTAAAATTTTCAGTCGACGACGAGGTAACGGTCGGCAAGTTTTACGCGACTTTCCTCATCCAGGATTACTTTCGTAGATTCAAGAAACGCAAAGAACAGGAAATGAGAGAGGGTGACAAGGAATGTCATAATACGGTAACGCTACAGGTAAGAGAGAAACTCAAATGGAATCTAACTAAACGCATTACGATCGATGCCATTTAACTCTTATTTCATCTATTCAAGGCTGGCTTGAGAACTTTGCACGAAGCAGGTCCCGAATTGAAGAGAGCGATTTCTGGTAATTTGGAAGAGCTTATGGACGACAATCCGGAACCTACGCACAGGGTATGCCAATCGATTGCGAGACGTCGCGAAAGAAAACAACGAGAAATTTCTTTCTTATTTCCTTCTTTTTTTTTTTCTTTTTTTCTTTTTTTTTCAGAGAAATCATTCGCTCTTTGGTAGCGTCTGGTCAAGCATGCGTAAAGGACATCACAGCTTCCATAGAGCGAGATCGCTCAAAGTGAACTCCAAGGTAAAGAATCAAGTGGATACGTGGACGATCCGTCTTAAAGTTGGTCGATCTAATCGACAATTCTTTTTTTCTTTCCTTTCCTTTTTGTTTTCTTTTCTTTTGTTTGTTTTTCTTTTTTCCATTCGTAGGCTTCCCCCACAAATTCCATAGACTTTCTGTCGTATTCCTCTTTGCAGAGGGGCGTCGGATCAGACGCTCCTAATCAAATCACCGCAAGATCTCATCAAGTCGTGCCAAACGTAGCCGGGTGAGTCCTCGTAATTTCTCTAACGAATGAAATTTTAAACGTCGTCGATATCGTTAAACTGCGAGCTCATAAATCGTATCGGTTCTACTTGAAGTGGTCTAAGCGACAGTGCGATGAACCAAATGGGAATGGACCCGAGATTAACTGGCGTCGAAGAAAATATTCCCTTGAGACCTCTCGCCGTCTTTGGCAATACTACGCAACGTTCAGCCTATCATAGCTCTTACAAAATGGTCGGGTAAGTAAAGAACCAGCGAAGATATTATTTTGGCCGGAGCGGCCAAATCGCGTGTCCTGTTTCTTTGTTAGGCATCGTGTCGGTCACCGTCATCAGTGGTTTACGCATTTATTATGTTTCAAAACGATTCGTATATAACTATCTCTCTTTCTCTCTCTCTCTCTCTCTCTCTCTCTCTCTCTCTCTCTCTCTCTCTCTCTCTATCTCTCTCTCTTTTTCTCTCTATCTCTCGCTATCTATCTCTCGATATCGCGTCATGTAATTTTAGTGCATGCAACATGTTCATTCAACGACGTACTACATACGATCAGATCGATTTTGGTGAAAACTTTTTTGGTAAAACGAACAAATCTAACATCTGTTCGTTCCGAAAAAAATTAGTTTTTGTCTAGACAAATAATTGTACATACCTATATAGCCGCGAGATTAGGATTTCCTTGAAACGCGCAAGCAAGATCCGAGATTTTTTTTTTCATTGCGCCCACGTAGCTTCGTACGCAGAATCTTATCTATTTGCGTGCACACGTTATCGTTTTCGCCTTTTGGCAGTTTCATAGCTCCGCGCGTCGACGACACGTATCATTGGTATTCTCATCGTCCTACGCTTTTCTGTTTACTGTCGTACGTTTCAGTGGACCGGGTAGCGGTAACTATCTTCATCCCAATAGCGAATATGGTAAGACAAGTTAGGGGTCTGCGACTAGTAGCTGGCTTTTATTTGATTAAACTGTATTGCTCGCTTGTCGCGCCTGCATGCTTTCCGTTTTAATCATTTATATTTATATATATATATATATATATGTAATGTGTATATATATATTAACCTTAGTCAACCACGAATTGTCTCCTGATTAACAACGACCAAACGAGAAGAGATGTAATAATCGAAATAAATGAGAATGCACGATTACGTGAAATTAGTCGATTTATACAGGAGACAATCGGCGACGAATCAGCAAGGCCGTACTGCCGTTAAGACGTCAAGCTCGATCGACGAATCGAAAGGATCGACGATTAGCAGACGTCTCAGCCGCAGCAACGGCGTATGGTAAAATAATAGCATGTCGTTTGCGCTGTTCTCGTTCGATCCGATATCGTTTATGAAGGCGTGCCCGATCGGTCTAACGTTCCTAAAAGGGATCGTTTACCGCCTCGGGTACGTTAGTAATGTCCATGGCTCGTGGCGATACGGCCTACGGTAAACGTAACTAAAAGAATGGTTTTTCGCCCGTTTTTCTCTTTCACCGGCCTGCGTGCGTGCATACGGCTTGCGTGCGTGTGTCCCTGGACTGCTCGATGGCAGTCTTCAGGACGGAGTCGAGCGGCAGTTGACGCCACCTACCCCTCCGCCACGAAGGATACCAGGACAGAGCACTAGCAGCACCGTTACGAGCATCGGCACGACCCATCCTACCACCGCCGTCACTGGCACCGCCGTCACTGACACAGTCGTCACAGCCGTCACGGGAACGAGCGCAAACACCTCGACTACCGCGACCAGCCCCACTTCCTCTTCGAATGGCACCAATCGTTACTATACCTATGCGACGGGGGCCTGCTGCGTCGATTGTGCCGTCTGGAGCAATCACGGTACGAGACCTTGTCGCTCATCGATATAGATAGTTAAATTAAACGATAGAAATACGAATTAGAAATGCGAGAAGACAACGAATTCGATCTCGTACCGGACACGAGCGTGGCCGTAGACGATCAGGAGGAAGAAGAGGAGGAGGAGGAGGAGGAGGAGGAAGAGGAGGAGGAGGAGGAGGAGGAGGAGGAGGAGGAGGGAGAAGAGGAGGAGGAGGAGGAGGAGGAGGAGGAGGAGGAGGAGGACGACGACGAGGAGGAATCGTCGATCGCAAGTGGTACCAGCGATTCCTGCACGTGGAACAACTCCGAGGGTGGTGCACGTCCAATGGCAAAATCACCATTGTCCGCGGGAAATATAAAGAGAACGACGAGTCCGACGTTGCGGCCTGCGGCTGCGGCGGCGGCGACGACGACGATGCAAATACGCAAATTTGGAAGTGAACGAGCACGAGAACATGGACGAATTGCGGCTGGACCGTTGAGACCGAGCATTCTGTTCGCGCGGTCGCGACGTCAGAGCGACACCAGCGGAAAATCGGCCCCGTCTAGTTTCCGTAGATGTCGCGAGGCCGTTTCCGAAGCGGCCGACGGGACCGCGAGCGACCCTCCGAGCGACCCTCCGAGCGACCCGCCGAGCGACGCCGTCGAAGGGACCATCGGGGGGACCATCGGGGGGACCATCGGGGGGACCATCGGAAGCCTCGCCAACGGCCTCAAAATGGCGCAGACTCAGGCGATCACCGTTGCCGGTTTCTTCGCCGACGTCGACTCGCGTCAATGGGGCGTCTGCGAGTCCTGCTTCTCCCACCGAGCCTCCTTCCACGGCAGAGGTGACGCCTACCTACGAGCCTACCCTTCGAGCCTACCTTCGATTCGTCGCAGCCGCTCGAACCACGCGCACTTTTCTTTTTCTTTTTTTTCTTTCTCTTTTTCTTTCTTTTCAACTTCCTTTCTTACTTTCTTTTTTTCTTTCTTTCACCTAAACTCCTCTCTCATTCTCTTTTTCATATGTCTTTTTCATCCTTTTGCATAAGTAAGTAAGTACTTTGGACGTTTCGACTAACACTTTGTATTCCCATTTTGTTTCTATCCATATATCTTTTTTCTCTCTTTTTCACGCTTGGAATAACACATTTGTCCGTTCATGTGGTTTGTCATTCGCGCGTGACTCGCGCGACGTGCAGCATCGAAGAGTTCGAGAATCTAGTTCGCGAGGTCGATACGTGTTAACCTTTTCATTGTTTTGCCCCATCGCGCATCATTAGTTCCATCCTGGGCCGGGGAGAGCAACGGAAGCGTCGGAGCCGAACGGCTTTCTCATAGTTTGCCTGGTAGTCCTGCCGATCGAAAGCCGAACTTCGAAGTGATCGGAAGCGCCGAGAGTTTGGTCGGACGGGTGAGTAAAAATTCTTTTCTTCGTTTTTAACACAATGCGTAAAAAATATCGACGAACCAATGATACGCGTTCTATCGCACAGGTGCTCGTTGAACAGGGACTGGGCAAGTATTGCGACCCAGATTTCGTGAGGTATACGTCTCGCGAGATGCAGGAGGCTTTGGACATGACGCGAGAGGAGATGGATCGAGCGGCTCATCAGTTGCTTTTGCAAGAGCGACGCAGTCAATCGTTCAGGTATCACCAACAGCAACCACAGCAGCAACTACAGCAGCCACAACAGCAGCAACAGCCTGACATGGACCAACAGTGGAATCCCGCGTATCAGCAGACGATCGGAATAGGTTATCAGCCCTTGCAGGAGCAACCACCGAGTGGTACGCAGCGAACGTTCCATCATCAGCCGAGTTACCATCGTCAAGGACAACAGCAGCAACCACCCTCTTAGCAGCAGGAAGACGATCGCTCGGTCAAGAGAATTCCGTCTATGTAGCCTCGAGTTTGAAAACTCCTTTCAGACCGGTCCAAGTCGCGAGCCGTTCGATCTTCCTCCGATCGAGAGAGAAAGAGAGAGAGAGAGAGAGAGAGAGAGAGAGAGAGAGACACTTTTCACAGATCATTTCACACTCGTACAAGACGCGACCGTTGTGTACCACACTACCCAAAAATGCCCCTTTTCTACTTTCCGAATATTTTTATCGATCGATCGACGAGAATCCACTTTTCTTCGGATTTCGACGGCACGTTCGATTTTCGAGGAAGCATAGAATGACGGATCGCGCGTTAGGTAATTATCAAACTTTTCTTTTCTTTTCTTTTCTTATCGTTAAGCTAGCGAGAAGACGATATACCAAGTTGGACGAAAACGCAAAATCCTCTTTTTCCCGTGGAATTGACGTTGATTCGAGACGTACAACGTTTCTCTATGTGCATATGCATAACAAACGTTGATTTCGTAATCCCTTATTTTCTCGGCATTCGAAGACTTGAAATCGGTCAGCCGAGATCCGCGAACCTCGACGGACTTCCGTCCGAGAAGTGGAGGAATAAGAGGAAGACAAATCTTCCTTTTTTCCTTTTTTCTCTTTCATTGATACGGTATAAATAGAGCTATATATACGCACACATTATTATTATTATCATCATCATCATCATAACTATTATTATTATTATTATTATTATTATTATTATTATTATTATTATTATTATTATTATTATTATTATTATTATTATTATTATCATCATTATTATTATTATTATCATCATCATCATCATCATCATCATCATCATCATCATCATCATCATCATCTTATTTTTACCGTCATCGCCATTGCGTTATTATCACTCGTAAATTATTATCTACTACTAGTACCGTTATTATCGTTGGTTATTCGTTACTATTTTTCGTCCTCATCGATAGACGTTAAAAAAGTCACTCTTAAGGAAAATCGCTATTAATACGGTTAAAGTCATTGTCGCTACTTGCACGATGGATTATTCTAGATGATATAACAAGTGCCTAAGTAACTAGTAACTTCTTTCGGACCAGAGAAGACTTTTATCAACATAGACAAAGTACGACTATAATTGCGAATTATGACGAGTTACGAGCCGAGTATGTACACTACGATATTGTAACGCGATATAGATATTATTATTGTACATATATGTTGCGCGCATATTAATGAGAATGCGCGGTACGATGAATGGCCGATAAAAAAACAGCCGCGAAATTCGATTAATAACGTATGATTGTAGGGAGCGCGCGAGAGATTTTACACGAAAGAAGGATGGAACGTTCATATTACGTATCTGAAGTGAAATTTCGACCCAGAAAACACACACACACACACACACACTCGTACGCGCTCGAGCATACGAAGCCTTCTCTTATACACACGTATAGACTCCTAAATAGTCTTATTCGGTAAAAGCGAGATGAACAAGAGGAAGAGAAAGAGGAGAAGAAGAGGGAGAGGAAGAGGAGGAAGAAGAAAGGAAGAAAAGTTCTACGAAGAAAAATATGGGCGCAAAGAGAAAAGATACATGGCAGATTTTTCAATGTAAATCGTTCAAAGATCCGCTCCCGTTTCCTCTGACGCACAAAGTTTACTCGGAAAATCGAAGAATAGCGCGATTGGTGTCCTAGAATCATTATTCTTGGTAGACGCGTAAGACGTTTTTTCTTCGATTTTTAAATATCCGATCACGTAATAATCACGTTAATCGTTTTATCGCGTCTACATTGCGCACATCTACGTACCGCTTAATTATCGCCGATGAAAAAAGAAAAATGAGAAAGGAGAAGAAGAAAATCAAAAAAGAGGGGTGGAAAAAAAAGGGAAAGAGATAAGAGAAACGATGCGACGCGGAAGTCGCATTCGATACTTTGTTTTAACGCAACCCAAACGCAAGTTCGACGTATTCGTATATAATGAATGCGCTAACACGCTCCATTTATTTTCATTGGCCCGACGATGAATAATGTCATGTATGTATGTATGTATGCGATCGAATCATTGAGCATTTCGACATGACGATGGCGTAGCGATCGCCAACGAAATGGCGCTACTACTACGCGATCGTTATGTCATATTCTCATCTCTCGACCGTTTCTTTTCACACCTTGACAACGAAAATCTCATCGCATGTAACGTGAAATTCTAATTAATCGCGAAACTTGGTACGCACCCATGTGGCATGTACCTTCTATCTATCTATAGATACTATAAAAGATGTGAAACGTCGAGATGCGACGACTTTGCGAATTCGAGGCGGATGGGGAAAAAAAAAAAAAAAAAAAAAGAAAAAACAAATGTTTATTCTAAATCTTTGCGATCGTTGGACCACTCAGACTCGCTTTAAAAATTCTGGACAATATCCTTTGGTGAATGTCGAAGCGATTCAATCCTGTCTAGTGCCTTTGGTAATTCTCCCTCTTCAGTTCTCCCATTAGCACACACTTGATGTTAAACCTTATTCTTTTTTTTTTAGTTTTCTATCGTACCGATTATAATATTATGATGTCCAGAGGAGAGAACAGTTACGACGATCGAAGAGCAATATCGCCGCGTCAGTCTCCACGATTCTCTTAACGGAACTAATCGCGGTCCGATTAAAAAAAGAAAAAAAAAGGATGACAGAAGTAAAAAGAGGAACGAATTAAAAAACACAAACGAATCGAGTAGTCTAGGATGATCGCGAGCCATTGCTTATACATACATATGTATTATACACTTGATCTTTCGTATATCCGTTTTTTGGACATCTTTCTAATAATCTCGTACTTGTCTATAACCGTCTTTTTATACCTAAACTATCTTAAAAAGTGAACTTTATACAGAAAAGTAGATTACGCGCGCGACACGTTCTCTTGAACTTTCTAATAAAAATTCGTAATCGTCGATGTTTAGATAGCTACCAACAAGATTTTTTACGTCGCCGATAAACACTGCGTTTTAAATGTGATAAAAACCAGACGCGGAGTGGACCCATAAGAAGGAAGGATAGGAGTAGAAGGAGGAAGCGCGATACGAGCGTACGATCTCTTTTTTTCTTTTTTTTTTTTTCTTTTTTTTCTTTTTTCTTTAACTCTTCATCATTGCCGATTTCAATGTACGACGAAATAATTACACAAATTAGTCGGGAGCACATTTCTGAAAGATCGCACAAATCATTCCGCGTTTCTCTAACGAATCGGACGAAACGCGTCGTATTTATCCTCTATTATTTAGATATTTTTGATACGACTAAAATATAATAGAATCGTCTTCTCGTGATTTCGCTAGCAGAGAGATAGACCGAGAGAGAGAGAGAGAGAGAAAGAGAGAGAGAGAGAGAGAGAGAGAATAAATCGCATCGTTGATCCGTTCGCTTAAAAAGAAAATAATGCTGGCCAACAAGAGAATCGTGGAGAACTTCTAAAAGGATGAAGTTTTACACGAAGTTTAGCACGAACGAAAGAAAATTTGGAAAGAATCGCTAAGGCGTCAGAGATTGTAATCGTCGTCGTTTTCTTTCTTGATTGAAGCCCTTTGTCTTTTATGCGCAATTACAAAAGTTCGACCGTACGATAACGTTTTTAAAAGCACAATATTACGAGATTGTATAACGCTAAAGCACGAGATATATAGGCGAGCAGTCTAGCGTGGACGATCGTCCGAATATTTTCGTGAAGGAAACGTAGAAGAAAGGTGATATAATCATTTGGCATCGATGCACGCGCACACACACACACACACACACTTCTTCCTCGACGACATTGTCCTTAAACGTTCTCATCGTCGACACGAGAGACGTTATGTCCTTATAGCGTAAAGAGTATGCGTGTGTATGTGTGTATTTACATATAGATATATGCACGCATCATACACACATGTATATGTATAAGTTATGTAAAGTTGCAATCAAAGTTTTACCAGGGCGTTCATATAAATGAATCACCTTGATCGTTTCGAGATTGCTTGGAATATCGAGAAATCGTACATACACTGAATCTTTCATCGTTCGAAAAGAAGGAAGCACTTTTCTCGCTCTCTCTCTCTCTCTCTCTCTCTCTCTCTTTCTCTTTCTCTCTCCCTCTTCGTCATCCTCGTCTTTTTGATATAAAAGAAATATTTCAAACTATCTTACGCATGAACTATCTTTGCTAACGAACGATGAATCATAAAAGTGTGCAACTGTACGAAGTCGAATCTAGTTGAGAAATCGCCTATGAAGAAAAAGAAAATAGGAGAAACGTATGAACGCCCTTTCCAACGATCGTTATCATTTTAGATAACGATCATTTTTAACGGCCGATCGTCAGACCACGAATCTTGCAAAGAAAAAAAAAAAAGAAAAAAGTAAAGAAAAATAAAAAAAAAGAAAAAAGAGAGAAAAAAGAAAAAATAATGAAAAGTAAAAAATAAGTAAGAAAAAGAAGGCGTAAACTCGACGATCGGCGGTGTAAACATATTTTCGTAAGAATTATTGTTATATAGAAACTTAGCGTTACGTACTGAATGAGACCCAGACCACTTTTCGGATTTAGCATGTAAATACTTAACTATCGTAACGTAATTTTTAGCGGATTCATTCGTTTCTTTGCTCCTTTCGAATCCGACGTCTCACATTACCCGGATGGTATTGCTCGATTGAAAAAAAAACGAATTATAAACTTACATTAGAGGAAATAACGATAAAAAGACGTAACGTGTCGTTTTTCGTCGACGTTCCTTACCAAACAAAATGGCGTCACTTAGCTCTCACCTTCGTGTCTCTTCGTTCGACGAGACCATTTTGGTAGCTCGCGATCGACCAGATAATTGTCACTATTTTACGAAAATGGGAAGGAGAGCGTCTATAAAAGGGAAATACCGTGCACAAAAGAACGACGAGCAAGAGCTTGCACGACTTCCTTCTCGTCGATCGATTGGCGATCTTTTGGAACCGAACACGCAATCGTTCTTCGCTCCAAATTTCTCCCGAAACGACACACATAAAGAAAACTTTAACGACTATTTATCGCTTATTTTACTTTTCCAGCCGCCACGAAATATTCGAATCGTCGTAAATAAAATTGAATTTCGCGATTTCTCTTTGTTAGTTGAACTTTCCGACGTTTCTACCTATATAACCTAGAAGCGAAGAAACGATGCACGCGATTGGTCGATCGTCGTCGCGCGAACCAAAGCTCTGCTCGTTCGAATCTTCGATCGGCAAACAGAGAAATCGATATTTCTCTTGTTATTCCTTTGAATTCCAATCGAAAGCGATAAAAGGAAGCACGAGAGAGAGAAAGAGAAAAAGGATTACGTATATTAGAAATCGAGATTCACTCTTCTTGTCGGTTGCTCGTCAAAAGTGACGATAAGTGCCACATACACTCGATCATCATTTTACTTTGTATTTTCGATTACGTTTGCGTGCGTGTAATTTTGTCCGAATTGCACGAATATTATAATTATAATAATTATAATAAAAATAATAATAATAATAATAATAATAAAAATAATAATTATAATAATAATAATAATAATAATAATAATAATAATAATAATAATAATAATAATAATAATAATAATAATAATAATAATAATAATAATAATAATAATAATAACGGATAAAAGACGAAAATACGAAGAGACCGAGTGGGCAGCATTTTGCTGACTAGAGAAAAACTAACACAGAAATTGTTGTTGTTGATGTTGTTGTCAAAAATGTGTCAAATTAAAATATAAGGATTTCAAACATCTTATGTTTGGGTAATCGCAGATTAACCCTTTCCAATCGAAATTCGATGAAAAATATGCTTTTCGAAAAGAACCATCGTTGAGCGTTTCACGTGGAAAAATTATTGCGATGCACTGTTTAAAACTTACTGTTTTTATTTATAAAGTAATTACCTCTCTTTTCAATTACGGTCGATCTAAGTATTTTGTATTTTACATTACTTACACGATATTCGAGTTGACGCAAGAGAGAGAGAGAGAGAGGGGGGGGGGGGGAGAGAGAGAGAGAGAGAGAGAGAGAGAGAGAGAGAGAGAGAGAGAGAGAGAGAGAAAAGAACAAAACAAAAACAAAAGAAAAGAAAGCAAATAATGTCCAAACGATTAATCTCGTCCGATTCTCCGTTTATAGGTTCCAATGATGTCGCAATGCGTAAGAGAAAAAGTAAAATAAACGGTGCAACGAGTATTCTATTGCACACGAACAGCATGAATTCGAACGAAATGAGAAACAAAAACTACAACGATTTCTATGCTGCGCACACGCGTGTATGTAGGTCCAACAAGCGAGGCACCAGCATGTACATTGGCAGGAATTCAATAATATCTAACATTCATTCTCATCTTACGATTCGTATCAACTGAAATTCCTACAATGGAAAATTGGAAATGACATAGAAAATGGTCATAATTAATTAACGAATAAGTTACAAAGAAATTCATCTTAAGGAGAGTTAATATTATTTCATGACTTGTGCTGCTTTTTTCGCTTTGACGAGCTCCACGAGTTCCTATGGAAAGAGAAAAAAAGAGAGGAGAGAAAAAAAAAAGAAACGAAAATACAAGATATTGTTGATTAAACGTGCATAAAGTTACTTCAAAATGATATTTCTTTTGAAAACGTACCTTATACCTCCTCATACATTCTTTTTTCGTTCTAGTTGGTATGCATCCAGCTATTTGATCCCACCTATCGGGGACCGTCGTAGGATAAGTTTTCAATGCTTGCTCGAGAAGTTTTTGTTCCGCGGGCGTCCAAGCTTGCGATTCCTTCTTGACGTCTTTCGCGTCGGTCGATGATATTCCATTGGAAAGAGGATGATCCAAGCGTTCCGTAAAAGCTGGCATCCTTTCTTCTATACCTTCTTTGGTTTTCTTCTCAGCGATAAAATTATCGTACGCATTTTTATTCGCTCGTTCCTTCAGGCTCGATTTGCTAAAGTCGGTAGATTGCAAATCTTTAGCTTTCGCCAAAACTTCCTTGGCGTCGCGCGTGATGATGCTGCTCGACGAGGTACTATGTTGATTGATAAAATTGGCCACTACTTCCCAACGTTGATTCGTGCCAGCAGGAAACAAGTTGACGGCCTTTATCAAAAGTTGCAAATCATTTTCACTCCACGGCGCGGTATGAGCTTTTACCTGTTTCTCAGGTGTATTACGCGCGTCATTGTTTATTATAGCAGCTCTACGTTCCGCTTCTATTTTTTGTTCCGTTTCTTCCATCAGCTCGATGAAAGCGATCCTACCACCGTTCTGCAGTTTCCTCATAGCTTCTTCCAACTGCACTAATTTGAACAATTCGCAGATCTTTTCTACGCTCTCCATGTGCTTCAGACTTTCGGCCGAACTGTCGGCAAAGTAATTGTTAGATTTACAAAAGTCACGCAGCGCCTTTCTCTCTTTCCTGAGTGCCTTTTTCTGTGCCTCCCTCTCTTGCTTCAACGCATCCATTTTTGCACGTTCCTCGGATTCGCGCTTTTCCTTTTCCAATCTTTCCTTCTCGGCAGCGTCCCTAGCTATTCTCTCCTCTTCCTGTTGTCGAGCTTTCGCAGCCTCTTGCTTTGCCTTCTTCGCGGCTGTCTTTTTATTTTTGTCATCCTGTTGGAATTTCTTTATTCTAGGATCTACGTTATAGGCCATATCAACTAGGGTACGTATCCTTGCCATTTCTTCCTTCTTTCGTTTTGCTCTCGTAGCTTTATTCTTTTTCTCGATCCACTTACGCATGTCTCGGCTGAAACATCGTTCGTTATAATAATATATACAATCTTTACGCGCGGGAAATAAAAAGTTCGAATACACTTACTCTTGTCCACTCTCTTTATCCTCTTCATCGAGATACGAGTATTCGCGCCAAGAGTCAAAGTCATACCAGAAAGAATAAAATCTTTCTACTTTATCCCTGGGTGTGTTTGGGCCACCTAAAAGCGGGACCGGCTTTTTGCTAGACCATCTGGCGTTATCCTTAAATGCTTTACCCATGATATCGTAAAAATTATTTCTACATTCCTTCTCGTCCGGTAAATCATCGTTAAAATAAGGATCTATGCTGTCGTAACTACGTCTTTTCGTAGAATTTCCAAGTGTCTCCCATGCACGAGTAATGCAAGTGAAGTAGTCATCGTCCGGTCGTATTTCCTCTCCCAATGCCTTACGCTTATCCGGATGATGCTTCAATATCTTTTGTTTATCTGTAATCCACGTTATTAGAAATCCGCGTTTAATAATACAAATCCACATATTTATTAGATTATGGATTATGGATCTGCAAACGACATAACACCTACGTTCACTCATATAGAGTATACTTTGAACTGTCTTTACGTACAAGCCCTTTTAATAATATCTTCGGTTGCCTTGTGCCTAAGTTTTCTCAAGCCTAACACCGCGTAATGATCTTGATCTTTCCATTCCTTTGGATCCAACGATCTTAAATATTCGAGGTCGTCTTCAAATTCGTATTGAGACAAATCTTCTTCCCCGTCGGATGATTCTGATAATCTATCGGGTGCAAGGCAGCGATGGAAGTGTGCTTTCCAAGCTTGTGCGGTCGAATACAAAACCACTGGTCCTGCCGTTGATATCATTAGGTTGTCCGATCGATCTGTATAACGACAAATATTATTTTTTTATTATAAAATTTTTCAAAAAAAAAATTTATACGCCCTGACAAAATATACATGGGTACAAAATATTCAGGGACGGCTCCAATTGGATTTATTTGTCCATAATAAATTATCCAATAACAACGGGCTACATACCGGTTTAACGCACTCTATTAAAATAATTTAATTAATAATTGAATAAATTTATACAAAACGATGATACGAGGATTACATACAAAAGGATTTTCCATGTTCAAACGAGTTTTCTAGGTAAACCTAACCTCTCAAGGCCGGGGTCGAAGAAAAGATGACCGAAAATTCAATAACTCACCGGATCTAGAATTAAAAGTATTAGTATCATCATTTCTTGTTCCATCCGTCATTATTACTTAACTACAGGATATTTCTCAAAGGAGCTAATATTAAAATTACTTTAAAGAGAAAGGACGATGCAAATGAAACTTTCAGGATATGGACATACTCGACGAAACGAGCGGTTCGCATTTCGATTATGCGAAATCCAATGATACGAATACTCGTCAAAACTATACGCTAGCTTATGCGTGTGCGATCTTAGCGACCTCAGTACGGACAAAATATGAACTATCAAAAACGTAATAAGAGAAACTGTCATATTGTTCGTATAGGTTATATATCTCTCTAACGTGTAATCGGTGACAATCGAGTGCGAGAGAAATTTTTCCATTTGGTAAAAGTAATACAATCATCGATCTGACAAAAGTGAAGAAAAAAATCATACGTCAGATTATACTTCTCCGAAGACACCTTCGACTAGATTGAAAAGTGTTTCTTCATTTTAAACGAATTTTTTATTATTTTTCTTTCAAATTAATATGAATAATTAAAGTGTATTTAAAAGAGAGAGAGAAACGAAGATTCTAAGTTACATATACGACATAACGATGCGTCTCAACGGCATTTAATACTATCGTTTAAGTATTATTTCATCCTATTTCGATTGTTATATTGTACATTAATAATTATTAATAATCATTGTTATAAGAAAGATTTGTATCGATTGATTGTAACCAATTGTTTGAGAAAATTTTTTAATTAATTTAATAAGATCCTAAGATGATCTATTTTCGTTGACATTAAACGAAAGTGCACGTTTAGTCGTCGAAAATTCAATTCTATTTCATTTGAAAATCGTTTTACGCTCAAGTGTTCATATGAGAATCAATACTGGGGAACACGAGCTTCTTCCCTAAAGCTCGTTTGTGGCGTAAAGAAGCGTTTACGCCAAAAAGAGCTTATTACAGGAGTACATTCTTGATTGATTCTGATAAACGAGGTCTCATTTTAAAGAGGAAGGTTTAAGCGAGGACATGGCTTTCTTCTTATTTTTAAAACGGCTTAATCTTAATGCATAAACTATTTTGGAAGAAACACTGTTCTTTTATACGATATTTTTCAAAGAACATAAAGGTCTTTCAAAAAAATCGAAAAAGCCACGTCCTCGCTTAAACCTTTGCCTTTGAAAGGAGATTTCGTTCGTCAAAATCGATCAAGAATTACGTCCGTTTTCATCGTTGGTAGTATAAATCATTAGAAAATCAATTCTTCGTGATGAAGAACCGTAACCATTATAAAACCATTGACGAATATTGTCCTTCGTTATATATTATGTTTCACATATAAAAGTGAATTGTTGACGAGAAATATAAGCAAAGATGAAAAATAATGAAAATATTAGAAATCATTGAGAAGAATAATTGACATTTCTTCGTTCGTATAAATGTTTCTCCTTTATTGTAACAATATTTCAGGGTTCTCACGCAACTACGATAGGGACAATGGATAAATCGATTAAATAACTACAGCAACATCTAGACTTTGACCTATTAGATCTTTCGGATATACATAAGGCACAAGTATATTTATTTTTATTCAATTTTCTATACATGTAAAAATATATTTAAAATTTTGGTCTCTTTTATCATTATCATTTTCAAATAATTTATTTGGAATTATAAAGATCTATTATAGATATTGACATATCATCCAGTAAGTTAATTTGGACGGACATAGGTAGTAAGAAAAAACGCGAATTTTATTTCCTCGATGGATTCGTGTTCTGTTATACTGGGAAGACAGGAAAATGCTCGATACATGCTTGGATGCTACTAAATGCATGACATTAATTAACGGCAAAGTAACAGGCAAGCAATGACCATTATCCAGATTTATACTACTAAAACTTAACGATGCATAAATTTGTGGAAATTATTAAAAAGGGGCGGGGAGAAAAGAAAAAGAAACGACTATACGCTAAAATGATTGTCACGAGGAATAAGTTAAAAGCACAAACATTCTCTAACGTCGAATGATCGAACGAGAGTAATAAGGCGCCTCACATTGCGAATAAAATGACATTATTTAACAGAGATGATAATATATATCAGTTCGATTGGAAGAACACGTGTGGATTTTCACTGATGTCCAGGAGACGATAGGCGCCTTTGCGTTTGAAATGGATTCTGTAGTAAACGAGGTGAACACTCGATGACACGCAACAACAACGAATCTATGTAATCTTCCAGATCGACCATACGTTTCTTTTTGTCCGCTACTTCCGCTTGAAGCTGTAGCGTCAGTTCTATCAAATCCTAAAGAAACATGAACGATTCATTATTATATATAATGCGATAGAAGAATATTCTCCTTCTTTATACATCTATATGCATATATTTATATATTATTACTTCTCTAGATTTCCCGTCAAATTGAGAAAGAATTTCATGAGATAGCCGATGTTTAGTTAAATGTTCGCCCTTAAACGCGTCCTCTCCCCCTATGATGATCCTTTCCGAGGAGGAAGGACGATTCTTCTCCTCTTTAATTTCTTTGGTTTTATTCTCCTTCTCCTTATTCTTCTTATCCTTCTTCGCGTTCTTCTCCTCCCTTGGACTCCGCGTGACAAACTTCTCCTCCCTCTTATCCTTCAAATTATTCTCCTTGGAAAATTTATCCTTGATCAAAGCCGGCTTCTCGTCTTTGTTAATCTTATGTTGGATAATTTCACGCGGAGCTGGACTTGGAGGTTCCGAGGTGTCTCTAAATCTAGACGACGGCGATGGCGAGTGCGTTGGCGAGAGATCCGATCTATCGTCCTTCGGCTCATCTACCAGAATCTTTGGATTATTCAGCTTGGTACTTTCCCATCTGTATCAACAGGGTAGCGGGAGGAAAAGAAAATAAATGTAAAGTCTAGGACATAATTAGGATATAAGAGAGACGATTTGGAAAATGACCTCTTGGGAGCGTTAGACTGTTTCCCATAAAGTTTCAGGCCCCATTCGTCCTCCTCCTTTTGATTGTCGATTTTGGATAGGGACGAAGTCGAGGAACTCGTGGCGAAACGCGGCGGCTTGTTGGGGGCCACGTTGGCCGGTGTGACCGGTGCCGTTTGTTGTTGTTGTTGTTGTTGTTGTTGTTGCTCGTGGCCGACATTGTTGCGACCGAAGGAGGCAGCGGATGCGACCGACGTCACGCTGTTGCTTTTCTTCGTACCGTTTACAGTAGCAACCGCCGGCGCATTCAACGATGAGGCTGAACTCTTGTGGGACAGATCATCAAACTGAAATGGATGAGTGTGACGTGATAATAAATATCGTAAAAATACGTTATTTATTATATGTCAGATTATAATAGCTCACCGTAAATTCGTCCTCGTCCTCACTGATCACACCAGGATCGGCTTCCCCGGGTTCTTGGCTGGTCGCACGAAATCCATTCTCTTCTTCCCTTTCGTCCAAATTCTCTTTGTTCAATTTATTTTTGCTCTTTCCTTTGACGCGATTACCAATAGACTTGGCTAATTTTTTCAATCCCTTTCGCTTCTCGATACTACCTATACTCAACAAACTACCCCCGATGGATTGAGCCGCGGTCGACAATTGTCCGAGGGAACTTTTGTGTCGTTCCTTCCTCGTGAGATCTGTCAAACTTCCAGCCTTCACTATAAAGCCAATCCTCACTTCGAGTTCGCCCCTGTCTTTCGTATTCTCTTTACCCGGTTTACTGCACAACGTATACCTAATAGAAACAAGACGTAACGCTCATGTTAGAATCTAAAAGGTGAGAGAAACTAAGAGCTCAAGTCGGAGAAGATTATTTTTCTTCGTACAATCTTTCGTCGCGTACAATCACACGTTTACGCATCACGTATGCATAAAGTGTGCACGTACATTGGCTTCTGTCCAACGTAGCCCGTTTACGGCTCGCCTCTTATAAACTCTCATCGTGTGCTCAATTTTAATATTAGATCTAATCTCGTACACACGCATACGCGGCGTATATGCACCGAGAGAATTTCATCTTCTCTGGCGAAACGTTATTAGCGCGCGCGCACACCACATACACACACAAATAGTCGGTGAAAGCAACCGTATCTCCGCATAAAATCGATCCATCTCCGATAGTTTCACTTTACGTACCATCTATTCTTGGGTCTCTCGTAAACGTCGAAACTCGCCAAGGGAATGCTAACGGTGCCGAGAAATTCATCGACGCCGAGGAAGTTACGGTGCAATGCCGTGAGGACGATTTCCGCGGTATTTCCTTGTTCTGGTATGGCCAGTTCGCATTCCTCGTGCCATTCCACGTCCTTGGAAGCCTTCTCTTTCACCGAGGTCTGGTACTTTTCCTTGCCGAGGGCAATTGTCACGAAGCAATCGTTGGTCTCTGCGTTAAGATAGGTTAAAAGTTTACGTGTGGGTGGTGGACAGGGAAAATCTCGATCGGTTAATTAAGGAAAAAGGAATTCGCTCGATACGAAAAAGACTTTATTTTCTCTATTTATTGCTTTTTACATTTTATTCTCGTAACGCCCCATAACTCGAGGAACGTCGATTTCTCGCGATAAATGGCACGAATTACGTCCGAGCGTTACGGCATTCGAGGTATTCTTAACCTCTGTTGCAATCTTATTTACTTTGGAACGACCAAGGAAAAGTCGAACTGCTTACGCGCTTACCTAAGCTAAATGAAAAATACTTAACCTCAAAAGTCCAACTCGACATTATAATATCTGGGTCAACGATGCGACAGTCAAGTTCAACAAGACGGATAAAATTGGTCGTCAAACTGCAAATGTGTGTATTATTAATTACTCGTCACGAAACTCGATCCCGCTGACGCGTTCGTTATTCGTCCGATTACATCGATTTATATGGAACACTTGGCGAATAAGGAGATTCTTTTTAATACGCATATCCTGTTGTGCTCTCTCTCTCTCTCTCTCTCTCTCTCTCTATATATATATATATATATATATATATATATATATATATATATATATATATATATACATACATATATACTCACTGTTTTTTCCTTTGGTCAATAGCCCCTTCGCTCTTTGAACTGCGAACAAAATCAAAATTATTTCTATTAGTTCTCGTTCGATATTATTTTTGTCTGCTCTATTCTTTATATCTTTCCCTTTTTTTTTTACCATCGCTTGACTTTCATCAGCCGCATACCAGGCTCGCTTTATAACTTTCCGAACGCGATCGCGTTCACTCTTATCGGGAAGTTTGACGAGAAAAAGTTTTCTACGTTGGTATGTATCCATGTATCTCGGTTACCGCCCCACTGCATATTATATACATATATACGCCCCTAGCAATCTCTCTACGCCTATAACGAAAAGAAAAGACGAATCCGTAAATACACTCGATATACTTTCGTGCGATTTTCTCTTTGGAATGAATTCGTTTGTTTTGTTGAAAAAATTCCTCTCTCGGTCTCTCACCCTCTCGCATTCTTTCGTGATTAGAAGTTCGAGTCGATGGGTCAAAGTCCATAAAGGAAGACCTAACCGTCAGTCAAATGTCGTCCAGGTTGGAAGCGTGCATTTTTTAACGCTCGTTGCGTCCAACGACGTAACAACGAATACCGTCGCACGCCGCCTCTCAAAGAGACACATTGGTTCTTGTTAAACTTTCGATGTAAAAAATGGAGAATAAACGAAACAATTTGATTTTAACAAATGCGTAAACAATGAAATCCGATGGAAGATGCGTCACGATTCCGATCTATCTTAGAGAATAGAAATTTTTAATAAGGGCCTGTCACCAAACGACTACGTTACTGATCGAAGGGAGTTAGCGGTCCGTACACGCGAACGAAAAGGGGAGCAACACACCGGGTCGTGTTATACGAGAGCTTTCACACGACTATTTTCTATAGGGATATTAAGGCATCGAGAAAACGGCGAAACCGTGCGGCCATCTTGCACGAAGAAGATCACCTATGCATATACACACACAACACGTGTGTGTCTGTGTGTGTGTATATATATATATATATACGCGCGTATGCCTACGATGATAATTGACGCTCGTCATATATTCTTCGTGTTAAGCTCGTGGCAAAAAACCTTTCTACCACGGCTCTCTGGATCTCAAGCGTGAAACCGTTAGCTCGAATCTGTCGACTCGTAGAGAGCTGAAAATAATCTCTTTGAAAAAACAAAAATATTATTACAAATATTTGCCTTTCTATTTTGCTTTTCTTTGAGACATACGCGTTTCGATATTTTACGCGTATTATCGAGATTGTTTATATATTTTTCTTCAAAACTTATCGTCCGGTCGAACTATCCATTGGCGTTTGAGGTCAACGAGAAATAAACACGTTAAGAGAAATGCATGGATATCGCATAACCCGTTATCCATGGACGTATCAAACGTTAGGAATATTTGAAAAGATGTTTCTACGTGTTTAAACGTATACCGGGGTAAAGTAAATTTAGAAACGAAAACATTTGCGATAATATCGGATAAGTTAACGTATGGTAGAAAAAGAACGACGATATGTTTTTATGCGGTTCGTTCGCTCGTCCTTCGAGAGCGAAAATTAGGCGCGCATTTTCGAACGCGATAAGCGCGGGAGAAGGAGCGCCTTTCTTTCTTTACATAGAGACGATCTAATCGTCCTTGGACGTCTCGATAGGCGTTTCATCGAAAACATTTGACGGAAAACGATGGAAGAGGAAATCATGTCATATCGTTCGTATTAAGGAAATCCGTTCCTCTTAATATCGAAGTCACCGCAGACGAGGACGATGGTTCGGCTTTCTAAACGCATTCCACGATCAACGTGGTGATAATACTTGAAAGGTTTCATCCGCCTACATCTCGACGGAGGACAAACACGTAACTACTCGGCTTACGTGTTCTATTAATCGACTTTACTAATATATAGCTCTTCTAACCTTTTCTTATTCCATACCCTCTCCATTCATCTATCTATCTGTGAATTTATCTATCTCTCTTGCTCCGAGCCACCTGTCGAGTCATTGGCATGATCCAAACCTTATGACGTATCATTCGTCGATTCTTACCTGTCACTTGTACGTGAGTAGGACTCCACATTTTCGGTCTAATTTGGCAGGCGATTTGTCGCGTCGAGTACGTCAAGTGTCTCTCTTCTCTTCTCTCTCTCTCTCTCTCTCTCTCTATCTTTGTTTACTTAACCAAAAAATACGCACGACGCGTGTTCCTACGTGTCTTGCGCATTCTACGAGACGGTCGCTTTCAACACCCATGCGAGAGTGGCTTTGTAATAGGTTAAATGTATAAAAGACGCTCGCCGTACCGTACGGTGGCATCGACTACGATCAACTACGACTCTTACGATTCTTCCAACAACCGCTACGTCTACTTTCTCTCTCTCTCTCTCCCTCTCTCTCATCTGTCAGCATGCTAGCCAGCGCGCACTCTTCGCGCGCAGACCGCACTTACTGCCATGCCAGGTGCGGCACGAGATCGACTTGGGCCACTAGCTTGCAAATTTGCGTTCAGGTCGGTAAAATTGACAAACTGTCAGATACGTTCCATTATCGGCCTTTTTTTTAATTATTAGCATTAGTGATTTCACGTACCAACGATGAAAGTGAAATATGTTCGTTTCCTTCGTCGTTACAACGAAAGCGCATGTATTCGTATGCATCAAACGTTTGTATATGTAAAATAAGCAAACAGTCTGCTAGTCACTCGTTTCTTGGATCGTCGATAAGATACGAATACATTTACAATCTCGTAAACGAGAAAGCTTGTATGAAATTCTTATAAAACTGGTCTCTCTTCCTCTCTCTCTCCCTCTTTAAAGATGACAAACAAAGAATACTCATTAACTTCTTAATACTTATTTACATAGAAGATGGCCTTGCAGTATTCTATTGTTCGAAAACATGTATTTTCATAAACGATTCTCTTGTGCGAGAAAAAACGATTAAGAGAAAGAAAATCATGTTCGATGTATCTTCGAAATTTTTTTATCTATGGATACTCGCGCAAAAATATCGAATAATAAACGGAAACGAAAAGACGGTAGCATGATCGAACATGGACGTTCTCATAATTGCTGTGCATGGTTATCCTTGTTATTTCGTAATATCGTCTCGTGACTGGCACACGGAGACGCCGTTTTATTTATGAACCGTTTAAATGGTTTAAAATGACTAACATGAAATATTGTTTGAACGTTGGAAAAAAATGAAGGAAGGAAGAAAAAAAAAAAGAAAAAAAAAAAAAAAAAAAAGAAATAATACAGGCAATTCGATTACGATTTATGTAAAATAATTTTTTGTCAGCTTCGAATAAAATTTTCCATAAGAAATGGTCTTATCGATCTCTCGGAAATATTTCATTTCCGTTAATAGACGTCATCTCGAGGATCTAACCGAGCCTTTTCCTCTTATCATTTTGCTCGGTAACTTTTTGAAAAAACACGCGCAAACGTTAACGGTATCATTGCTTTGTTCGTTTGCTTACGTCACGTTCTCACACTCTCGCCTCGTACCCATTATTACGCTGTACCGAGTTAAAGTAAATCCACGCCTTACTATTAATTAATTTGTCGACTTAAACGCAGCTCTGCCGAGGTTATCGCTCGTTTATCGCTTGGATACGATTCGTCTCTTCGTTTCGATGTTCGATAATTTTTCTTCAAGGTTGATAGTTTATTCATTTCTCTCTCTCTCTCTCTCGTAATTATTTCGTTGGACTTTTGACGATATATAAGGCTTATCGTCGAACCGATAAAGCAGCATACTTGTAAATAGTATGGTTGCCGGTAATTAAAATTTCTTTTGTATGTTTATGATCATTATTCCTTATAGAGTACCGTGGACGCACACGAGCGCATGGAAAAATGTTGAAAGTCACGTCTTTGCCTGGTTTACCAGGAATACGTGGATATGCGCGAAGAATGCAAAGTTTTAGGATCGGCGGCCGGTTAGCGAAATAGCTAAGGATCTCTAGCCTCTCGCGTAATTTCCTCCGACGAAATCTTGTTTTCTTCAACACCGCACGTTTTCGATGCAACCTGCATACATTTCTCTTTTATTTCTAAGAAACAATGTCGGATACGTGCGAGCGACGATTAAAGGTCGCTTCTTTCCTGTCTCAACACCGTCGTTCGTAAGCCCGGAAAGGCATAGCAACGCATTGCGTGATTCGTTATACACGTGTTAACAAAGCCATGATTCATCGAACTCTACAAAGATCGGCAACAGGTGTTCTTGCTGCAATTTTATTTGCTTTTAGCGTATATGTAAATAACACATGTAAATAATACGGCTTCGAAACTTCGAAGGAACGCAAAGTGTACGTGTATCTATGTAAAGTCATTAGGTAGATTCATTAGGCGTTAATAATTTTCGTAGAAATTCGTGACAGAACGAGGTAGGTTAAACGAGTGTCATAATTTGCATTAATTACGATGAACGAATTTTAATTTCTTGATCGAAATTTTTTTATTCCAGCACGTACGATACGTACGTACCAAGCCGCATTTCCATTATTCGACAGGTACGAAGAAATTCATGAAGCTTCGTTCACCTGTCGCATGAGGGCAGTCGTAGATACGACAACGACTAAGACGCGCCTGCCATCTTTGTCGAAACTTGGTTTTTCTCTTGCTCTCGTCTAAAGGTCGATTTAATTTCCGTCTCGTTGGAATCAACGTGTAGATTTCGAAAAAAAAAAAAGAAACGAAAGAAAAAGGAAAAAAAAGAAAAAACCAAAGAGTTCGAATATACGCAAGGACTTCTGACGACATAACAAAAGCATTTGAAAGTTATTCGTTTTTCATAAATTTTCCCATTCCGCGTTGAATTTGCGTTCGCGGATCATTGTGTCGCGTACGTTTATCGCGACAAATGCTCCCGCTTTTCCATCTTCCTCCCTCGCTCGCTTTATCTCCCTCCTTCTCGATCGAGCTTCCCTCTCCTCGTACTAAGAGGCCCCGATACGGTTGCGAGATGACGCGATTGGTCCCTACGATCCCGCATACGCGCGAACCGACCTTTAGTTCGTTCGCCGCCGATCTCGTGTACGGTCGTACCTGTTGGTACCCGATTGAGCGCTCGCCGGTTAAGAAGCAGTCTAATCCCAGTCGTTTTCGAAAGATCGTCACGCGGTCTCGTACGTGCCACCGATATATATATATATATATACATACATATATATATATATATTCGGGTATATAAGAGAGGTGTGGAAGAAGGGAGAGTAGGGGAGGAAGGAAGAAAACAAAAAAAGGGAAGGAAGAAAGGAAAGGCGTAAATCGAGAATAAGATAGCTCGCGTAGATCGCGAGTGTCGTTCGTTCATCCCTTCTACGACGGAAAATCTGGAAAGTCAAGGTGCAAGTCTCGAAATGTCGTCCCTGAAGGGCGATAAGACACCTTACGCACGTCTTTGCCACATCGTCAAGTGGGATGACTTTGACGGTTACGGCTTCAATCTTCACGCGGAGAAAGGAAAGAACGGGCAGTACATCGGTAAGGTGGATGAGGGTTCCCCGAGCCAAGCTGCTGGCTTGAAGCAAGGGGATCGAATCATCGAGGTAAACGAGATTAACATAGCCAATGAGACTCACAAGCAGGTGGTCGAACGCATCAAGGCGTTCCCGAACGAGACCAAGCTCCTGGTGCTCGATCATGAGGCTGACGAGTACTTCAGGGCAAACAACGTCATCGTCAAGGGCACCATGGCGAACGTCAAGGTAATCAAGACGCCGGAGAGGAATCCGAACAGCGTGGATCACGAGGAGGGATCGGACCACGGCATCTCCGCCGACGAGGTGAGTCTTTTCTTTCCCTCCCCCCCCCCTCTCTCTCTCTCTTTCTCTCTTCCCCCTCTCTATCGCCTCTCGTTCTCTCTTTCGATGATTCTCCTTTGCTTGCGATCCTGCTTCTCTCGAGTATTACGAATCGGTCGCACTAATTACTTATTAATGGATAAAGAAATGTCATTTGTCGGGCATTCGTAGGCGACGGAGCAACGTGGGAAAACTCGTTTTTTATAGGTTATCTCGCTTGGTGCATCATCGTTAATATAAAAAGACAAGAATCTACTTTCCGTCCTTCTTCGAACGTAACGCACGAGGAATTTAGAGGTCGTAGTTTCTTTTTTTTCTTTTTTTCTCTTTTTCTTTTCAGAGACACGTACGAAAACAATATTTTCAAGGATCTTTAGAATGATTAATTATTATTTTCCTCTTTCCTTAGCGAGTCTGCGTCTCGAGCAATTCGGCGAATTTCGCGGTTACGAAGCACGTGACCAGACCGATAGGTTATTTTATTCGAACTATAAATACCTGTTATGCCGCTGTTTGTTCTCTCCATTCCTCTTCTAACGATTTTCAACGAGTAGATTTCGCTTTCGGGAAACGTAGTAGTACAAGTGTTTCCAACATCTGTGTTTATTCCGGCTTGGAGATAACAAGTCGAAGAAACGCTACCTTCGTCGGACAAAACGTCTATTTCGAGAAGAAGAAAAAAGAAACAAGAAAAAATAGCATTATTCATTATTCGATGTCTTTCGAGATAGGTCATAGATGCGAAGGGAAAACGTTGCGGCGATCGGTATAAAAATATCTATAGAACGGATCGCTTGGCTTACGCGATCTTCGAGACGGTGCAAGGTGATTGCATTCAGCGCATAATCTCGTTACGGAAATATATATATATATATATATATATATATATATATATATATGTACACATAAGTATATGTGCAAGATAAGAAGAATGCGCGAATTGAGATGACTCGGTCGTCGTCTCTCCATTTCTATCTCTGTCTTCCTAGGGCTTTGAACTTAAGAACGAGAGCGCGAACGTGTCGCGTGTAATAAAAAATAGGAACGGAAGAGGTAACGAGGATACATTTTACGCGATAATCTTCGTTAAAGATAGTCTATAGTTTATTAAGGTTCAGTGGGGACCAAACACGCGACTACTCGTTGATGCTCGTATATGGATTCGATCGAAGCAAAAGTATTATAGCGATTAACTATAATCCATGGGTTTTCGCTTTCTAAGATGTACGGTATTTGGATATGTCCTAAATATTATAAAATTATTATATAGTTTCGTTAGTACGTAGTATGATTTTTTTCGAGCACGATTAAATATCTCGTTTACTTGTTCTCTCGTCTCGAAGCAACCCGACAATATGATAATTCACGTCCTCCCCGGTTTATCATTGGTTTTATCGCGTATCAAACAACCGACGAAACTTTCTCCGAGTCTGCCCACGCAAATTTCATTGTCGTCATCCTTTCGTTTCGTTCCTGAGGAACGGCCGAAAGGAAAAAAATCTCAATTTTATCTAATCGCTTATCTCAATGGGCTTTATCGACGAATCGATCGAATCCGATACTAACGAGAGAATAATAATCAACACGCGTTATACAATTATCTAAATGTGTGCGCGTGATCATTTCGTTGAAACGATCTAATTATTCGACGTGTCTTATGAAATTATTCTTTGAGACTGGAATGAAGGATGATGGGGAAGGATGATCGATGACTCATCTCCTCCTCTACCGGGGAAGATAAAACGGCCGTGTAATGAACACTCTTATTGTCGTACGAACGTAAATCGTCTCTAATTACATTCCATAATTCATTCGTTTTCTTTCATTTTTGCTCGTCGAAGAAGAAACGTTTCGTTTATTATTACCTTATCTCTCTATCAAAAGATTCTCGGATAGGGATTTTTTTCTCATCTTCAATGCGATTTATCGCGCGAAATCGCGCCTGCGATTCTCAAGTCCGACCGACGCAACACAACAATGCTGCCACCCACTCACCTACATACGTAGTATGTATCTACGTAGATATGGTTAGGTGTACGGATAGATGCACGTAACGAGAAAAAGAATATTTATCGGAGAGAACGATTAGCCTGAGATACTAATTACCGGATGTTTCCGTTTTAGAGAGCTCGATTCATTTCGTTGGGATTTACGATCAATCGATCGATCGATCGATCGATCGATAGATACATACATACATTCGTCCTTTATACGAGCCTCCTCGCGTTTCCAATTACGTAACTCGTCGTACTCGTTGGCTAATACGTTGCCCTGAATTCTTCCTCTCGTATTCGAACGAATTTGTATTACGCGGGCTTTCGAAGCGCGCGAGCATCGGTATTTCATTCGTTCGAATACACATGCCCATGCATCTATCGACGCGTGAATATTAGCGCGAGAAAACGAAAGGGAAACGATAACACTTTCTTTCTAGGCGCATTAATTGGATATATATTTGCGTTACGTCGACGAATCGTTAGAAATTCTCTCGCTTGCACACATCGATATATATATATATATATATATGCACATACGTGCATACATAGCACGTCGAGAATATTAGTTACACTTGGAAGAGAGAGAGAGAGAGAGAGAGAGAGAGAGAGAGAGAGAGAGAGAGAGAGAGACTTTGCCTATCATCTTTCGTTTTTCGATTCGATGATCTCTTACGATATGGTCGAGAGCTCTTTTCCGGTCTTCGATGAGCTTACGTAAATTCCGCGTTCGCGTCAATTCCGGCTCTCCTCCTATATGTGTCTACTCGGTAATTCGATTTTATTGTGAATACCTATCTTTTCAATGTATATCGCGTGATCTCTTTCCTAGTGGGCCCCTACTATTACACATTGATCGTTTCGTATTATCGATAACCCTGTTAAAAAGATACTCGAAATCGGTGCTTGAAAGTTAGAAAATCGGGTCTATGCTAAATGCTAAAGAAAAAAGAATGTGTGTCCGCATTTTCTCGAAGAGGAATACTCGTATTCGGATAACGGGTATTCCAAAAAAAAAGAAAAAAAGAGAAGAAGAAAAAAATAAGGAAAAAAGGCAGGCAAACGATTGCAGCAGCCTCTCCTTTCTCTCCTCGAAGAATAATTAAATGGCCGTGCCGTGCGTGCGTGCGTGCGTGCACGTGCTCGCGCGCGCGCGAGCGAGCGAGCAGACGACAAACGACGTGTGCTCGCGTCAGGGTAATTTCAAAGCAGTAGCGTATCGGTGTATCGAACTCGTTCAACGTTGTATTTTCTGGGTCGCCGCGAAATTCCTCTCTCGTTTAGCAGGTGAAACGTCGTTCGCTGGTTATACGTAGAACGTTTCAAGGTAGCTTTGAGAGAGCTACGTTGTAAATTATTCCGCAAATACGCTTCATTCCCTCTCTTATCGGCAACGGCTGCCTGCGGTTATGTAAATCGATTCGCCTTCTTTTTTCTCCCTTTTTTTGCTTTTCTTTTTTTCCTTTTTTCTTTTTTTTAAATCTGCGAAAAATCTGGCAAGGATAGGTAGAGCGTACGGCGATGACGCACACGTGAACGCATTCTAATGCGATTTAACGAGCCGTTTAGTAGCGTAACAAAGCGTATAATCGAATATCAAAGAGCGATTAATTTCGGTGCACACGTTTCAAGTGTCCTCGCTATTGTTTCAACGTAACGAGTATTTATTGACTCATAAAGTCGAGTTTGGAATAGGAAGAAAATTTGTAGGAAATGGGTAGAGCAGATATGAAAATCGTGGGGCTTTGAGCGTCGGTCAGCACGATAGCCGACTAACATTATTTCGAAGGGATTTAAACGGTTTGTGCTCGGTGAAACCGGTTCTCTTCGTCGCGCATAGGCCTAACCGATGGAATTCCTTTAAGTACCGTTCAGAGTTGCATCAGGCTCATCAAGGTCATCGTGATATCTCACGAAAATCAATCCTACTCTCTCTCTCTCTCTCTCTCTCTCTCTCTCTCTCCCTCTCCCTCTCCCTCTCTCTCTCTCCTCCGTCTATTATCTCGAAGGATTAGCCGACGTAGAGACAGAAACGCTCGATGAAAATTTGTGTTTCCTCTTCGCGCCGAAGATAGAGAAAGTAGTGGTAATAGCAGCAGCTATTAGACGACAGTAGGTAATAGTTTAAAAGATAATCATCGAGACGGGAAAAACCGCGCGCTCTCGACTAATCATATTTTTCTTCTTTTCTTTTTTTTTTTTTTTTTTTTTTTTCTTTTTTTTCCTGAACGGCACGATCGGCTATCGTGGAGACGACTCGAAGTGGAGGAGGGAGAGAAACGTCCGGTTAGGAATATTTGGAGGAAAAGTGGCACGCGAGGAAGGTACGTTTGACCTTGGTACGTGATACGCATTTCGTCGATAGTTCACCGGCATCGACCGGTATCGAGGGATATTGGTCAGGACGCGAACGTGACGAGTTTTTTCGATTCTCTACTTTTATTCTACGTTGATTCGCCCTCGTACTTTTTTCCAACTTCTCCAACCTCATAATTATACGGAGAAATTCCGTTTCTTTTTCAGAATGCACGAAAGTCGACCGGGTCCAACGACACGGAGCACAGCGATAGCACGGCAACGACGGTGAATGCTTCTACGATAGCGATGACAACGACGACGACGATGATGACGACGACGGCTTCGTCGACGACGATGTCCTCGTTGTCGAGCGAAAACGAAGAGACGAGTATCGCTCGGGAAAACGGCAGTACCAAGTCGAGAAACAGCGAGACGACGGAGGCACATGTTCACGGAACCGGCAACGGCACCGTCGCCGGGAACAACGAGCCCCGGCAAGGTTTGAACCTGAAGATGAGCGCGAAGGAGCTCAGGGCTCAGCTGGCGGCACGGAAGAAGTACGATCCTAAGAAGGAGTCGATCGGCTTCAAGGACAAATTCGACATCGTTCAGAAACTTTAATTATTAAGTCGGCTAATTAAGAAGAACAAACAGACAAACAAACAAACAAACAAACAAACAAACAAACAAACAAACAGGCAAACAAGCTAGCACAAAAAAGAAACGAAAAGGATACGGTATCATCTCGATCGATCTAAAAGCCACGGTGTGATTCTTCGTATTTCTTGGCGGTCCTTTCTGGTTCTTGCATTTCTCTTTTATCGGCCCTTTCCCCTCTCATATACTCTCATCGATATTATTATTACGAACGAGCCGAGTCCGTTGGCCAAATTTTATCTAGCGGCAGGAAGGCGCGTTATCGAAAAGGAACGTACACATACGATTACATCCATCCGGTCGTTGCGATAAAACCGCGACGCGTTACGTTCGTTGGCTTTGTTAATTATTGTTTTAAGCGGGAAGATCGCGTGATGAAGGTACGCGATAGATATAGATATAGCATAGGTTATATACACAAGTATATGGGAAAAGAGAGAAAGGACAAATTGTCGTGTTCTCGTTCGTAGAGAATCCTCTCGCGAATGCGAATACGAAAATCGGTATACGATATATAGGTGGAGAAACGTTCGGTTGGTAACGCGAGTCCGGATATACGTAATTACGAAGACACGGATAATTACGGTAAATTCATTCCCCGAAGATGTTACCGCGATTACCTGCCATTTTCGCGGCAAAATACTTCCGGATATTCGTTCGTTAGGCAGAGCCTCCTACTTATTTTCCTCTTCCCGTCTTTCGCAATCGGTTTGTCGTCAAAGATATTTTTTTCTTTCTTTTCGTTTCTTTTTTAAAACTTTGTGTAACTCCCGGGAGCGAGTCACCGATAAATATTCCCGAAAGAAGTCGCCGATTCTTTATTTTCATCAAAAATTCGTATTTGCGCGACAAAAATTCGATGAACTCGCCTTTGGTATTGGCTCGAAGCTAGCCGCGAATAGTTTTTGAAAAACTATTTCCACGTACGATGGAAACGCAAGGAATGCTCTCAAAGATGCTATCCTCCTCCAGATTCGTGCGCCTCTAGGATCGAGGAAAATGATATCATCGTGTCACCTTTGACACCGATCTTCGAAAGATAAGCGCAACGCCGTTATTAATCGTCTCTTTTATAAAGATTTTCTCCGTCAAACTTTACATCCACTTACCTTTTCCACTTTCAGCCACATTCGAAAAAGTTTGCGTTCGAAAAGTTGCGAAGAAACTTTGCGTTTCTCCGATCATCGGAAGGAATTTTTCATCGATAAAGAAATAACGATAACGTCAATGCATTATTGCGGTTATCGAGATAGAAGGAAGCCGTGAAAACGTAATAGAAAGTGTAATATGTAGTCCGCTAATATAACGTGTCCTACATGTCGATAAAATAGCAGGTAACGTGCAATTGTAAAAATGTTATTACGACGAAATGAGATAACCGAGTTTTAGCGTAGCAAGTGGCAGCGAGAATGCGCGTTTTAGAATGCAATCGTACAATGCTGAGAATACAATATTTTTCACGTTAGTTCGCATAGTTGGTTTACACGCTTGAATCGAGACTCGAGGAGAGTCGTAGGAACGTATATAAAAGTTAGGTTTACATCTGACTGTACGTTGCTAAATATTACGACGACATGTTGTGCAACATTCAATTATCGTTATCGTCGCTGGTACGCGCTCACCTGCATCCAACCCGAGTCAGAGACACGATTCGTGCCGCTCGTACTAACGACTTTTGGTTTCCCTTTCTTCCTAAATCTCCAAAATGGCATCGCGATTTCTAACTCTTATTACAAACGTTCATTTAGATTTTACACGCAAATACTATTCCACCATTATATTTCTTTTTTTCTATTTTTACGCAAACTCCGTTGTACCGCCGACTACTATCTATCGACGTTAGCGCAACGTCAGGTTTATTCCGATTATTCCTATTATTCAAGCCCATAACGTACGTTTCAAGTAATTTTATTGTATTCGTCGTTGAGCGACGGGATTTGCATTGAGCAATAGTATTCGATGACATTAGAGCATTACTACTCCAAATACCGTTAGGACGACGCGCGACTTATACGTTCGCTCAAAGGATCGCCTTCAAGGATCGCTAATCGTGAATGGAATTTTAATGCGCGAGCCCGTTTTCTTTGCATAGATCATCGCTGGTACGAGGAGAGTTCGTTTAGCATTACGTGCGAGATGCACGAAAAATCTCACTCGCGTATGCGATTCGGTAAAATGTATCTCTGTGTCGTCCTCCACAACCAATCTTTCTAATTTCTTCGCTTTCAAGGATTTTTTTTTTTTTCTTTTTTTTTATTATTATCTTCAGAGTCTATCATCTTGTCGAGTCGATGCCTTGTAAAGTCGATCAAATTGACGACAGTGTGTCCTGTAAAGTATTGTACTTTTGCCGATCTAGATATTCAAGATGCCTACATTGTCGACGATCGTTGATCGCCGTTAAGAAGGTGACCGCCATCGTAACTTAGATACGTCAGAGAATTTTTCGAGGAAGGCTAACTCTTCGACGAGAGCTATAAATCGTATTACGTGGCTATAAATTGTAATTGTTCAATCGTCTCCTAATAATACACGTTCTCGCACGTCAATCACGTTTTCTGCAATACGTTTGATCGTTGTAAAATGTAAATATTAGAAGTCGTGTGCCAGTTTCGGTGCAACGATCACTATGAAAGGGTGGATACTACGTTTATACAGAATCACGGCCCCGCTTATATATTTGCAACCTTTATTTTTTCTTTTTTTTCTTTAATCTCATTTTATCTCATACTACCAACGGTCAATAGTTACTCACTACTTTTCAAGTAAACATTTATTATAATGGATCGGATAGATTTGAGAGAGACGATGTATATTTTGTTTTAGTAAAAAATCGTAATCTTTTCTATCGATTGGTTGCACCGAACTTTTAAAATGTATATAATTATAAGCACATATACATATGCACGGTTCTTTTTTTTTTCCTCCATTCTTCCCGTAAGAATGGAACGTGCACGTTGTTATGGTTATCGAGCGCACATAAAGATGTTAATTACGTTAGTTTAAGTTTACTATTTTCTTGTTTGACTATAAGACTTAGTTATTGTGTTACTCATTGTAGTACGTGTACGCGCGTACCTACTGTCTATTTACATAAAACGTCGATGTACGTGTTATTATTCGTTTACATTATTTCATTCAATATTTTATTCTTACCAATTTACATGGTAAATTTACAATTTACGCAACCAATTTCCTGTGCCCCTAAATTAATGCAAAGTATGTGTCGACAACGTCGGTCGATCCGTCGGTAATGACACGATCGACGGTTATCGATAATTACCAATGTTCGAGTTTCCGAATTCTGAAGGTGGCGCCAGTTTTCACTTTTCCGATCGGATTCGTTTGCACGAATTTTTAACGAATTTTTTAAACGCTTAACGAACATTCTCGCTGAAAAACGGTAGGAGGAAACAGCTCCGATGTACTTTGATGACTCGGCGGTAACTTTTAAGGATGGTGTGAGTATATTAGTTTTAAGCAATCTATACGTTCTTCATGATTACTTTTCAAATAATTTAGATTTGATGTAACGGTACAAAGAATGGCATGACCCTTTCTTCTCTTTTCTTTTTTTCAAGAAATTAAGATGACGCAATTACGTCGTCCCTTCTGGACTCGACTTTCAACCATAAAAACGTTAATTGCCGACGAATCGTAAAATGGAACGTAAAAATTCTGTAAAATCACGTAAAAGAAATAACGACGATCGTTCACGTAGATTCTCGTAAGAATCGAATCGCGTACAAATTCGAAGAGAACTCTTTGTATGCAATTGCATACGATTTATGGAATTTACGAATCGTTTGTTATTGGCGGAAGCTATCGGTAACTTATTAGCTTCATTCTGTTCTGGATCAAAGAGGGAAACAGAGAGAGAGAGAGAGAGAGAGAGAGAGAGAGAGAGAGAGAGAGATGTGGCTCGTGAGTATGAGAGAGACGAAGCGACGTAAAGCTAGGCAGAGGGAGCGAGAGAGAGAGCGAGAGGCGGACATATATGGTCGCGGGGTCCGAGAAGCTCTCAGGTTACGCCGTCGGCGCTAACGGTTTTCACGATGTTCGTTCCCTCTCTCTCTCTCTCTCTCTCGACGCGTACAAATGTTACATATATACACTTATGTACATGTATACATATGTACATATATCTTTCTTTCTCTCCCTCGTTACTGCGATCTCTTCTCGCGCTCGTCGCCTGTCTTTCTCTCACAGTTATCCGTCGTCTCGCTCGAGCAACGACCAAAAATATCGACGGGCAACAAGCAGAGGATGAAACGAAGATAGAGCGATCGCGGGCGTGCAAGCTCGTTGGTCCAAGGGAGATGGACGATGCGCGATTAGAAGAGCACTCGCTGCATGGCGCGCGTGATACATAGAAGAGGAGGCGGGGTTTTCGTTATTTCGAGATTATCGGGGATTGCCTGCTTTCTGGAATCGTGCCGATCATTTCTCGTTTGGACCATCCGATATCATCGAGCGTTCCCTCGATCTCGAATGCATGGCGCTCGGTCATACGATCTTATTTGCAATGGTGCATCGATCAACGACGACTTTCATGCAAACGGACATCTATCCATTTCATTCGCACGAAAGGATTTACTTCTAATGACGCATTATCTTTTAATGTCTCTTTCAAAGATAAGAGATCTATAACGCAGTCATAGCTCAATCAGATTTATAACATGTAACCAAGTAGAAATCAAGCTGGATTTTCTCAATGTCTCTTTTGTTTTTTTCTTTTTTTTTTTTTTTACAGTACATTGTGAAAAGAACGAAAGAGGCCGAAAAGAAGTTTTTACTTTTAGATGCATTCGTCACGTGGGAAAAATGAAACAATGAACGTAAGGATAATGAAGGAATTTTTTTCCCTCCTGCTTATATTTCTCCTTCTCAGGGCCGACGATATAAGAAACGTCGCGCAGGATTGTTCCTGCCGGCGCGTAAAACGATGCGTTTGAAATGTAAAATTCTATGAATAGAATGTGGTCATGTTACAGTGTCACCACTTTCAAGAACGTACACTCGCCAATGTAAGAATCTATACACAAGCTTTGTGTATAATAACTTTTTCTTGCTAGCGAATAGAGGGTGCTTTCGTAATATCTCTCTCGAGAAAATTCGCTAACACGGTTAGCAATAAAATAATAAGTTCTCGCTATGTTTTTTCTTTTTCTTCAATTTATAGAACGATTGCATAATGGTGACAAAACTCATAAGTATATTGGCAAGAAACGATTCAGCGAGATCTCGTTGTCAATGGTGCGATTTCGTACACGTAGGTGCCGTTTCTCTCGAAATAGACGTTGCCACTCGGCAAATAGATTTTCCTCGGGACGCGCGCGCGCGCCGACAAATTCTTCGACGACGACGTTTTATACGACAACGTTACGTCGCTCGTAGCGCCGACCTTACTACAAGTAGTAAAACCACGCTCTTGTCAGCCATGCGCATCGACCGCGTTACAGCGAGAGATAGTAAGAAGAGTTTACCGCGAAATAATAAACGGATTCTAACGGATAGTCTTTGCCAAGGGAACCACTCGATTGCGTCATCCTCGACGCTTTTAATCGATTCGTACTTTTAATTCGAAAAGGAATTTCCAATCGTCCTTTCCTTTTTCACATTCGAAAATAGAAATGCATAAGTGTACTTTTGTAATTGTCTATAGCAAAGAAGTACTTGTGTTCTTCCTTGCGTTTTTTCTTTTAGGATCGTGAGCATCGTGAGCCGAGGCGCAAACATAATAGGCCGGTGTCTTGTCCTGTCCTCGCACTCATAACATCTATTTCCAGAACGGACCGACGTCTAACTTTAGATCGGCTGTTCCATATACTCGAGCCATTCGCCCACTCGGTTCCACTCGTTTGAGAGAAATCCGATAAACGAAGAAATAAGCGCCTTGGATAAAGGTGCAAAGGGTCTCCTTTCCGTTAGCACGGTGATTACGCTCACCTGAGTAACAACGCCAAGCGTAAAGAATTTGCTTATTTTCCTCGATCAACTCATGCCATTTCCTTCAGATTTTTTTAATCCCCTTTGTACAATAATATCGACGACTGTCTATCGAATTCAAAAGATTTCCCAACGAAAGTATAGGAAAGTCATTTGGATTGTCTAAATGTTCGCGACAACGTTCCTACTTGCAGTTAGTTTCGTGATACATTATGAAAGAGGAGCTCGGAAAGTGTTACGATCTCGCAGGGAGAGCGATTTCTTTCGTGTGTCGGCTCTAAAAGCGACGGTTCCTAAAAATATTTCGAGCATAATTCGTGAAACTTCGGTAATGTGGTTCATTCGGTCGACAACGAAGATTCAATTTGAAATTTCCTTCGAGCCTCTTTCGATTCTGCCGTATGTCACGATCACTTTTCCGAACGAATTCGACGTACGTTTGACCAATATCTATCGCATTGAAAATAGACAAATAATATCTTTTATTTATAAGAATATCGCATTTAGAACATCGTAATCTTAATAAATAAATCACATCTCTTTTTTGGCAAAACTCGATTAATCATGGAGAAAATAAAGATCGAATTTTGTACAATATTTTATGCTATTTTCCCTTGTCTGGTCTTGTTGCAAATTTGCGAGCTTACGTCTGGCATTTTTCTTTCTCCGATGTTTCCCGTGCTCGCTTTTCTACGAATCGCGAAGATTTATCTACGTGACTCTCTTTGCTTATTTCTCTTCGTCGTCGTATTTTCGCCTGTGAATCCGTTTAATACGAGCCTCGCGACTTTGCTATCCGACTGTGAACTCGCGCGTCCATTATCGATGCCTAAGATCTAGGGTAATACCGAGAACTACGAATTAGGTTCCTTCGTCATCAAAATCTTGATAGAAACTTTTCAAAAACAAGATAGAAATTTTTGCCGATCAACTTTTTCTCTCTTGGTGCTTTACCGAGAAAGAAAATGTTATTTTAAAAGTTACCGATTCATTCCCGGTACGGCAACGCGCTTATATATTTTCAAAGAACAAGGCTTACCTCGAACCGACATATACATATACATATGCATATATATATATATATATATATATATGTACATATATATGTGTATATATATGCACGTATGTACGTGCGTATGTACGCTTGTTTCTCGATCCGTCTATTATCGATTTATTTCCCCTTTTTACGCTGAAACGTCTGCGCTATTTTTACGATTAACGAGGTTTAGCTAACCTTGTGACTTTTTCGATCGGACAACCGGTCAAACGTTTCAACGCAAGCAAAGGAATGCTTTAGCTTCTTCGTCCGGTAGTTGACTTCAATCGCGAAATTCGAAGTCAAGGCTTACTATCTAGCGATTGCTATCTCGCCGCGAATCGGCCAGGAAAAGCAATTTTAGCCAAGAGTTTTAGCCAAGCAGACGGTGCAGATTTGAGTAATTCTCGAATAACATCGGCCTGATAGTCATTCGAAAAGCGCGAGTATTCGAGTTGTTAGGTATAGATTCTAATACGTAAAGATAGATTCGCCGGTGAGGGGTGATCGTGTATATTTAGAAAAGTGCTCGGCTTGCCAGAACCAGAGAGATCTCGATGCCGTACGTGATTTCTTCTACCGAGGATTTTCTCTATCGACAAGCGGCCATATCCGCCAATCTATCCGCTTTTCAAATATTTCTCTCTCTCGATGTTATTTTAGCTCGATGATCGCCGATCTTATTAGGAAATAGAATGTCGTGTTCAAAGGATAAATCTATTGCTTTTTCTTTCTTTATTTCTCGAACGAAAATTCGAGATTCTTTCATCGGCTCGATTCGGCTCGATAAAGAAAGTAATAAAGAAACGATGTAGAAGAGAAAAAGGAACGAGCAAGAAACGATTGGTTGGAACGAAAAATTTATTTTCGCGCGCTGGCCAAGACCCACTTTTCGCGTACCGATCTACTTCTCCCTGTCCCTACTTTTTTCTTCGCGAATATAATTTTTTTGAAGAAGAATCTCTGCGAGATTATATTTTTTTCTTGGTCCGCGTCCGCGTGCGCGAGCTCAATTCGATTTAATTAAATTTCATAGATACTTGCGTTTTAGGCGAACGTTAGGCGCCTCTCCTCTAAAAGTTTTCTCCCCTAAAAGTTCTCTCCCCTAAAATCATTGCCAAGGATTTGCAATCGAAGGACTCCTCGTCGTGACTCATCGACGAAGTCGAATTTTTCTCGCGTTACTAATTACTTATAAATATCTTATCGCTCAATTAAATGCTATGCAAATGTCTATGCGGGTTTCTTTAATTAAATATCATTATGACGGATCGTGAAAAGAAAAAGAAAAGGATGTCGATCATTAGATCGGCATGAACGATTCGTCGACGATATATTTGGCAAGTGGGAAAATTAAGCGGCGCTATTTTCACATCTAATTTCGCAGATCGTACGTCACTCTAACATTCTTTTCGTATGACTGGTCGATGATTGTCGTTGTATTCTGCATTACATAAGGATTAGTTTTGGACGTATACCTACCTTTTTTAATTTTCATCACAAATACGAATGTCGTCTAAAAGCAATGAGATTTCAATGTATTTTCAAACGTGTGAAACTATATGTCGATGACATTTCAATGTCAAAAACGTAAAATTATTTACGATTGACTCATTGGATTTCTTTTTATAAAATAACATCGGTCGGAGGGTCTTGCGACAGTGCGAGGAACTTACTAACGGGGCGTAGGTAAGGCGACGACGGAAGAATGGAACTCGGTAGGAAAACAGAATTGGATAATTATCGTCGTAGGTGTATGTTATTAATCGTTCCAACATTTAATCCGATATCCTCTCGCATTACTCGTATTTCATTCGATAAGTTTAATATTCTTATAAATCTTTTAGCGAGAAGATGCTCAATGTGAAATATTAAGGAAAACGTAGAGTAGAAAATAAAAAAAATTGGGCCACAAAGGACGGTGTGCGTCGTAAGGTCGCATTGTTGTCTGGTTGCATCTATGTGCCCTCGAATAGGCTGCCTCTTCTATATACAAGGTAACATTGTTGTCGTCGTCGTCGTCGTCGTCGTCGTCGTTCTCTTGGTCTCTTGGTATAGCTTGACTTTCTTAGCATGTGGGTGGCGGTAACGCGGAGGTGGAAACTCGCAAAGATGCTCGGAGGGGTGTTTCGGCGGCGGTGGAGGTGGAAGACTCGCGAAGGCGAGCTCGACTTCGAATCGCTGCTGCGAGATTTCGTGCGTTTAGTTGGCGCGCGGGGCCCCGGCTATAGGGACGGGTGAAAAAAGAGGGAGAAAGAACGACCGACGGCGCTACTTATAAAAAAGAAGAAGAAGATAAGACGAGAAGGATAAACGAAAACGACGAGAGGAATATAATATAAAGAAAACGGGAAAAAAAGAGTGACGACCACGCAGTGACGACGACGACGACGACGACGACGACGACGACGACGACGACGAAGACGACGTAGACGAGCGATACCATTGTTTCCACTGGTTATCATTTTTTTTTCTTCTTTTCTTTTCCTTTTCTTGGCAGTTTCTTCTGTTCGCGAAAGCATTTTGAATCGACGCGTGTGTGAATATCGTTTCAAATAATTTTCTACGCGAGAAATAAAGAAATCCTCTTCTCTCTACTTTGGATACGCGGGAGTAAGTTTCTACCTCAAGTAAGTCTGAAGATTTCACTGATGGGACACGTTAATGACAAGCGTGCGTGAGCGAGCGAAGTCGAGCCGATCGTTTCAAGTGTTTCGGAGTGCGTCAAAGTGTTTTCTCTTTTCCTTTCTCTCTCTCTCTCTCTCTCTCTCTCTCTATATATATATATATATATATATATATGTATATATGTATGTATGTATGTATGTATATATATATATATCTGTCTCTGTCTCTTCACCCCTCCGTCTAACAAGTGCCCAGAGTGTTCTCGTATCAGGATTTATCATTCGTGATTTTGTGGACGAGAGCCTCTTACCTGTCAGCGAAATGTCGTAGGCGTGCTTAGGTAATCTCGTTTTTATATTCTTCGAATCAGATGTGAAAAAAACGTATAGGAGTCGACTGGAAGAAAGAAAAGTGATAGCAGTCGAGGATATATGCGACGCTCGAAACGATCTCTTGTCGATTTTGGGCAGTGCTGTTGTCTTTCCGCTTGAATCGCGAAAAATTAAAAGGAGAAAAAGTCAAAAGATGAGTTACATACGGTATAGAACGAGACGTTATCGCATTGGCAAGAAAGGCGGAAATTTGTGTAGTGAAGGAGCGCATTGAGTAGAGTCCGGCTTTCTTGACAAGCATACGTCGTTAAACGACGCTCGACTTTGTGACTAATCGCCACGAGTCTCGTCGCGTCTTGCTGTCGCGAACTATTAGTAGACTACTATCTAGGTATCTGGGCTCGGTGTCCGCGTATTTTTAGGAGAGCGTAACGCGAGGAGGAGCGGTTCGTCGCTCCGTCTATCTTTTTTACCGCGGCTTTCATCATCGTCTTTAGAATAGTTCATCCGTTTCCTCCGTACTCGCTCTTTTCGCTTTTATCCCTGCCCTTTCTTTTCCTCCTTCGATATTTCCTCCAATTGTCTCTAGAGATTTTTCGAGGCAACTCATGCCAGCGCATAAAATACGGCGTGGGCGCGATCTCTATAATTTTCCTACACTCTTCCCGGCGAAGCACCGAAAAAGCCGCACGCAGAAAACCTGGTCGATTTATAAATATCTCGCATTCCATATTGTCAAGAGAAATCTTCGATGGCTCTCTAATTTACTAGATACTTTAATCACGTATAATTATATCCTCTTACTTTTACTCATCTCGTCGGTATCGCTTGACAGGACATTTTTCAGGATAGAATAGAGAATCTAATATGAATTACGCAATGATTTATTTTTTGGAAATGAACTCGAGGTGTCCCTCGAAGAGAGCACAGACTGCGCGTCTTTGAGTCAGTCTACCAAAATATTCGCGTTCGAGTTGAAACGAGAAATGGAAGATCGCCCAACGAATACTCGGCGAAATGCTCACGGTACATCGCTCACCTAACAATTATAACTTTTTAGCTCGTCTATAGCGTGTAACGTTTAATATACTCGTAGGCAAGATGCGACGTGGTTGAACGCATACGTACTTATGTGTACTCTTAGATAGAATATTATCTACCATTGAAAATATGAATCATCGTATCGCGACGAAATGGTCTGACACACAGCAGGATTTTTGAATTCGTGCGAACAAATAATCCTCGTCTCCAGAAAATAATAAGATATATTGTATATAAAACGTTAAAACGGAGAATCCCGTGAAATCTCTTCTTTTTTGTCTTATCTATAGAGATTTTTATGCATGCGATACGTAAAGTAGATATATTATCTATAATAATTTGCAATGCAATGCTATTGACCTGCTTGAAAGTATTCATAACGATTGGCGATCTCAATACTCAATTGCATTCCATTACAATGCAGTATCTGTTACGAGGACGTTGTGTCATTGCATTGCATCCCAAATAGACATATGTATAATTATGCCAAGATGGGCCAACTATTACGATCTATAGTCACGAAAAGTATGAAGTTATCTAATTTCAAAGCCATGATTAATTGTTTTTAATTGTCCTATTTAGATCATCGTACCTTGATAAATACGTATCGATATGTAGATGCATACTTTATAAAGTCATAGTCCTTTGTCATAGTTTGGTCATTCATAAGCGATCGTCGTAACAAGATAGTCTCGTGGGTTTTTGTTACGAGCAACGTATACTCGCAACCGCGTTAAAAGTATCAACGAAGTACGTGAACGTTATATCGTCATTTTCAAATGCGTCCCTTTCCGATCTTCGGTCATTCCCTTCTTCACTTGGCACACATAAGCCCGCTCTGTCAAAAGTGTGCCTCCGACAAAGAGCAAGGAACTTTAAGGTTGAGTCTCATGCTCTAGTCTATTCGTCCAACGACCAATTTATTTTGGCTATAAGTGGTATTACCGAATGAAACTTTTCTCTGAATATAATAGAATTCGATTGAGATTTCAATTGTATCAGTTTTACCCTTGTTGAAGATTATAGCGAATAGTCGTCTGCCTAATATAGAACATTGGTCAGAGAATAGGAGGTTAACCACGTTTATGTCATTATTCGTATGTTTTCCAGGGAACCTTAAACGATACTCGTCGTAATTGATCTTAACTATAACTGACGCGACAAATTGCGATGGTTGAAAATCAGACTGCAGAAAGGGGTGGTGGAATGCGAATGGCAATTACGAAGAGTAGCAATCTCGAGAATGCTCTAGGGCTGGCTGCCAAGTCTTACCATGACGTTGTAATACTTGGTTCACTCGTTTGATACATCATTTCGTTGGTCTTTGCAACCATGCATTTCAATCTCGCCTAATTAAGTGTTATTTCTTCGCATTGTCGAGCAAGTTGACAGGTGTCCGTCAATAATTTCTATTCCAAATACAAATTTAAATTTATGCCATTAAAGAGAGTTTTATCGTTCGTCTACTTTATCGCCTAATCGTATATACGATTCTCATTAATCGTTGAGGAGACCGACGAAGATGATTTTCATTTGAATTTCACGACACGAGCCTCTTCCCTCTTTTATTCCCACCAGCTCATCTTCTCGATATACTTATAATTTATGTTCCTCGAAGGTTGTCGCGTTATTTCAGTTTTATGACCTGAACGGTTTCCAAGTTGCAATCGGTAACGTCGTTCTTTTTCTTCATCTTCCGCTAATACTTGACAACTGCAATCGTTCAGGTGTTTGTTGCAATAGTCTCTATTAACTATTAATTATCATGCGTGCGCGCGCGCGTGTGATTTATTTATGACAACAAGTATTTCATTGTTTACGAGTAATATTTTTTGAAGCAAAAAGTTACTTTTAAAAGATGCGTCCATAAGACGGTTAGCGCTGTTCACTACGAATATTCACGTTTATAGAGGCATATGCCAAACATAATAACCGATTATCAAGATAACCAGTCCACTTATTTTCGAGCCAAAAGTCGTTTTAATAATAGAGGCCTTACGTCACCCTTCGACCTTGTCGAAGTATCTTGGAAAATATGGTCCGAGTAACGGATTCCACGAAAATTCGCCGTTCACCACGCTCGATTTATTGTCCGATCCGTTCCAATCGCACGATCCTTTGAACCTAGAGAGCTAAGTATATAATAACTGGTCGATTCTATATGCAGGTCCTGAAAGAGGTGAACTTTGAAAGTTAAAACGAAGGAACGAAGAGTCGAAGAAAGAGGTTGCATGGTGGTGCCGCAGGTCGGTATCCTTGGCTCGAGGATAAAATAAATCCTTGCGCGAAGACGAGACGTAAGAGCGAGAAAGAGGTGGAGGATTAATTGCGTAATTTGAGGACAAAACGAGGTACGATCCTTTGGGGATTAGCGGGTAACAAAAGGAACACAGGCGCCCCGTAAACATGGGGGTCGCCGACGATTTCGCACCGAGCTTCACCCAGAAGCCTCAGCTTCGGCAGGAGGACGACGGGAATAAGCTGATATTCGAGTGTCAGCTGGTCAGTTCACCGAAACCGGATATATCTTGGTTCCGTGGCGAGACGGAACTCAAGGAGGATGACAGGACAAACTTCAAGATGCAAAGCGTCGGGACGAACAAGTTCCTTGTCGTGCTCGAGCTCGATGACGTCATCGAGACCGACGCAGGCTTGTACAAGGTCAAAGCCAAGAACAAGATGGGCGAGGTCGCGGCATCTATCAACCTGAACTTCAGTCGTAAGTCACGCACCGTTTCACTTCGCACGCTACGATGCGCTCGTGCGTTTTGTTCCAAGGTTTATTTTTATCCGAGAAGTCGAACCGCGAGAAGAGCGGCTTTACGATTATCAGGCAGTTCAAACGAATTTTTAGCTTTTAGAAATCGATGATTTGTTAACCCCAACGAAACGCACGACCTCGTTCCATTTTCGTCCTCGATTATACCTTCCCTAAGGTATACACGTTTATTTTTCTTTTTCAATCTCATTATCGGTCATAAATGCTCACATTGTTTTTTTCAGCCGTGGATGAGCCTAGGGAGAAGTAAGTTGCGTTAAACGGAATATAGATTTTTCTCCAGGCTCCCTTGTTTGCGCTAGCTTCATGCTTTTTCATTTTTATCGCATTTCTATTCATTTTATTTTCATTTCTCGCAAGTAATATATGTTTATACCGCGTATGACGCTTTTTTTTACTTTTTCGTTCTAGCTGCTGAGCAACCATTAATAAGGGGGTGAGTGCTTCTATTGCAAATTAATGAGCGAGATTCGATATACTAATCTTTAGAAATTATCTAAATTGCTTCTCCTGTTCTACTAATCGGCGTGTTTTATTGATTAACATCTGCACGCAATCCGACGTATTCATTCCATTGTGCGGCTTTATCGAAGGTTGGTAAATAATGCGATTGGATAGGCGTGAAAAGCGTGGAGGCAAAAATAACCGTTTTGGTATGCGCATCTATTTCTGTACGGTTTCGGCAATGTTCGCGCGTACCGATAAGAATGCTATTCCAGATTTAAACTTTCGCATCTATCTCTAGCCAATGTAAACGCATATACTTTTGCTTAGAAACCGAATGCGGAAATAGAAGACGCGAACTTGATACGTACCTGCGTCATTTTAACGCGAGAATATTATAACGATCGGTGCTTCTGGAGATCGTCTTATATGGAACCGTAAATACCGTGGATGAGCCTTAATCCAGAGAAGATCAATTTGGAGGTTGTAAAAACAGTAACACTTTGCTCTTTGAGCTATTAGAGATAGTAAAAACTTGTATGATCTGGCGCGAAACACTCGACGAGTCTCCTCTTCGTACAAGCGTCTCAACTTAGTTTTCGAGCGTTAGAAATCTATGTGTTATTTAATGTAAACATTTGCGCGAATGAAATTGGATCGATGCTGGAAACGGAATGTCTTTTTCGTTGGACGACGAAGAAAAACATCGAAAGATCGATTATCGATTGGAAAAGAGTTTTTTTTTTTTTTTTCTTTCCTTTAAATCATACGTTGTTAGATTTATTCTTCGGTACGAGCAAGAACTGTTTCACGTCGAAAATTTACAACGTAATTTAACTAGGATATTGATATCTGCGATCACGTAAAGGGAGAATTTGCCGATCGGCGCTTGAGAAAGCCGAACGGAACAGCTGCAGCCTAGTTCTAAGCTAAACTTAGCCGCAACGTGTATTTCGCTCGGGCTAATGCACTTGCCTTTCAAACTCATCGAGTGCCCACGAGAAGATCGAGGATACGTCATCGAAATAGTTCTTTTCGAAGAGTCACGTTCCATAACAACGTTCAATGATACTACAGAGACGAGCCATCTATTAGCAATTTTATTTCATTATTTTAAACGTTGGACAAACGCAATATAAATTTCTCTCATTATTATGAATTAAGTAAATTGACCGATCGATGATCGAGGGTGCGTTGAACTCGATGGAGAAATTTCAACGCGTTCTAACGTCTCGCCTCTAAGGTAACGCCTCTAGAAGGAATGGTCGAGCTATCAATGGAGTTACATAAAACTACTTGTGCGTTATCTGAGATAGCTAAACAAAACGTCAACTATTTCTAAACGGCAACGATGTGCGAAAATTGCGATAAATTTTCAAATGGTTACGTACGCACGTACAAACATAAGACAACTCTTCTCCATTATCCGTGCACCACTTGCCAGCACTTCCGCGATAGACACAGGGATGCACCGTAACTTGTTTCAGTAACTTGCGGTTTTACGATTAAGACTTCGTGGTTTCATTCGAGAGGTGTATTAATGGATCGCGATAAACTTTTAAAGTGGCTATTAAAAGTAACCTTCGCCCAAATTGCATAAAATAAATTCGCTGATTGCTCGCCGTGTGTCAAATTGATGTTACTTGTGTTTGCGTTATTTTATTATCTTTTATTTCGTAACGGGGATGAAGAATTTCTTTTATCTTTTTACAGACAAATCGATGGCATTGCACCAACGTTCGCGAAAAAACCGGCAATTCGACAGGAGGACGATGGTAAACGATTACTTTTCGAATGTCGCATTACCGCTGATCCCACGCCGAAAGTCATGTGGTTTCACGATGGAAATGCAGTTAAGGATTCGTCGAGGCATAAGGTCAGACCTTTCGCCAATATTTTATTTCTGCATGGAGATATTCTTTTTTTTTTTTAACTTGAACATTTGTCAAATCCAGCTGACCGTCGATAAAGATGGCCATTCGTACTTCGCCACGCTGGAAATAAAAAACGTGACCGTCGAGGATGCTGGCAAATATAAGGTCACAGCGAAGAACGAGCTTGGCGAGTCAAATGCTACCATTTCCTTAAATTTCGATAGTAAGTATTTAAGCGATATATCCTGTCGTTTGCTACATAATCAAACACATAGTTAAGATCCACCTTACACCGGTCTCCGCTTGTTTCAATTTTTACGTATCAACTTTCTTCTTAAGAAAGTTGTGTAAAGAGAGGTGTAATCTGGATACTAGGCTTCTAATACTTTCATTACATTTCATTCTTACCTCGACTCGGGATGTATATCGACGATTTGTCACATTTTGATTCTTCGTTTACTATTCATTCTCTATTTAAATTATCTTCTCTCGATCATTTTCTCAATAGATACAATCATCTTTTATTCTTCCTTTCTTCTTCTTCTGTTCTTTCGTTTATTCACTGTTTCTTTTTTTTTCTATTTTTTCTGTTTTTTCTTTCTATTTTTGTTTAGTTTTATTTTTTATATCATGTTTCCTTTTATCCAGCATAATTTCGTCCAATATTTATTTTTTAATTTATCTTTATCGTAAGCAGAGCTGTCGAGCTACGAGCACGTATCGATGTCGGCTCGACCGAGCCCACGATATACAGCCCACATAATTATAATCAACTAAACGTCATGAAAAACATCGTTTGGAGAAATTTCATCATTACAATGTAGATAGCAGATAAGAATTAATCTATAACTATAAGTGCTGCTTAAATGACGTTTTATTTTTTTTTTTTTTTTTTTTTTTTTTTTTTTTTTTTTTTTTTTTTTTTATTCGATCGCACCTCGAGCGCACTTTCTTCAACGAAAATATAAATATTATTTCCAAGTTCTTTTCTCCATTTTGAAAATAATTTACTTAGAAAATAAAAAGTAAGAAAGTGCGTTCGTTTATTTGCCTTATACTGACGCTTCGTTAGGTTGCTGCAGTGATATTTTTCAATCTGTACTTATTAGTCGTGTTTGTCTTGTGTCAGATTCATATGACGATCGTTAAACGTAATACAAGCTCACAAAGTTTTAAGTTGCTTATTCTGGTAAAACACGTACATACCTATACACAATCATGTACATAAAACAATATCATAAAATAATTATGTGCAGACTTAACTTCTAATAATAATAATGTAAATAGTATAGCGTTTGTGTGTTACGTAATACGTTTCCATTCGCTATTTTATTCATTTTTCATTAGAGCGTTTGCAAAGAAATAACTTAATTTTTTTGTCACGATATACGATACATACCTTTATATATACGCACATCGTAATAATAGATTAATTTGGCACGACGAGGCAACTCATTCAACGATCACGATCGTTTGCGGTTGCGTTTTCGTATGATATTTCAAAGGTATTACGCATTTACGTGGAACGACGAACACAACGCACGTACGTAAATATCCATTCTGTCCTATTGCTTTCACAGCTTTGTGAAAGAAATTGTTGTTGGTACTTTATGAAGTTTTAGAAAAATGCAAGCAACCTAAGCTACAAGATGTCGGTTCGATAGGCAGGTTTTCCTAGATAACTTGTAATTAATATTGCGTTTTATAAAACGTAATAATGATTATAGACCGTTGTCTTTGAGTTGGTCGTACAATGTAAATCATACCATTGTCGTTGTTCAACCGATCGAAATATAAATATTTTTTGCATTTATGTATGTTAATAAGCCGAATCGATACGTGACTCTTCTGGTTGTACGATAAAACGTCGAGCGTATAATAATTTCGCTACTGTAAGAATAGTTGTTGGTGGATGAAAGGATTAAATGGGTGAAGCGAATCAAAATGATTTAGGTACATGTATCGAAATTTCAATCGTTTGTGCTAAAATAGGCGACGAGGCACCCGTACCCGAAGACGGTATTAAACCGACTTTCACCGAACGACCGGTAATAAGACAATCCGACGACGGTAACACCATCACCTTTGAATGCCGATTAGCCGGCGATCCAAAACCCAGTGTTAAGTGGTAAGGGATTTAGCTTTCATTCGATCATGGAAATACTCTATCGGAATTTTTTATATTAAATCATGCATGCAAGAAAATATAATATCCAAAAGATATGCGGTAAAGTTAGCATATATGACGTTATAACGTCATCCCCCTACTTTCAAGTTAAAATTACATTTGAAAGCCGAATGACAATATGTGTGCATGGCGCATAACGCGTAAAAAACAGGTACCATGGTAGCGATGAGGTCAGAGAAGGTGGGAGATACAAGATGTCGTTAGAACTCGATCAGAAGCTATATCATCTCGCGCGGCTAAGGATCGACAACGTAGCGAAGGAGGACGCAGGCGAGTACAGGGCCGTGGCAAAGAACAAGCATGGCCAGGGCGTGGCGACTATTAATTTGAACTTCGAGGGTGGTGACAAGCTCAAGTACGCATTGAATGTCTTATAACGCGCGTCAGCGTCTTAAGGCGCTTAAGGTTTATTATTCCATCGAGACGATGCCTTACATATATCTTCGCCGCGCTGCCCCGAAAGCTTTACTATCAATCGCTCATATTAGAATAATTCCGAGCGTATGACAGTATGATTATATTTTATAAAATTGTACGTTTAAATGTGAAAGCAGCGCGGTGAAGATTCGTCGGTGAAAGGAAATTGGAAGATTCTGTCGTTTCTTAAACCGGAAGCTGGCCGGGTATACATAGGGATTGCTTTCTCTGAAATGTCGATTTATACAGAATACCGGACGGTAAGCCACCACGATTCCCGAAGAAACCGACGATTCGCCAGGAGGGGGACATTCTGATAATGGAGTGCATCCTAGAGGCACATCCGGTACCGGATATAACTTGGTATCAAGGACAGAAAGCGATAACCGACAGTCGTCGCGTCAAGATGTCTCGCAAGGCAACCGGCAAGGACACCTATCTCCTCACATTAGAGATCATGAATCCTACCAAGGCCGACGGCGGGAATTATCGTTGCAACGCGTTTAACAACTTTGGCGAGAGTAACGCCAACATCTCCTTGAATTTCCAAGGCAAGTCCCTTTCGAAGGCCCGCCCGCATGGATAAAACGGAACAACGATAGGAGAGATCTCCTTCTCGTTTTCATTATCTCACACGATCCATCTTGCATGTACGCGAACCATAAACTTTTACTACGCGTCTCTTTACGCGCGTACGACCAAAGTTCGTGATATTTCTTTATCATTAGGATATATTCCTATTGTCCGATCCTTCATACTTCTGCACGTTAAAAAAGTCCTCATTCTGTTCCTTCGTGGTACGTACGTTGAATTAGGTGATAGAGGTGAGTAGACAAAGATGCAAACAGATCGTGAAGTCCTTGTACAATGGCTTCGTAACTAAGTGTGCCTAACTTGTAACGTCATCGAAATCGCTTTACATGTTGCTTCCTGAATGGCAACATGAACCGCGGTTTTTTGTTTATCTCATTTCGGTATATATACATATGTATGTATACATATACATACATATACATATATATGTGTATAAAATATACATATAAAAAAAAAACAAAAAAAAAAAAAAGAAAAACCGAAATCCGAGGATGATCTTTAGCAAGTATATCTAATTATGGACCTTTCCAAGATACAGAAGAGAGTGCGGGTTTTGCGCCGTCATTCATCGAGAAGCCACGTATCATTCCGAACGAAAGTGGAACCCTAATCACGATGAAGTGCAAGTGCAAGGCGAAACCGAAGCCAGAAGTCACATGGTTCCGTGGCGCCAACGTAGTCAAAGAATCATCGAAAATTTCGATAAAGACGAAAACGGTCGAAGAAGATGTGTATGAGCTCATATTAGAAATTAAGGTCAGAGACGTTCCGTCCTCGTATCACTCTTCAACGATACTCACGTTATAGTAATTACATAGTATAGTTATGTAATATAGAAATACTAAATAAAAAATATTATTTGTATCATTTGTTTAGGATCCTGCGGCACCGGACGGTGGTACTTATAGGTGTCACGTACAAAACGAATTCGGCGAAAGTAACGCCAATCTAAATCTGAATATCGAGGCCGAGCCAGAACCAGAAGGGGATGGTCCAAGCTTCGTGGAGAAACCACGAATACAATCGCAGAACCAAGGTAAACTGGTTATTATGGATTGCAAAGTGAAAGCAAATCCAAAACCAGAGATAGTATGGACCCACGCTGGAAAAGTCATAAAAGAATCCTCCAAGATCTCCATTAGTATTGTCAAAGAAAAAGAAGATATTTATTACATCAAATTGACTCTGAGTGATCCTGGCCCTGAAGATTCCGGTCTTTACAAGTGTAATATCAAAAATAATCTTGGGGAGCTTAATGCCAATTTAACATTGAACGTTGAAAGTAAGTTTAATCGTTTTTTAATATATATGCATACATATATATATATATATATACATGCTAGCTTCGGTTCTTGACTTTGACTTTGTGAGACATATTGTATACCTTCGTTTTCTTCGTACTTTCAGTTATACCTGTAATTAAGGAAAAACCAAAGGTCGTAAAAATTGTAAAGAAGAAAACGGTAATAGTGGAATGCCACGTGCTTTCCAAATTTACACCAGAATGCACTTGGTTCAAAGAAACACAGGCTGTTAAGGAAGACACTAGACATAAATTACACGTTGAACAAGTTAAAGAAGTTAGTACCGTTTGGTGTACATTTGTGGCAAACGTATAATCAATTTTCTCCAAAATTATTCACTTTTCTAATCATAAATCTAATGTATAGGGAGAATTTGCTGTTAAATTAGAAATTGAACAAATGTCGAAAACTGACAAAGGTATATATAAATTGGTCGCACGTAATGAGAAGGGCGAAGCTACGTCCCAAGTAGTCGAAGTGACAGAAATAGTTGAAGAGGGTGAAAAACCACAAATTACCACTGGTCTCAAGTCGGCGGTAAATATTTTGCAAATTAATATTTCTATTGACTATTTACATTATTCTTATTGTGTTTTAATATGATTTACATTATCTGTAGACGATTGAGGAAGGTAAAACGGTCGAACTTATAGCAAGCCTCGCGCAACAAGATCGTAAAGTTACAGTCGTATGGTATAGGTAAATAATGACTATATTTGGATTTTATGCTCAAAAAGATGAAAATGAATTGAACGTTAAATAAAAATACTAATCTTATGCTACATAGAAATGCTCAAGTAGTCAAGGCCTCCAAAGACATTATGATATCTTTTAATGGCGTCGACATGAAGCTGACCATTACTTCTGCTACAACAGAATTATCTGGCACGTATAGGGTTGTCGTGAGTAACGAATATGGCAAGGACGAATCATCGGCCCATCTTCTCGTCAGGGTAAATAAATATGTTATATTTTATTATATCTGGGAAGTTAGGCCACTCTTGTTCTCCTCTTCTTTATCGTTTTCTGTAATGAATTTTGTGATATATTCTTTATCGTACCTTTACAAAATTCCTATATTCTTTCCAAGTGCGTGACTTAAATGCAATGTTTTTAAAATTCATCCTCTTGTTATGAATTAGTCTATTGTGGATCAATCGTTTAAATATGTTGTTGACTATCACGTTTGCCCATAAAATTAAGAATCCATCAGTGTAGACATTATATACGTCGAACCATGGTTGTGCTAATTCTCTACTATGTCGCATGCACGCCCTTTCCCTTATTATAGAAGAAGGAGGAAGAAAAGAAAGAAGAGGAAGAGGAAGAGAAAAAGAAGAAGAAGGTAGAAAAGAAAGAAGAAAAGAAGGAGGAAAAGAAGGAGGAAAAGAAGGAGGAGAAAATAGAAGAGAAGAAGGTAGCGAAAAAGGAAGAAAAGAAGGATGAAAAGATAGAAGAAGAAAAGAAGGTAGAACCGAATGATATGTTTCCCATGTTTCATGAATTTGATCGTAATTATTTCCTCCCCTATTCTCCCAAATTTGTATTCATTGTTTGTTGTTACTAATGCAACATCATTAATACATACACTATAAACAATAATAGAAGAGCTGAGAAACAGACATCTTTTTAATGAATAAATCGTGTAATGCTCATTCACACGAAATGTCTCTTACCAATCATTATTATAAAATCATATAATCTCTGAATGCATGTTCTGTTTCTCTCTTCTTCATTGGGACAATCTGGCTCTGTTGAAACTTTATCGTTTTACGACACGAAAGGTGGATAGTTCAGTATCCAGCAGTTATGAGGATGACGAAGATGATTTTTATGAGGATGAAACGATGGAGGAAGAAGAAGAGGATGTGGTGAGTGTAATCGAATCCAGCGTCACCGAGCCGATTGTCACAGAGCTACAATCAGAAAACTTTTCACAGATTGAGGTACACATACAAAAAAGTACACTCTCTACTCACGATTAACACATACACTCTCATATCTTTACAATATTTTTTAGCGTCATATTTACTAGCGCCATATTATTGTTTCTTCATTCTATTGGATCTTTCATTCTATTCTAGTACTTGTTTATTATATTTTCTAATTAACCCTTTTCTATTTCTTACTTTATTTTTATACATTCTCTGCCGTTACTTCAAAAGTATGACGCCTCTATATTTTTCGCAGTCACATTGTTCTAGATATAAATTTGTATTTTTTTTTTCAATTATTTTTTTCAAGGATATACCGGATTCAAAACCAAATGGTATCGACAGACCAAGTCTTAAGAAGGTACGATATAAATATTTTTTTTTTTTTTTTTATATGGAGAAAATATCTTATAAACTTTTTTTAAACATTTGCCGATTTATGGGACAAATAATGTATGCAAAAATATGTAAACAAAAACTCATGACCTGTTTTCAGTCCTATATATTATGTCATCCATTATTTGTAGTTTTATCCCTGTGATGTAAACCCTCTTGCGTTTTACATAATTGTTTGTATCATTTGTGTTTGTCTTGTTCGAACAATGGGACATGGGTATAGTAAAAGCTTATTATTTTAAAATGCTTATACATATGCGATATAGAAATAGTACATAAAATAGTTCATCGAAAATATTTTTGTTACCTTATTACTATATGATATGATCAAGTAGAGTTCATTTAGCAATTATCTACTTTTATTTCAAGGACTATACAGTTCTATAGTTAACTCCTTCTGGTTCTTATGAATGATCACAATATGACAAACATTGTTACGCTTTTGTTTCAGAAAATGGAGATTATACAGGTGAGTGTAAAAGCTCGAACGCCAGGTTTTTGGTAATGTATTCGCTCGAATTACGCTTATAGAGAGACCTTTTTATTTAAGCTAGAAACTATATAACATGTACAGCTTTGAAGCTATTATTTACAATCTTCAAGAAATAAACGAGATAACGTGCGTTTGTCATTCTTATCTTTTACATCGTAATATAAGACATATATTTATCAGGTTGTTTTTACAGAACATTTTACGTTATTGAAATTTTTTCTTTACATTTTAGCGTACTAACGACTATCGCTTTTATTTTTTCAGCTTCATACCACATATATTTATATTTATTTGCTTATTATTATTTATTTGCTTATAATGTAAATTGCTTTTTCAGTGATGCCTATTCGTGTTCTTATAATTTGTAGGTATTTGAAATATCATAGCGCAACAAATCGAAGCAATTATTTAAATATTGTACACTTTCCTATATCCTTTTACGCAGAAGCTGGGTTTTGAGTGTGTATCATATGTGCAAGTCCCCTAAATTTTTTATTTAAATCCTTGAAATTTATCAGTAGTGCATGTTATTTCGCTATCTATCAAGTGAGAGTAAAATGAATGAATAAGCTTCATGAATATACTTAAAAATTTTCCTTCATTTTGATCGTAATAAATTAAAAACAATATAGTCGCATAATATTAATTTTGATTGGATAATTCAAAGAATATAAACTTTTAAATCAAGTCCCATTTTATTCTCACTGTAATAAAATATGTACGATTGACAGCATATTTAAATATAAATATGTGTGTCTTATGAAACACAGAAAGAAGAAGAAACATTCAATAATGTAGAAAAGGTCGAAGAGAAGAAAAAATCGATTAAGGTAAAAATAATTGCATATAAATTATTAATTATATATGTACATATATAAATTATTTATTATATTTATAAATTGTAGAAGAAACCTGACGAAAAAATTGAAGATAAAAAGGAGGCCGAAGCTGTAAGTACAATTAGATATCTTTTATTGAACATACTACATATCACAAATTTCATTTACAGAAGAAGATCATTAAGAAGAAAGAACCTGAACCTACTAGCCGTAAGCAGTCTATTAGCAGGGTTGGTATTTTGTGTATTTTAAAATATAGAAAAGAAATGATGACACGTAGCGTATATTTTTATGTCATTCGTTATTGTTTCAGGTGGAAGCTTTGCGAACGGAAAGCCGTCGTAGCTCTTTAGTTATAACTCAAGAACAGGTATGAAATATTTTTATATCAAGAACAGGTATAAAGTATTTATTCACATACATCTTACATCGTTAATTGAATTCATTCGTTCATGAAACGGTAGCCTTATGTTATACACATTTTTTTATTCACACGTACAGATAACAGAAGATGGTTCTACATCACCACAACGTCGTGTTTCTATGCAAAAGGTACACGATACATACCGATGCACATATCGATCTTGTAATTTTTCACAACACAACGTATACACAAGTTTTATTAATCGAGGGAAAACAGAGCAAATAATCAAATCTGTTTTATAATCTGTGCTCTATTATATTAATCGATATTAAATTGTTATAGACTGAAGAGGAAATCAAGACGGAAAGTAGAAGATCTTCGATCATCGAGAAGAAGGCTACCGTTGAAAAGGTAAAAGTTACTCCTTATAGTATTATTCGTTTATTAATCTAGTGAATAACAATAAGTAATATAGATAGATGTTAGCATGTCGACTTTATGTCGTTAAAATTTTTATCGTTTTTGATTTATTTCTATTTCACTATTATTTGCGACAATTGGGTAAGTTTCATATGTTTGATCTTCTAACATTCGACATAAGGGAAATTTTTTAATATTTGTGAATAACACTTTGTCGATATTTAATATATTTTATGTATAAATATATAGAGAAATATACGAAATATACGAAATGGCAATTATGTGAAATATGAAAAGGTACAATATTTCGCTAGTATATTTTTCTTGATGATTTTTTAGAAAAATGAATCAAGTATAAGATTAAAAAAATCTGCTTTCACATTTCTTGACGATCGGGCAAAGGTACACAACACACACACACGCACACACCTTTTACGTGTACATTTGCATATGTTAAAACTTATTTATTTATTTATTTTTTTTTTTTAATATATTTTTGTTTGAATTGGGTGTTTAGAAAAGTGCAGAAACTCCAGGAATAAAAGATACATTTTCCAGACCTATTGACAATGAAAAGGTACACATATAAATAAGTTGATCGACGGTACAACAATGTCATACGATAGCGGATTAAACCTAGATCTATTTGTAGGATGAACCAATCTCGAAACACACGATTCGAACTCAAAATTCTCCACAAATGAAAATTAGGCCACACGTAAATGAACACGATAACGAAATTGAGGTACATAACACGCAAATTGATCGAAAAATAGTTATTTTCTTATAATTTACAATAATCTATGTATATCGCGTTAAATCAACAAATTTTAGGATATATGGGCACCAAAACCTGATTCGAAGTCTCGCGAATCGAAACGCAGTACAAATGACGAGGTATCAAATTTATTGTATTAATATTGCAAGAATTAAATTAAAATTGAGAATTAAATTGACAAATATCACAAATCGAATTTTAGAGTATTCCGAAATTGCCAGAGAGGTTCAGCGAACCTAATCCTGACCACGAAATTAAGGTATAGAATATATGTCAGAATTAGATAATACATGAAATATCTTTTTATTTATTACCTGTTATTTTTACATTAATGTAAACGTCTTTAGGATATATGGGCGGCGAAATCAGATACGCCAATCGTGAGACAGACTAAAACTCAGGTATACGGCACAATGCACACAGTTAGAACATGTATTATAATTTATGGGTCGTATAATGCAGAATCATTAATCAGTTGTTACGGCTTGCGTTTTAGGACACGCCAAAATCATCCATACAATTACATAAACCAGAATCTGAGGATGAAATAGAGGTACCCGATAACCACGACATTTATATAACACTCGCCATGTGTATACTTAGGACACACTGTATTTTTAATTTTAAACGTGTATAATTTTAGGATATATGGGCATCAAAACCTGAATCTGATAATTTTAATAGAAAAAATCAGGTAGACGATATGTTATTTTTATGTTTTTGTTTTTTCTCAATAATTATTTTTTCAATAATTTTTTTAACACACATTTTTAGCAGTGATTAAGTAGACACAATGCATTCTTTTAGGACATATCGAGATCATCCTACGCACCACATACACCTAAATCCAGTAGAGACATTAAGGTATCACATGTTACACTTGAGAATTTGCAAATTATTACAAAGTACGGTACATAATTTATACACGAGAACAAACAATTTTAGGATATAAAGCAACCAAAGACAGAACAAAATATTGCTGGAAAAGTTAAGGTATACATTGTACTATACTCGCTTTTATCAGCACTTAAATTTTTATTTAATTTTATATGTTTTTCGAAAGGATACATATACGTATTTAAAATAGCTTTAAATGCATACAAATTTTAGACTGTACCACGAGCGACACTCAAACGCGATTCATCTTCAAGCAACGATGATATAGAGGTACATCAACGCGATAGATTTTATTTCACGACAGATTTATTTTTATTTATTTATTATTTTTATTTATCTCTATTATTTCAGGACATATGGGCAACTATGCCTGAAACTCAAACACAAAAGTCCGATATAAAAGATAAGGTACAATACATTCACACACGCAATTAGTATTATGCATTCACATAGATGATTTACATTACACTATGTTTTAGGACAAACCAAAATATACATTGAAAATAAATTCGCGCGAGCCTCCTAAAGATCCTAAAGTATATGTATATATTGTATATTACGCTCATTACATTGTCTGACACATATAATATTACAATGTACACTGACATATGTTGTAAATAATTTTAGGATTCATCACCACCGAAAATCGCAACACCCAAAGATAAACTTGATAAAAGGGACGAGGTATTGCGAAATAATTTCATACGGTACACTTATACTCATACATTACGCTTGTAGTATAAATGATTACGAAAATATCTCGTTTTAGGAATCTTCAGAAACTGTTACTAAATTGCGCCCGCTCAAGCCCGCGAACAAAATTAAGGTACACAATCGTATGACAAATCTATCCAATACTCACACAGACAATACTTTTTACAAACCTTCGTAAATTGTCATATACAAATGTTTTATTTTAATCTTCATAAGAAAATTTTTTACTTTTATACTTAGAACTTTGTGGTTTCAGGACGAAGAAATTAAAACTAGTATAACTGCCATTGATAAGAAAAAACCTGAGGTACACATATACAATACATATACGATACATACGTTACGTCATGTTTTTTGTTTTACTCAACATGTTTGTATTTTTCTAGACGAAACAAGACACAAAACAAAAAATTGACACACAATCACCAGCAGAACCCAAGGTACACACGTCACGATACACGAATTTTGCTTTTATACTGATAAACAATTTTCCATGATAAAGTTTACAAAAATATATATACTAACGTTTTTCATGCATACGCATTAAACGATTTTTAGGAGGAATCGAAAATTAAAACAAAAAGTGTACCGAGTAAATTGTTGGATACTAAGGTACATTTTGACTAAAAAACACTCAGGTTTTATTTCGATTGCCTTGAATTTATGATAAAAGAAAAAAAAAAAACAAAGTCTAATGTAATTGTTGCATTCATTCGTAGGTTGAAACCAAAGCGAAAGCTAAGACATTAACCAAACCTGAGGAAGCGAAGGTACACACATTGAACGCATATACAGTTAAATAGTATATTAGATCTTGTAGTTGATTTTTCGTTAGATACATATGGTATTTAAATGATGTTTTTTTAGAAAGAGGAACCTAAATCCATTATTGAAAAACGCGACGCGAAACCTAAGGTATATAAATACTTACAATATATTCGTTCATTTACACGCATCATACGCCTCATCACATAACAGAGCAGACATTCGAAGTACATTAAACAAAAATGATATATCGTTCGTTTCATGCACTTATATCATAACGCATTTCATTCTTTTTCAGCGATCCCATCTTATTGTCATTTCAATAATTTGTAATTACATTATATTCTCATCCATAATATACTACTACAAAGTAGAAAATATTTACAAATTAAAAATCGTATATTAAAGTTAATGAATACTTTTTAGGAGGAACCAAAAGCCACATTAAAACCAGAAGAAACCAAGGTACACACAACAAACACTCAGTACATTAAATTACATAGAAAAATACTTTATACACAATGGATGAAATACTAAAAGTTCCCGATATTATTACAATGAAATTTCTTTTTAGAAAGAAGAACCCGTCGATAAACGTAAAACACTCGGCAAACCCGAGGAACCCAAGGTACATAAGTCGCTCACATTCAAGCATAAATAACAATCAGATAATGCATTTCATTACACGCTTATATAATCACAACAAAATAGAACACGTATCGCGATATTTATAAGATATTATTTGCATACGTATTTTTAAATATGTAGTCTTTTTGTAATGATTTCATGTTTATAAATTATTCATGGGATGTTCTGTCTGTGTTTACAGAAGGAGGAACAAGAGAGAAAACTCAGTCTCAAGCAAAGTATTAAAGTATGTATATCACGTATGCGATATATGAATGTAATATAAGGAAAGTTTGTACTATAATAAAAATTCTTCTTTACTTTTTATAGATCGAAGAAGAAAAGAAGTCTTTGAACAAAGTCGAACTCAAGGTGAGTGTTTGGTTTTTTAATGAGTGAAAATCTTTATTATTATTATCAGTATACACAAAATTATTGAATAACAAACCTTAAAATACACATAACGTAACAATATTGGAATTTGATAATCGGTAGTCATAAAAACGTATAAAATATCGTAAACTATCATTCGCAATTATCACAAATATTTCGAATACAGCCAAAGGAAATCCAAGGCACTGAAGCGAAACCAAAACTACGTAGGCCACCAAAACAAGAAGTTAAAACCGATAATTTTCAAATGATACAACTCAAACCAGTTGCAAGAGATGCGTCAAAGCCTCAGAAGGCTACAAATGGCACTATTGAGTTGAAGGTATCCTTGCACACAGGAATCTCAGCATCTCTCTCTCTTTCTCTCTCTCTCTCTCTCTCTCTCTCTCTCTCTCTCTCTTTCGTTTAAATCCTCTAGTGCTAAACAAATTGATCTGAATATTCTCTTCTTCTTTGTTCTTTCTTTCTTGTAATTAAAAATGTTATAACTTCAAAAAAATATTCTGTGACTCACAATATTGACTCACAGCATTCTTAGAATGGACTTGTACACCTTCATACTTTATATACTTTACTCTATCTCTTTTCTATGTCTTTCTCTTTATGTCAGTTTTAATACTGATGCCTCTTATTCTCTATGGACTTTAACTTATCCTTTCTATGTTACACACCTTCAATGCATCTTACAAAAAGTCTACTAAACTCGATCTATATGTTTATAAAATATTTTTCTGCTTTGATATTTCTAATTTTCTACAGCTTGTTCTTGAAGGATGAACTTTCCTGTTAAATTCTAACGTATATGTTCTATCTGTAAATAACAGTATGTGTATATCACAATTATGCAAGGTTTTCTTAAAATTTCGAACTTTCCAAACTTATAAAATTAATTAAGAAAGCATATCGAAAAGGTAAGATAAAACTGATTCCGTAATAATATATGTAAACTTACACTTCCTTTGGATGTAATTAATTCTACGTTTATAATCTACACATCGGACTGCTCTTTCTACTCTTCATCTCACACTTGTCATTGATAACACACTACCCGCATTATATTAATTTATCTTAACTCGTATAAAAATTAAGGATGATTTTGTTTTGAATTTTGCAACGTATAGAAAGTCGAAAAGACAGAGAAGCAAGAGGCAAAGAAAGGGAAAGTTACAAAAGGGAGGAAGGAAAGCAGCTATGAACTTCCAGAAATTCCTGATTACGAGAGGCCAGTCCTTGAGAAACCTCAAGAGTTCGATTTCGGTGAACGTGTAGCTCGCGATAAAACAAAATTGGATAGACCGGCGACACAGGTAAGAAAATGGTCGATCGACGTCAAATTTCATGAAAAATTAAATGTTGTTAATCTTGTTGTCTTATTTTCTTTTTTCTTTTTTTTTTTATGTTTCTTTTTCATGACTCCGTGGGACAGAAATTTGAGTCGAAGGTGAGTAATGAAATTGACTTTTCATTTCTTAAGGATACATGATAACCAGATAAGATCACGTCCATTCGAATAAGAGAACAAAAATAGGTATTTTCAAAGTAGAGACAATTTCAACACTTTCTTCAATTTTAGATAAAGAATGTCTAGACTTGTACAGTAAGTAGAATCATCCCACTAGATCGCGAAAAGCGTATAAATTCAATGATGATTAAAATTTTAAGAAGAAGATTTACAGCTTGGCAGATTTATGTAGGAATGTTCATTCCCGTAGGCGTATGTACGTCCTGCCTGAGAACGGTGAGAAAAAAAAAAGCGATTAGTGAAATTGGATAGCAAAGGTCGTTTCCGTAATTAGCTCGGGCATCGCGATTCCATCGAATTAAATGAAATTGAATAAAAGCATGTATTTCGTTCGCGATCGTTCGGTCGTACGGTCGACGTACGATATGTCAACGGTGACACAGAATCCTGTTTGGCGCAGGTTGCCAGAGAGCCTTCGTCATATTTTCCGATCTCGTAAATGTCCGAAGGGCGTAACGCGCGACGACGACACAAATACTCGGATGGCACAGTCGCCGTTACATCTACGTAATAATAATCACAATTAAAACGACTCGATTTTGCGCGAGGTAATAATCATCCAAGTCTCAAGAATCTCTCGTTTCGGTTTCCCTTGGCAACCAATGAATGTCTCTCATCCATGTGAAGAGAAATCCGAGGGAGAGGGCAAGAGATGTAATTCTTTTGGCAAATAACTCGTCGTATGTCACCATCCCTCGCGTAGATCTTCCTCGTTTTTATTCGTGAAAAGGAGGATGGAGAAAACATCGATCGCTATTTTCGGTTTTATTGCATTCGTATCTCGGTCGAGACACCTTTCTCAACTGAGGTTCCCCTATCGAATAAAGAGATCAGTCGTAATCTCCTTACGATCGAGATTGCATTAAATCGCTTACTTTACTGCTTCTCGGAAGATAGACTTTCGCTCCTAAAGAGTTTTTCTTTGGGGGAAAACGGTAACGTTTATCTATACTATCGGAAACATTTATCATTTTGTGCAAATTTGAAACTTCCTTTTTCTCTCTCTCTCTTTCTCTCTCTCTCTCTCTCTCTCTCTCTCTCTCCCCCCCTTGTCTCTATATTTATCGTAGCGTTTACTCGTGCGCTTTCCCCATCGAAGCAAACGTGAAAACTTGATTCATCATTGCAGCCAAAATTGCCAGAGATCAAAGCACCGGAGGCACCAAAGATCGAAGTTATTAAAGACGTAACACCGACAGGAAGTAGGAAGGGATCTTTGATACCAGGAAGTGGTTCGACCAGTCGACGTGGTTCTCTCATACCACCCGAAGAATTGGGTCGTAGACCTAGCCTGATCATCAGTGACGAGGTATGCTACGAAAGAAATCGTAATTTGATCCTCAAGGTATATCGACTGCTGTATAGAAAACAAAAAGGACCAACTTGAGAGGTGCAACAGTTGCTTTTCTTAGATTCGCGTATCTGATACGCGCGACATATTTTTACTCGTCAAGGATCATTTATTAAAAATGCTATAATACTGTTGCACGTCTTTAGATTCGTACGACCGAATGATTTACTTCAAAACGATTAGCATCAAACGACAGCATCAAGAGCTGTTAACGAATCTTTGTTTCATCAAGAACTTCGATAATTAGAATCATTTTGTCAAAATGCCAGATAAACTTACTTGATATTTAAGTAATGACTAGAACGATTCTAAAAATATCTGCATTCACGAGCGTGCTTATTCTGGATAGAATTATTCACATTACTCATTAATGTTTTTAGTACCGAAAATATGTTCCGAACTATAATTAGTCAGGAAATAATCCTTTCTCGAGCTTAAACGTTTTGAAATAGATCGGTCTGTCATCCAAACGATATTCTTTCAAGTTCGTTGCGCCGTCGAAGTTATCCGTTCGATATTTTTAAATATAAAGTTTCCTTTGAAAAAGAATCAAACGATCGATACAGGACGAAAGATAGTTGGAATGAAAAAGCGTAAAAAAGAAAACTTGTGAGAATGTCGGTTGTACGTCCTAAAAAAAAATGTTAGAAAAATGCTGATATAAGATGCTAGGTGAACGAGTAGGTAGATGACTAGCTACAGCTGGTTAGCTCTAGATTTTTTTGAGTTTTTTTTCCTGAGTTCCGTAGAAATATTCGTTATATTTAGCGATCCTACCCATGATGATATTAGCAATAGATATCCATAGACGTAAAGTCCCAACGAGTTTCTGTGAAAGTGTCTTTAGAAGGTCAGCAGGAGTGTGCGTTATTTTTAGTGTCAGCAAAGCGTGAAATTTAGATTAGCTACCTGTTCGTGAAAAGTCCATGTACCCAGCTTCTGATGCACCAACCATCGCTCCTCTTCCAACGCCTGTCCTTGATTTGCTAAACACACAAAGCAACCAACTATATTACTATTCCAAGATAAGAAGGAAGCAAATTGAAGATTTCAGTAAGGAGTAAGAGAAAATAAAATCGACGATATCGTACCAACGTTGGAAAACTATCCGAGGAGTACGTTCTTGTAAACGGCCCGATTTCCGAAGATGGCTCATCTCGAGGATCATTCTATATTTCATTCTATATTTCATTATCGATTAAAATATATAAACGAGAAAATAATACATGTACACATAGCTATGCTCACACACACAACACTACAGGCACATTTAGCTGACAAGAACACAGTAGTAAACAACAATTTGGTCCATAGGAGAATAGGAAGCTGCGGCCCGGCGAGGTAGTGGACGAGCGCAAGGTGAGAAAAGTCTCTAAAAGTGAAGGAGCGAATGCCTCGTCTGCAACCTTACTCAACTACCAATGCATTTCTTCTACTTTTATTCCACTTTTGACTCACATATTCTCTTACACAATTTCATCGGAATGACGGACGAAAAAAATTATGCGTTTAATCGATCAGACTCTTCAAATTATCGACATCGTCTATGAATCTTTTACGAATTTTTCTTTATTACATTTGTAATATTGCATCGATCGGTATCACCTAATGGCATACTTCATTTTTTTCGTCCGCATGTGCCTGCTCACTACTACTATTTATTGTTTAATATTTATTCGCTATGAACGTATTTCACACTACATTATTCGCAAGCATGCGTACGTCGACGTAAGAAAACTGGGAGATTTGAATAGCCATTTGATTTGTAACGTCGAATACTATGATTACGTCGATGGAATGCAAGCATGCAGTTGTAGAGTAAGGATTCCTGTTATAATACCTGTCGTCGGGAAGAAGCATTTGATTCTTTTCTTTTTTTCTTTCTTTCTCTTTCTTTTTTTTCTTTTTTTTTTTTTTTTTTTTTTTTTACATAGATCCGACGATCCATGAGACGGAATCTTTACTCTCGAATAACTTTATTTCGATATGTTGTCGTAATGATTATAAGCTAAACTATTGACCAACGTATAAAATGCACCTGCACCTGGCACGGATCTGCTGCCTGAACCGAGTCTGTGTGCACTACAAACTCGATAATAATGACACTTACTATTAAAAAAATTAATATAATAATAACAATCGACGAAAGAAAGAGAATTGAAAAGGACGAGGCGTGTCCGGTAAATTCACTGACAACGACTATCGATCATTCTTTTGCAAGGTTTCGAATTTCTTTTGGCTAAAGAACCTATGCTAACACTTTAACTCGTAGATCAAATGTCTTGGCAAGCATTGTCTGCAAAAGACACTCATTGGCGTTAACGAATGTTTAGGACGTACAAGAAACAGCGACGATATGTGAATCATGTCATCTTGTAAATATCTTGTAGTAAGAATGCGTTCACGCGAGAAAAACACTTGTTACATTTTGTTCGCTGCAAAGACTTGTCGCTATTAATTCCGAACTGATCAGGAGGAAGGACGAATGATGATTTCTCTGAGATATCATCGTCTATTATGTGTGCAAGACTTGGATATTAATCTCTCTCTCTCTCTCTCTCGCGTGCGCGCGCGCACATATTTTCTCTTTCACAAATATTATATATCAGATTTATCCGAGATCAATTTTTCAGGTTCTCGCCAGACACGCCTCGTACTTGCACGAGCCCTCCCCTCGAACGTAAAGGATTCAATTATTTTCATCTCTTAACGAATGAAATTATATTAGAGCGAAATGCGTTCGAGGAAGAAGGCATCCGAAATCGTGACGGATCGTCCGATGATCGCCTGTAGGCGTTACTATGTGAATGCGAATATATATCACTGATTTTTAACTGCACTTATTTCGGAATAGCGTACGTTTGATAGTGTCGACTCTAATGGCGACTCTATGGTAAGACCGAGCCTCGAAAGCAATAATGACCTTGTGTTTGTCTAAAACAAATCTATATCCTTCGTCCTTTCGTCTATGTCCGTTCCTCGAGAGGTATCATTTGATTCATGGTTCCTTTTTTTCTCTTTTCTTTTATTGTGCCGTCTTTTTCCGTTTCTTCTCTTCTATCTATTTGCTTGTTTGTTCGTATTTATACGTACGCAAACACTATACTTTCTATCGATTCCTTCGATCTTTTCTCGCATCGGTTATCGAATATTATTATCGATTTCCAATGACTCACGATAAATTCTCGACGATAATTTCAACATAGACATTCACATAAAAACGCTCGATGTACTTTACGCATCGCCTACGTAGTAGAATTTTTATAAAGACATGATCGGAGAAGGATCTTAGTCGATAACATTCGGAAGAAAGGAGAAAGAAAGTTTTTTTTCTAACGCGACAAATTTTTCGCCAAAAGCTCATGTCCGCATCTATGATTTTTTACAGTTGGGAAAGTTACGACCCGGGGAGGTGTTGGACGCTAAGGTGAGATTTGTGTTCGCTATAACACAAAGCTTACCTACCAAGTACCATCACCTGCAACATTTTACAACTTTATCGTTTTACAGCTGCACTGTTTCTTATTCCTATTGTTTCTCACCCTGCCCAATTCTCTTTGAGCCCTGCCCTATACTTTATGTATTTTATTTCTTATTCTTCGCAATCTTCATCCCTTCGATTGAATTTTTATCGATAAATCATGGATCACTCCGTCCGGCGATCAAATTATTTTACATATCTTTCATCGTTTAACGATGCCGATCATTTCTATTGAATCCATTGATCAAAGAAATTAGAATGTCGTTTTCCTTAAAGAGTCGTTGATTGATCGCCACGCGAACGTGATTCCGTTTCTTAAATGTACATGCTCAGCTTAACGACAAATCACTCAAAGTACTCAAACAAAATAATGAAGTTTCAAGTAACAATGACAACTAAAAACAAGCCCAATGGCACAAGCCCTTGCCGCCCCAAGCCCGCGCCCCTTGCAAGAAGTAACGACACGTTATCACGAGACGACAATAATGATAATAATAATAATTTTGTAACCTTTTTTAGCTAAATTTTTTGGGGCTGATATACTATCGTTGCCGCTGCTACCGCATTCTTACGCTATCATCCGCAACCCCCGACAGATACAATTTTTAGGATATCGACGATATTATGATATTTCATCATATTGCTGTCTTCTTTTTTTTCTTTCTACTATTGTTTGGACAGGCTACGATACGTGACGATCGACTATGGCCCACCGACCAGATTACAAGCCCGCCTCATTGATCTTTCTTACTATCTCTATCTCTACATTTTTTTATTTTTCATGCACCACGAACAGAATAAGTACGGGCGCCGAGGCGAACTGCAGAACAAAGAGGTTAGCACCAAATTCGTCGTGAATATGTCGCGCACGTTATCTCGAATAGAGTTTTCCTTTTATTTCCCTTTTCTCTTTTTTTTCTTTTCTCTTTTTTTTCCTTTTTTTATCTCTTCCATTGATGGGTGTTACAAGTTAGAAAATCATTTATGTGCCTGTTTATAAAAATATTTATATATATATATATATATTTTTTTTTTATATATATATTAATCTTTAGAAAGAGCATCATAAAATGGTCTTTGTTGGACTTCGTTCTTTGTCGAGATCGAACGAAATGAAAAAATAATCGCGAAGGTTCCAACGTAATGCAACCAACGCGAATGCACGTTCGTCCGACTAAATACGGAGTCTTACTACTGCGCTAAACAGATCGTTCTGCCCGCTGTACAGATACTGCTTAATTCGAGCGAATACATCTATGTATTTAATTCCTTGAGAAAATTGGATAACAGTAATGGTGGTAAGCTAGCTTTTTTTAGTACCTTGTTTGACTTTGTTTTTCTTTGTATCACGTTGAAAGCGTGTATATATATATATACATATATACATATATACATATATATATATATATATATATGTGTGTATATATACATTTGCATTTACATTTACAAGTGTTTCCGATTTTCGTAAAATCCGATGTCGAATGATGTACCACCATTAGTGATTCAAGTAGCAATAAAATCGTGTCACTTTATTGTACATAGAAATTTGCTGCTTGATTTAGTATGAGTATATGTGTAAAATAAAAACAATTTTTCGTGTATATTCGTTAAGTACAGGTGTAAGAATAATTTTCGTGCTCACACTACGTGTTCATCGTTTACTTGTTGGCATTAGATCTAGTTGAAAGCCTTCTGATCATCGATATACATAATATTTGCCACGGACAAGGCGTTTACGATCAGCAATATCGATCGGCGATATAGTTCTTTACCAATATTTCTTTTCGACAATAAAATTAATATGTTTTCGTCTTGGCCGTGGTTTGTAAATATGATTTATCTTATCTCTTTGTGAATAATCTTAATTGTACGATTTATTGGTAGATGACTTTAGAACTACAAATTGTTTGTCATCCTCATTGGAACCTGAGAAAACCATTTGGTATACTAAAAGATACTCCCAACGTAGAAAGTGGTAAAATAACATCGTATCTTAAAGTTTAGCCCGTTTCTCGAATTTATCTTTCCTCATTTTTTTTCTCATCTCTGTTATCTCCTTTATCTAACAATCAACGACGAAATATTATGAATTATTTGGACGTTCATAAATTATTTGACGATCTATCGACGATATACTTTTAACCAATTAATTCAATTTTTTAACCATATCCCATGGAAACAGAACTCACTCAAATATAAAACAAATCCTTTTAGCTTTTAGATAATATCAGCGATTTAATAAATGAACATAAAGCGAGCGCGTTGACAGCAGCTTGTTTTTCTTTTTGCATATATCATTATCAATGAATGAATTTATTGTCAGTCTATCAAATCTAATTACCTAAAATAAATTATGGCGTATTGACTGAGTGATCTTTTGGATTATTCTTTCCTTCATCGCTTACAGTGGAATTTAGGTTCTTCAGAATCAAACTATCCTTTGCTTTTTTCTTTCTCTTTTGCTTTTCCTTTCTCTCTCTCTCTCTGTCTCTATTTCTCTCTCTCTCTCTCTCTCTCTCTCTCTCTCTCTCTCTCTCTCTCTCTCTCTGTCTCTATCAGTACGCCAAATCATCGAGAAAATCACATGTATATTCTATCATGTTTCACGAATAATTTCATATGATATATTCCTCTAATATAACGTTTATCATTCATATATCATGCGTGTTTAGGAGACATCATGATCTCCGGAAACATATAAATATGTAAGCATATAGAAACCATATCATTACATACTCCAAGTGTGTCCAATCACCTGTGTCGATTAATATGTTCCAAATATATTCATCTGTCGGCTTCATGAATTCAAGAATTTTGACGAGTTTCTTGAAGATATTGTTGCTGTAAAATAAATGTAGTAGGATCATTCGATGAGTCATTAAATTTTAATAATCGACTTTAATCGTCGATCTGTTTAATGAAATCAATCGATCGATCATACTTTTTGCATTCGCCACAATTCACTTCCCTTTGTATATTATTCCTATTGTGCTAATAGAGGCATCCTGGTAGAGGATGAGTATACTAGTGTCACTAACGGATTGTACTCACTTATGTGACTAACGTGTAGACATTAAAAGCTTACTTAACAATGTGACTTATTGCCGTGACTAAATTGTATCTAATTGTATATAATGTCAAATAATTATGATGCGAATTCGTATGGTTATCTGTCATTCTAATCTATCATTAATGATTTTATTCGTAATATTTGACAAGTCTTAACAGATCATTGTACGAAATCGCGCACTTTATGCCTACGATAAAGCTTGGTAGAACTATTACTATTGGCTAATATTCTCGCGATAAATTAAATCAATGATATAATCAATGAATGATGAATCCAGAGGCGTCGTCCAAGCACGGACGTAAGAAGACCCAGCGTGGCGGACCTCGAGAATAAAATCAATCAACCTAGTACACCTCTTCGAGATGTTGGACCACCAGGACCACCGCAAATCGTTGATGTCCAGGAATCATACTCCGCCGTCGAAGGTAATGTCTTTTTTTTATTATTAACGTCAATAACAAAGGAACGTTCTTACTGTCTTATATTATAATAGATTCGACGGCGTACCTCACCGTTGCGGTGGAGGGTACGCCTGCGCCAACCTTCAAGTTTTACAAGGGCATCACCGAGATCATCGAAGGTGGCCGTTTCAAGTTCCTCACGGATACGGAAACCAATACGATCACCCTTTGTATGAGGAAAACAAAGCCCAACGATGAAGGCACTTACAAAATAGTCGTTAGCAATATCCACGGAGAGGATTCTGCCGAGATGCAGCTTTACGTATCTGGTAAGTATTATTTAAATAGATATAAAATTGTCTATATTACCTATGTGTATTATACGATAAATTTTCTTCAGACGCCAGTGGCATGGATTTCCGTGCAATGTTGAAAAAGAGAAAATATCAAAAGTGGGCGAGAGAGGAAGCGGAACAGGAGAAGGTAGATTTGAAGGAAGTGGAGAAACCTATGCCGGCTTTGAAGAAAGTAGAGAAGGTAATAATTCTTATTTTTCATTGCACATTACATTCTAATACTATGGTATCTTGGTATATAATTATACTATGCAATTCTTCTATACGAGTATAGAAATTTGTCACACACGTGCACCATTTCATTGTAATTAGCTAAAAAAAAAAAAAAAAAAAAAACAAAAAACATTGCATCGTGCCGATGTGAAATTGTACAATAACACGTCACTAACACAGCTCGGTGCACGAGACGAATATTGAATGAATTATGCATCGTTGTTGTCAACACATCGTTCCAAGCTGCCGATTCGTTTTTTTCGGAGCAAGCATTGGTTGACGGCAATGAAGGCAAGTACGAAGGGTAGCTTGGATCTAATCATCTTGACAATTTTTGCAGATTTTCAAAGAAGGGTGTACTTTTACCAAACGTGACGTTTCAAAACTATCTCATGATATTTAGTCAGTTGTTTCTTCTTTCTCTTTTTCTTCTTTTCTTATCTACATTCGACACCTCTCTTAGTCGCTGCATGGCAGCGAGGTGCATGGTAGCGAGCTACATGGAAGCGGCTGGTACCAAGACGGGTTGGAAATAGTGATCTTGATGGAGGGTCAGGAAATCTATCGAATTCCTCTTGACAAGAAGGAAGAACCTAATTGGAGCTGGCTCAAGGTTTTCGAGCAACCCTATGTAGTAATTCCTGCAAAATGACGACGTTACCTATTGAAAACGCGCCGAATATACGTGTCGACCGAGTTTTGTACGAGCGCCGTCTTGTTCTACACTTCTGTACTTTTGTCATTTTATTTGTAAGAGTCGCTACGAAACCGACATATTACTTTGCACGACGTTTTTCATCATATCGATTATAATCAAGACGTTCGCATTATTCATTTTTCATTATATTAACATTTTTTTGGTAGTTGCTAGAACCATTTTGTTTGGAATATTTCGGTAATATTCAATAGTAATTAGATATAACCGACATTAGATAACGAACGATTGTTTATCTTTGTCCTTCTTCTTTCTTTTTTTTTTTTTTTTTTTTTTCTTTCTTTTTTTTTCTGTAATAATCTATACACGATTATTTTTATCTTATCCCTGTCCCTATGCACTCACTATATTAATTTAGAGTTAATGCTGGTCTTCGTGTATTTTTACATTGACACGTTGCACTTTCATCCGTAACCACGAAATCAAATCAATTGTCACGTCTCATGTTTCATGCGATCATCATAAAAACTGGATTTATCACTTTTAATTATAAATCGTGGAAGATAAACACCTTACTTATTTCATAACTCTGTGCACTATAAAATTTATTTCCTTTTGTGTTACTTCGACTAACGCCTTGAACGTTATATACGTATAATAATAATAGTTTAATGTAATTAATATCAATTATGAATTGAATGCATCGCGTAAAAAAGGAGCAAGCATTACCTCTAAATTTGTAATCATGTCGTTAAAAAACATGAAGGATCTCTCGAAACCGATATTTTCGAAGCCCTCGCGTAATAAGTCATTATTATGTTTCTCTGCGAATACATTTTCATTAGCTTGCTTCGGAGCAAGATCTAGATTGAAAATAGATGAAGAAAATCGGTTATTCGGGTTCCTTGAAAATTGGAATTTGATTGGTAAGAGTGGAATTAACGGTCATGTGTGTGTGCCTCGCATGCAGGACGTCTTCGACATTCATCGCAGGCCAAGTTTGCAGGAGCTAATCGTCGACTGGCCGATACTAGTGGCAAGAGTCAAGGAAAAGGTTCGCGATAAATCTTAAGGCAATATTCCTCGCATTCCTTGATTCCAGTTGAATAGCCTCGAAATGAAGCCTCTGCCAATGCCCCTCCAGGCTTTTTATTATTTTCATTACTCGTGTATTCTGGTGAATTATCGATTCATTTCTCAATGAAATTAGTCACTCAGTCATTGTGCCATTCGGTTACGTCAAGATCACTGTAATTCACCCGAATATATTATTGTATTTATGGAATTTTGACAAACGTCCTTAAGCAAAGTCGAAAGTGTCTTTGAAATCTCCTGCTATGAGCTTTCGTCATTGATTATATTCGATTTGCCTTATTGATTATCATTCGATACATGAGTTGTGCGATTATTTTTAATAATCAATATTGCTTTGGCCAATGCTTATAATCTTAACGAAATGCTAGCTTCTTTAGAAAACCGTACGTGTATAACAATATGGTTGAGCAGTATTACATTGATAGTGTTGTATCAGTTTAATCATTGACTCATATTAATTAATTATCGTTTTGTAGAGTTATCTATTATATTATTGTGACACTAACTAAAATAAGTTCATATTATAAAGCGTACGAACCGAATTAAAGTAAGTCGCGCAACGATTGATATTTCAATTAGCGTTGCTATCGTTCATTCAAACCGATAGTATTTTCTCACGATGAAGATTATCTTATATTTGTTTAAGACGCTCGAAAGGTTCACGGGAGTTAACTGCAGTTGGATTTTATTATTTTTAGAATAGTGGATCGCGTAGGCCCTCTCTGGCAGAATTAATACCCGACTGGCCGACGCTGCATCACTTCACCAAGATGGAGGTTGGATCTACTCCTCGATGGCGTGATATATCTTTATGATTTCACGTGATACATATATATATAATGCCTGTTTATCTGTCGCATCACTCGAGAGCCTTGGAAAGTTCTATTCTATTCTTACTCTCGCTAAAGGCTCACCACTAAGGGCATTTCTTCTCAACTTTACGTTTCTTTCTCTTTCGGAAACTTTCATCGTTACTATCAGTTATCATCATCATGGAATGTCCTGTCTTCACGTTTACTTCCATTAATTATTTCACAATCTATCAAATTAAGCAGAAACATCTTTCTATGATCATAGATTTCTTTCTCACATTTCTTTATAAAGTTTTTCTCAATTCTCACCGCAAACTATGACTATATCTTACTTGCGTTTAGGTATAGCGATTCCAAAAATATTCAAAATTAAATATTTACCAAAGAGAACGAATTATATTCGATAACGTAGAATTTTAGAAGATTATTGGAATCTCTATACCAAGTATACTTCCTCGATGTTGTCTTTTGCGTTTAAACAATATCTTCTTCTTCGTGCCTATACTCTTCCGCACGTATGACAAATCTCGATAAGATGTGACGGCACGATTTCTTCACAAGATATCGATCTTCTGATAAATCTGTAACAACATTTTCAACTGCGTTTCTTTAACGAGCATGATGTTGCAGGCTTAAAAATATTACTACGTCGTTCTGCGAAATCAGTGATGCAATATTTTTTCTTCTTTTTCTTTCTCATCGTTTTATTTTTCTGCAGCTTTGGAAAAAATTACGAGGACAGCGTTGTTAATATTTTTTCGTCGCCCTTCATATTTATACTCGCTCGAAAGAGGCGACGAATTTTTTTACTTTTCCTAATGTTAATAATAATATGTCGAGCCTTATCTCGAACTGATCTATCTACTGTTGTCTCGTAGAAACCGGAGAGCTTCTTAAAGCCATTGGTGGATCAATATGCCAAAGAAGGAAAAGACAAAAAGGTCGTCTTCGAAGCTAACTTTTCTAAACCAAACTGTAAACCAAACTGGTTCTTCCGAAAAGACGTAAGTACATCATGAAATAAAAGATTATATTGTATTTAATCATTTATCATCGATGTCTACTCCCCCCCCCCCCCACCGCTCCGATAAACATCTTTTTAATCTAATTATATTTTTTAACGATATTTTATACTTGTATTATTGGAATACAATAAATATATTCGTTATAATTCCAACAGAAACTATTTCCTTCGGCTAAATACAAATTCAAGAACGAAGAGGATTCTTATCAGCTTATCATTTTAGGACCTAAAGTTGAAGATACAGGAAAATATACTATTGAGATCAGTGGCGTTACTAGTACCGGTTTTCTCAATGTCGAGGGTATAGTATCAACTATTACATTTACTCACGCTAGTTCATTTTCTATTATATACCATAAAATTTGTTTAATTATTTACCTTGCAAGCTATCCATAATTTTCTAAAGTGAAAACAGTGAGTCTACAAACTCTTCGGTACTCCTTACTTTATAACGTCACAAAACGTTATATATTATGCATCAAATTATTGACACTTTAATACATTCGTTCTTCTTTCAGAACCCGATCCTACATATTCATTCACGAAACCGCTTGCAAAGAAAACAAGTGGATATACGAAGCACGAATGTTACATGGAGTGTACAGTTAGCTCTAATCTTGCTCAAGTTTCGTGGTATAAAGGAAAAACGAAACTCGAGGTAATATTTGCTCTTCGATTTAAAATTTAAACGATTTAATAATACTATATTGAATACAATAAAAAACTTTTCCCTTCGATTAGGATGGCGATGTATATAGTATTTCCAAAGACATGTCCGGTGTTTGCCGATTGACTATTAAAAGTGCTACTCTAGAAGACAGCGGCGAATACATTTGTAAAATTAATAAACAAACGGAAAAAACGGAGACAGTGCTTACCGTCGTTGGTAATTTCCCTTAATATTTTTTATTATCCGTTATACTTCGCCAAAGAATATATTAAAAAATATATACTCACTTTTAATTTCAGAGTATCCTTATAAATTCGTTAAGGTCCTAAAGAGTCAACAACTAATAGAAAAGGAAACTCTGACTTTACTTTGCGAACTCGATGACGAAGCTGGCGAAGTTAAATGGTTCAAAGGCGATCAAGAGATAGTACCCGATAAGAGGTAATAAAAAGGATAATATTTATATGTATTAGGAATGGTATTTTTACGAGTATCGTTTATGGAAATTAAATTTCTATTCTTGACTCGTAGAGTACAAATCAAGGCCGATGGTAGAAAGAGAAAACTTGTCATTAAGGATTGCAAGGTAACCGATGCTGGAAATTATTCTTGCATGAGCAATGCTGATAAGACCGAAGCCGAGATCGTTATAAATTGTAAGCTGTTTTTTTTTTTCAAATTTAATTCTCGAAATATATTTATAAAATTGACTGAACGGAAAAGAGAAATATTTTTTAAATGAATATTTTCAGATGCCAATCGATTTAACAAAAAATTGAAGGATACCGTTGCGATCGAAAGGGAAAAGCTCGTTCTTGACGTAGAGTTACAAGATCAAACTGCACCGGCAGTTTTCCTTTTCAATGGAAAACCGATCGAGCCAGATGAAAGGATTGAAGTTAAAAATCTTGGTGGTGGTAAACATCAATTGGTATTCAATAGGGTCGAAATGTCAGACGACGGTGAAATTACATGCGAGAGTGGACAACTCACGAGCAGCTGCAAGTTGACTGTTAAGAAGGGTGAGAGCAAACCCATCGTCGATATACCAGACATAGTCGAAGGACCATGTAGTGCACCTATTGTATTTGTCGTGCCTTTCAAGAGTAAGTGCATTTCGTTATAATTTAGAATGCATATCTCTTCTCTCGCGTTATATTATATCGTTTACATCTTTTCATAACAGTCGAAGGCACGAAACAAAGTCAGATAGAAGCGAAACTTCTGAAAGATGGCAAACCGTTGCCGCTCAAAGATGTTGAAGTCGTTGTAGGCGAAGACAAAGTCACTTACAAAATCAAAAAACCACAGCGTGATTTATCTGGAATTTATCAAGTCAAAATCGGTAATAATCAGGGCGAAGAAGTTAAGGATATCAATATTAATATGCAAGGTAATGCTCGTATCTAGCAGTTTGTTTCTTTTTTTTTTTCTTTTTAATATTATTTCATCACTTTCACAGTTCACATAAATATTTTATTCCACAGACGTTCCATCGGCCCCGCAAGATGTGAATGTTACCGATGTCTTCGCCAATTCTTGTGTAGTTTCCTTTAAACCATCCAAAGATGACGGTGGCTCTCCAATTATGAAATACATTATCGAACGCCTCGATCTTAGTTTGAAATCCCAATGGGATAGCGTTGGAGAAGTTATGCCAGGAGAAAAATGCGTTTATAAGGTCGAAGATCTTGTAGCTAAGAAGGAATACAAGTTCCGTATACGAGCCGTGAACAAGCTTGGCTCTAGCGAACCTGCTATGTTTGCAAAACCAATTCTAGCGAAAGATCCTTGGGGTATGGAAACTTACGTAATCTACTATTTTATTTAGTCTTTATCATTGAAGTTTATTCATTACACAATGATCTCTCCTTTAGATGAACCTGGTAAGCCTACAAACGTGGATGTAACTGACTGGGACAAAGATCATGCCGATTTGAAGTGGACTAAGCCAGAAAACGATGGTGGTGCACCTATTACTGGTTACATAATCGAATATAAGGAGAAATTTGGAAAGGAATGGGTAAAGGGTAAAGAAATCGAAGGAGATGTCACAGAAGCTACTATCGACGGTCTTACAGAAGGAAAACAGTATGAATTTAGAATTCGTGCGGTCAACAAAGCTGGACCTGGAGAACCATCGGACGCGACGAAACCTATAATAGCAAAATCTCGATTCGTAAAACCTTACATCGTCGGAGATGGATTAACAAATATGATCGTCAAGAAAGGACAAGTTATAAAATACGATATCAAGTATGCCGGTGAACCCGAACCGGAGGTACACTGGTATCTCGGCGAAAAGGAAATTGTTCAAGATGCTGCCGAAAGGATAACGATCGATAAATATGAAAGAAATACCGTACTTACTGTAAGAAAAACTACTAGACCGGATTCTGGAAAATACAAATTAGTCCTCAGCAATAGTTCCGGTACATGCGAGAGTATTGCCGATGTTGTTGTTCTTGGTAAGCTCACATTATCCGCGACAGCACGTTAACCTTACGTTCTTTCGATTTCATTATATGACAGGTCTAACGCGATGTAATATCTTTACACAGATAAACCAGCAATGCCAAAGGGACCATTAAAAGTCGAAGAAGTCCGTGCGGATCACGTCAAAGTTAAATGGGAAAAGCCTCCAGACGATGGTGGTACCGAAATTACTGGATATGTTTTGGAGAAAATGGATATGGATACTGGACGTTGGATACCGGCCGGTGAAGTTGGACCGAACGAAGATACTTTTACATTCTCAGGTCTGACCCCCAAAAAGAAATACAAATTCCGTGTTAAGGCTGTTAACAAAGAAGGTGAATCTGAACCTTTGGAAGTTGACGAGGCAATAATTGCCAAAAATCCATACGGTGAGAGTACTTTATATTTTTTAAGAGGAATCTACTTATACCTTCTATCTCTTTATATGTCATTTTGATATATGATGTCTTTCGATTTTCAGACGAGCCTGGAAAACCTGGAAAGCCAGATATTTTCGATTACGACAATGTCAGTGTCTCTTTAAAATGGGAAAAACCCTCAAGCGATGGTGGTCGACCAATCACTCATTATACCGTCGAAATGAAAGATAAATTCGCGGTAGATTGGGTAGAAGTAATGAAGACTTCCGATGCCAATCCGGAGGCTAAAGTAGAGGGCCTGAAAGAGAAAATGGTTTATCAATTCCGTGTACGTGCACACAACAAAGCTGGACCATCAGAACCAAGCGAGCCGACTGATAATCATCTTTGCAAGCATAAAAATCGTAAGGACTTAATATTTTTATATTTTTTAAATTCATAATAATTAAACAGAACATATATGAAACATAATGTCATCTTTTAGTGAAACCAAGAATCGACCGTAGCAACTTCAAATCTGTTATCATAAAAGCTGGACGTACTCATAAATGGTCGGTAGATGTGACAGGTGAACCTCCTCCAGAAACTAAATGGATCTGGAGGGACAATATCCCCTTAACGAATACCGAGCGTATTAAAATCGACAATGTAGACTACCATACAGACTTTACCATCGTTAATGCAATGCGGAAAGATACTGGAAAGTACACATTAATCGCTGAAAATTCAAACGGCAAAGATGAAGAAACTGTAGAACTTACTGTTCTTGGTAAGTCGCTGGAAACAGTATGATAATGCCATTTTCGTTCTTTTTTCTAAACTGATGCATTAATAATTGATTATTTTTCTCTCCTTCCGTCTCTCATCAGGAAAACCAAGTCCACCGAAAGGACCACTCGAAGTAACAGACGTGACGAACACAAGTGCCAAAGTCAAGTGGGAAAAACCAGAAGATGACGGTGGTGTTCCGATCAAAGAATATGAAATTGAAAAAATGGATACCAAAACTGGCAAATGGGTTAGAGTTGGTAAAATACCTGGTAATTCTCCCAATATGGAATTCGATATTACCGGTCTGAATCCAGGAAGTGAATATAAGTTCCGTGTAACTGCCGTTAACGATGAAGGTGATTCTGAACCTCTTGAGAGCGAACGTGGCGTCGTCGCTAAAAATCCTTATGGTACATACTTTATGCAGTGCAATGCTATTTTCTGTCTATACAAAACAATTAAAAAAATGAACTTTCTTAAAAAATCAACTGCTTGATTTTAATTCATTTATAGATGAACCTTTGAAGCCAGGAACTCCAGAAATAACGGATTACGATAATGAATCCATTAGTTTGAAGTGGACACCGCCTGAGTTCGACGGAGGAGCACCCATAGAAAAGTACATAATCGAGAAGAAAGATCGTTACAAGCCCGATTGGGAAAAAGCAATCGAAGTACCTGGAAATCAGCTTGAAGCTAAAGTTCCCGATCTCAAGGAACGTGGTGAATATCAATTTCGAATTATTGCTGTAAACAAAGCTGGACCTTCACCACCGTCGGACGCTTCCAAGATGCAAATTTGCAAACATAAATCATGTACGTATGAATATAATATTACGATATAACATGTTTATTATAAATTTATGAAATGTAAAATTTTCATCTAAATAATATGGAATTTTTTTTTTTCTTTTTTTTTTTTTAGTGAAACCGAGAATCGACAGAACTAATCTAAAACCGATCATCGTACGTGCCGGAAAGCCTATTAAATACGATGTAGACGTACGTGGTGAACCACCTCCAGAAATTACTTGGTATCATGCAAATGTTGAAGTTAAGACTGGTGAAAATATCGAAATTGTTAATGTCGATTATAACACAAAATTGAGTATTACCGACAGTGTTCGTAAAAATACTGGTGTATGGAAGATACGTGCTGTCAATGCTCATGGCGAAGACGAAGCAGAAGTTGAAGTCACCGTTCTTTGTAAGCCTCTAAACATTTGGTCGATTAATATTATTCTCTCGGTATTTGATTTAACGACATGGTGAAGTGATTATTAGAAGCTTTAGAATATCATATAATTATTACAGCTTCTCCTGGTAAACCAAAAGGACCGATCAAAGTGTCGGACGTAACGAAGAGCGGTTGTAAAATAAAATGGGAGAAGCCTGAAGATGATGGTGGTAAACCTATTACTGGTTATCAGGTTGAAAAATTAGATAAATCGACGGGCAGATGGGTACCAGTTGGTCGAACCACAGACACAGAAATGGATATCAAAGGTCTTCAGGAAGGTCATGAATATGAATTTAGAGTAAAAGCATTGAACGAAGAAGGTGAATCAGAACCATTGGTGACAGATGGATCCATACTTGCCAAGAATCCATACGGTAAAATTTTAAATGCTTAAACTTTTAAATGTGTAATGCGTAATTATGTTTATAAGAAAATTGCATTGTCGGAAAATTATAATTAATTCGATTTTTACTACACGTACAAATTGTAGACATAGCAAGTAAACCTGGAACACCAGAGTTCGAAGATTGGGACGTAGATCGTGTTGATCTTAAATGGGAGCCACCTAAAAATAATGGCGGAGCTGCGATTACTGGATATATTATCGAAAAGAGAGAGAAACCATCGACCCACTGGGAGGAATGCCTCACAACGGATTCGCCACAACCAAAGGGTCGCGTCACAGGTCTCAAAAAAGGTGCAACATATCAATTTCGAGTACGTGCCGTAAACAAAGCTGGACCTTCGGAACCTAGTGAACCAACAAAACCGCACATTGCAAAGGCACGATTCTGTAAGTCTATTTTTATTTATCGCATTCAAAGATCGTTTATATTTAATCAAATTTTATGTAACATTGTTTTTTAATTACTATCAGTGAAACCGCATATCAATCGAGATAAATTGCAAACCATCAAAGTGAGAGTTGGACAACACGTGAAATTAGAAGTTGATATAGAGGGTGAACCGCCGCCAACTGTTACTTGGAGCTTTGCTGGTGAAACTCTACAAACCGGAGCAAATGTCAAGATCGATAATGAAGATTATCTTACTAAGATACAATTAATCAATCCAAGCCGTAAACTTACTGGAAAATATACAATTAAAGCGGTTAATGATTCTGGCCAAGATGAGGCTGATGTGGAAATTAACATCTTAGGTAAATGAAGAGTATTATAACATGTGTTATAATAGTATGTAAATTTTTATACTTTATTATCTTTTTTTTTATAAACATATAGACAAACCTGGAAAACCTGAGGGACCTCTAGAAGTAACCGATGTGCACAAGGAAGGATGCAAATTGAAGTGGAACAAGCCAAGGGATGACGGTGGACTACCCCTTACAGGATATATTCTTGAAAAAATGGACATTACGACTGGTCGTTGGGTACCAGCTGGCATGGTAGATCCAGAAAAAACTGAACATGCCATTACTGGATTGGAGCCTGGTAAAAAGTATGAATTCCGTGTGAAGGCTTTGAATGAAGAAGGCGAATCCGAACCTCTACAGACAGACACTGCCATCCTTGCTAAAAATCCTTATGGTATATGCAGTTCTACAAAAAGCCAAAACCTTCGGATAATAATAAATTGTATTGACACGTTCGTTTCAATGTTTCAGATCCACCAGCAGCACCTGGTCTACCAGAAATTATTGATTGGTCTGAAAATATGGTAAAACTTAAGTGGGAGCCACCAATAAGAGACGGTGGTGCACCTATTACTGGCTACATTATCGAAATGAAAGATAAGTATGGTACAAGTTTCGTAAAAGCTGTAGAAATATCAGGACCAACTTGTACCGGTACTGTACCAAGATTAGAAGAAGGCAATCAATATCAATTCCGTGTACGAGCTGTAAATAAAGCTGGGCCTGGCGAACCAAGTGAAGAAACTAATCCTCATACTGCTAAAGCTCGTTGGTGTAAGTGTTGTTTAATTCAATATTTCAATTGATATTGAACATAATGATGATGATAATAACAACAAATAATGATTAATTAATAACTCTCTATGTTTATTATATATGTGTAATTTAATGTAAATGAATGTTAAATTTCTAGTGAAACCCTACATCGATCGTACCAATCTTCAACCCATAACGATAAAAGTGGGACTTACAATGACCTTAGATGTGAATATAATTGGAGAACCACCACCGACAGTAACGTGGTCATTCAAAGAAGCAGAATTGGTGTCGAATGATATTATCCGTATCGACAACATTGACTATAACACAAAACTCATCATTCTAAAAACCAAACGTGAACAAACCGGAAAGTATGTGATCCGAGCGAAAAATGAAGTTGGAGAAGATGTAGCCGAAGTTGATATTACTGTTCTTGGCAAGCCAAGCAAGCCCAAGGTAAAAAATGAGAAAATAAATATGCAAGATCATGATTTATTAACAAATGTATTTTTATTTTTCTAACAGGGTCCTTTGGAAGTATTCGACGTTAATAAACATGGATGCAAATTAAAGTGGGAGAAACCCGAAGACGATGGCGGATCGCCCGTAGAATATTATGAAATTGAAAAACTTGATCCTCTAACTGGCCAATGGATATCTTGTGGAAGGTCTACCGAACCGGAAGCTACAGTCACAGGTTTGCAAGAAGGCAAACCTTATAAATTCCGTGTAAAGGCTGTTAACAGAGAAGGCGAATCTGACGAATTGGAAGCCGACAAATCTATTATTGCTAAAAATCCATTCGGTAATATACTATTTATATATATATAAATTAGAAATATTACGATGTTTTTTTCATAGATGGACAATATATCATAATAAATAAAAATTCTAGATGAACCTGGTAAACCTGGACGTCCTGAATTACGAAATTGGGACAAAGATTTCGTTGATCTTGAATGGACACCGCCAAAAGATGATGGTGGTGCTCCTATTGAAAAATATATTATTCAGATGCGTGATAAAGAAGGTAGGCAATGGGTGGATGCTGCAAAAGTTGTTGGTGATCGTACCATGGCCAAAGTTACCGAAGGTATTCAAGAAGGTCACGAATATGAGTTCAGAGTGGTAGCGGTTAATAGAGCGGGTCCAAGTGAACCTAGTGACGTTTCAAAGAGCGTCATTGCAAAACCTCGTTTCTGTAAGTAAATTTAATCATTTATTTTGTCGTCTATTAAAGTTGAAACTTGTATTTTTCAAATATTGCGTGGAGAAATATTAATCATGTAACACAATTCGTTGCACTTTCTTGTTTTCGTACAGTGGCACCTCATATCGATCGCAAAAATCTGCACAAAAAAGTTATGCGAGTTGGACAAATGTTACGTATTGAAGCGGATATTATAGGTGAACCACCTCCAATTGTAACTTGGAAACTCAAGGACGCAGTGTTAAAGAGCATGGATCGCATGAAGATTGAAAATGAGGATTATCACACGACATTTATAATGAGCAAATTACAAAGAACCGATACAGGAACTTATACTGTTATTGCCAAGAACGATAGTGGAACCGATCAAGTTGATGTTGAAATTCAGGTTTGTGAATTTTATCGTGTAAACTTTTTTATAATCATTCCACTATTTCTTTTCTTATTGATGTTATAATCGTTATTTACCGTTTAAATATGTTCAGGTCGTAAGTAAACCTGCCAAACCAAAAGGTCCACTTGAGGTATCTAATGTGACAGCGCAAAGTTGCAAGCTCAAATGGGACAAACCTGAGGATGACGGTGGTGATCCAGTTGATCACTATGTCATTGAAAGAATGGATGTTGATTCTGGTCGTTGGGTACCTTGCGGAACTAGTAAGGTACCTGAAGCTGACATCAGTGGTCTTAATGAAGGAAAAGATTACTTGTTTAGAGTGAAGGCTGTTAATTCTGAAGGAGAATCTGAACCATTAGAAACGGCGGTACCAATTACGGCCAAAAATCCTTATTGTAAATATCATTATGAATTAGATAGATTTTTATGGAGGCTATTATATTAATTTGATATCTAATACATATTTGTTTCTTGTTAAATTTAGCTGAACCCGATGCACCTGGTAAGCCTGACTTAAAGGATTGGAGTAAAAATCATGTTGATCTTAAATGGAAAGCACCAAAGAACGATGGCGGAGCACCGATCGAAAAATACATTATCGAAAAGAAAGATCAATATGGTAAATGGCAAAAGGCTGTAGAAGTTCCCGGTACTAAAACAGATGCTAGAGTTCCGGATCTTGTGGAAGGACAAAAATATCAGTTCCGAGTAAAAGCAATAAACAAAGGTGGTCAAAGTAAACCAAGTGAACCTAGCGATACTTTGATCGCTAAGGATCGTTATGCGGCACCAAAAATAGATCGTACTAATCTGAAAGATATAACCATTAAAGCCGGTAATCACATACGCTTGGACGTTAAAGTTACTGGCGAGCCACCTCCAACTAAAACCTGGTATCTAAATAAGGCCAAACAAGAGACACAGAATGCGGTAACGGTGGAACTTGAAGATTATAGAACTAAGTTCTTAGTGTCTATAGTATCCAGAGCTCATTCTGGTACTTTAACTTTGAAAGCTGAAAACAGTTCAGGGAAAGATGAAGCTTCCATTGAAATCTTGGTACTAGATAAACCGAGTAAACCAGAAGGTCCTTTAAAAGTATCTGATGTTCACAAAGAAGGTTGTACACTCAAGTGGAACCCACCATTGGATGATGGTGGTGTACCATTAGAACATTACGTTGTTGAAAAAATGGACACAGAAACTGGAAGATGGATACCTATTGGTCGTACGAAAGAACCCAACATGGTTGTCGAAAACTTAGTACCTGGGCAAGAGTACAAATTCCGTGTCTCCGCTGTTAATGCAGAGGGCGAATCAGAACCTCTGGAAACCGATCATGGCATTATAGCAAAGAATCCATTTGGTTAGCTTTCTTGGATTGATTTATAAATATTAGAGTACAAGATATTGACTCGAATATTTTATCATTTATATTTTCTTTTTCTGACAGACGAACCTGGACCTCCTGGACGACCAGAGGCTACTGATTGGGATAAGGATCATATAGATCTGAGATGGACTCCACCGTTGAGCGACGGTGGATCTCCAATCACCGGATACGTGATTGAAAAGCGTGAGAAGGGAACACCGCGCTGGATTAAGGCTTGCGAAACCAGTGGACCAGAGTGTAAAGGTCGTGCCGATAATCTTGACGAAGGTGTTGAATATGAATTTCGTGTCAAGGCAATTAACGCCGCTGGTCCTGGTGAACCATCGGACGTCAGCAAACCAATTACCGCTAAAAGTAGACGAAGTAAGTTATATCATTCCGATTTTAACTTTATTAAAAATTTTCCACAAAAGGCACTTCTTCATATTACCGGTTTGTTCTCCAGTGGCACCAAAGATTGACAGGCGGAACTTACGCGATATCACCGTACGTGAGAACGAAGGGTTCCACTTCGATGTTAAAATTTTGGGCGAACCTCCGCCAGACGTCACCTGGGTCATTAACAACAAGAGCATACAACAAACTACACATCGCCGAATACAAAATGTACCTTACAATTCGAAGTTCTTTAATGACAAACCCGAACGTAAAGATTCTGGCATATATAAAATCACGGCTGTTAATCAACATGGATCTGATACGGCAGAAGTTGAAGTAACAGTTGTCAGTAAGTATCTGTCAGACTGTGATCTTCTTAGACTTAATAAGAATATAAACTAAACTTTAACATTTCGACAGGTAAACCAGGCAAACCTGAAGGACCGTTAGAAGTATCAGATATTCACAAGGAGGGCTGCACGCTTAAATGGAAAAAGCCTAAAGATGATGGCGGAGAACCTATCGAAGGTTATCTCGTAGAAAAGTTCGATCCAGACACTGGCGTATGGTTGCCAGTTGGAAAAACGACAGGACCTGAAATGAAGGTCGAAGGTTTAACACCTGGACACGAATACAAATTCCGAGTGAAAGCCCTTAATAAAGAAGGAGAATCGGAACCATTAGAGACATTTAGCTCTATCATTGCCAAAGATCCGTTCAGTAAGTAATTACTTTTGAATTATATTTAATTCCAAATTGAAGATTTACAAATAATTACAATTTGTATCCTTGCTTGCAGCTGTACCGAGTCCACCGGGAGCACCAGAACCGGTCGATTGGACTGCTAATCAAGTAGAACTTTCTTGGAAAGAACCGGTCAGTGATGGTGGTTCTCCAATTACAGGATATATTGTTGAGAAAAAAGACAAGTACAGTACGATGTGGGAGAAAGCTCTCGAAACTGAAACACCTGTTACGCAAGCTCTCGTACATGGTCTCATAGAGGGTAACGATTATCTCTTCCGTGTAATTGCTGTAAATAAAGCTGGTCAATCGGAACCAGGTGAAGCAAGTAAAACCTTTACGGCTAAACCTCGCTTTTGTAAGTATGCAAAATTTATTGTTATTTATATTGTTTGATATGCAATAAGATATATAAAAATATTCTCTTTCTAATAACGATGTCATTGATCTCATGGCGCTTGTACATTCCACGAGCACCTAATCTGAAAATAGAAATAATCAAATCTATATTGAGAAGTGGCTTGAAATCAATTTGGCAAGAGACTGAGGATACTTATTAACGTTCGTTTCTCACTTCAGTGGCACCAAAGATCGACAGGCGCAATTTACGGGACGTTACTCTTTCGGCGGGATCTCTTCTAAGATTCGATGCGAACGTAATCGGTGAACCTCCACCACATATCGAGTGGCGATACGGTGCGATTCCTCTGCGCTCCGACAAAAAAGTACAAATCGACAATTCAGATTATAGTACGAAATTCAGCATCCGCCCAGTTTCCCGCGATGACAGCGGCGATTATACTGTTACTGCCAGTAATTCGTCTGGAAAAGATTCTGTTACTGTCCAAGTGACAGTAACTGATAAACCTTTACCACCGGAAGGACCACTACAAATTACGGACATCCATAAAGAAGGATGCAAGCTAAAGTGGAAGAGGCCGAAAGACGATGGAGGCACTCCGATCGAATACTACCAGGTGGATAAGATGGACCCAGAAACGGGTTGTTGGATACCATGTGGCCGATCTACCGAACCGAGTAAGCATTCTCAAATCCCATACCGTTCGATTCCTTGTATTTCAAAATAAATCCTGCAATAAATGTTACTTTAATATTTTTAGACTTGGAAGTAACCGGTTTAACGCCTGGCAAAGAATATTTATTCCGAGTATCCGCAGTTAATTCCGAAGGCGAATCCAAACCGCTAGAAGCAGAAGAAGCAATACTAGCTAAAAACCCATATGGTACGTACAATTTGAAATTTCTTTGTTATGCACAATCATCGGTCATAATTTAAACGCTTGGTTAAATCTATAGACGAGCCTGGTAAGCCAGGAGATCTCCGCGCTACCGATTGGGATAAAGATCACGTAGATTTGGCATGGACACCGCCAACCAATGACGGTGGTTCACCCATCACTGGTTATATAATCGAAAAGAAAGATAAATACGGAGAATGGGAAAAAGCTGTGGAAGTACCAGCGGATCAAACTTCGGCAACTGTACCCGATTTAATAGAAGGACAGCCTTACGAATTTCGAGTACGGGCAATTAACAAAGCAGGTCCCGGCGAGCCTTCTGATCCGACACCAACTATAATTGCTAAACCACGCAATCAACCACCTAAGATCGATCGTACCAATTTAATCGAAGTAAGGATCAAAGCAGGACAAAACTTTGGTTTCGATGTGAAAGTTATCGGTGAACCACCACCTACGACGAAATGGATGTTAGGAAGCAGAGAAGTAAGACCAACCGATCGGATAAAAGTCAAGCATATCGATTATAACACTAGTCTGCACGTCCGAATGGCGACCAGAGCTGAATCCGGAAAATATTGCATAGTCGCAGAAAATATTAATGGCAAAGACGAAGCGTTTGTCAAAGTTACCGTATTGGATAAACCTAGCCCGCCTCAAGGACCTCTTAGGGCAAGCGACGTGCATGCCGAAGGATGTAAACTTTCTTGGAAACCGCCCGAAGATGATGGTGGACAACCCATTGAGAAATATGTCGTTGAAAAGATGGACGAAGTTACCGGGCGCTGGGTTCCAGCAGGTGAAACCGATGGACCAGAAACGTCATTAAACATTGATGGATTAACTCCTGGTCATAAGTACAAATTTAGAGTACGTGCTGTTAACAAGCAAGGCAAATCGGAACCCCTTACTATGTCGCAGAGCATCGAAGCTAAAAATCCATTTGGTAAGGCATTTTTTATATTGACTCCTTATAATCTAAAATATATACATCGTTTAACTTCATTTTCCTCTATAATTTTATTTCCTTCTTATATATAGATGAACCAGGTAAACCAGGCACACCTACTGTTACCGACTACGATTCAAACTTCGTCGAATTACAATGGTCACGTCCAGACCACGATGGTGGTTCTCCTATCACTGGTTATGTAATAGAAAAACGTGACAAATATAGTCCCACTTGGGAGAAATGCGCCGAGGTCGAAGGTGATGTAAATACCGGAAAAGTCGATGATCTTGTTGAAGGAACGCATTATGAATTCCGTGTCAGGGCTGTCAACAAAGCTGGTCCGGGCGAACCATCAGATGCTTCAAAATCGCATTTGGCACGACCCAAGAATCGTATGTATATAGTTAAATTTTTACGCACATTCGACGTAATAAAATGCGTAATGATAAAAATAATTATTTATTCGGTATAAATAAATAATTTAATTTGATATGTATATTACTTACAGTACCACCAAAGATCGATCGCAATTACATGTTAGATGTAAAAGTGAAAGCAGGCGGCTTTTACGACTTCGATGTACCGGTTATTGGTGAACCACCGCCGGTAAAAGAATGGTCCCTTAAGGACAACGTCATAATGGCGGATGAACGCATCAAAATTATAAATGAAGATTACAATACTAAAGTTCGCGTGATGGAAGCAAGAAGATCGGATTCTGGTGTTTACACGTTAACTGCTAGAAATATCAATGGTAAAGACACCGCCACGTTAAACGTAAATGTTCTCGACATACCATCCCCGCCGGAGGGACCATTGCTTATAAGTAATGTGACGAAGAATTCGTGCACATTAAAATGGCGAGCACCAAAAGACGATGGTGGTTCAGAAATCCTCTACTACCAAGTAGAAAAAATGGATACGGAAAACATGCGTTGGGTACCAGTGGCCGAAGCAACGACTACATCCTCTCGCGTGGACCATCTTATCGAAGGTCATGACTACCAATTCCGTGTACGTGCTGTAAATAAACAAGGAGAATCAGCGCCATTGATCGGACTGGACACTATCACGGCAAAGGATCCATTCGATAAACCAGATAAACCAGGTACACCTATCGCCACGGATTGGGATAAGGATCACGTTGATCTCGAATGGACACCGCCTAAGAAAGATGGTGGATCTCCGATAACGGAATACATAATAGAGAAGAAACCTCGTTTTGGACAATGGGAGAAGGTACTCGAGGTTCCGGGTAACAAGACTAGTGCTACAGTTCCAGATTTGATCGAAGGTCAAGAATATGAGTTCAGAGTGATCGCTGTCAATAAGGGTGGTCCTGGAGATCCATCCGATGCATCTGCACCTGTTATTGCTAAACCACGTTTCCGTAAGTATCAATATTGAAATTATAATTTTGTAAATTATAATTTAATACAAGAACAATGGATTATATATTACAGTTGCGCCAAGCTTCGATACGGCTCTTTTGCACGATTTAGTCGTGCGTGCCGGTCAAAAGATCAGTTACATCATTCCTATAGAAGCATCGCCTAAACCAAAAGCAACTTGGACACTGGATGGTAAACTTCTTGAGCCAGATTCACGCCACGAAATGTATACTACGCAAATAGAAACTACATTCGAAATTCCATTTTCCGTTCGTTCTGATAGTGGACGATATGCTATAACATTGGAAAATGAATATGGCAAATTCAGGTGATCTATCAATATCAAATAAATACGTTTAAATAATATTGTAAAATATTATCTTGAAAAAATATATTAACATATATTTGTATATTTTCTAGTTCGAGTGCTAGAGTTACTGTACTAGACAGACCATCGCCACCAGAGCCACCATTGGTAGTCAGTAACGTCACCAAAGACAGTTGTCACTTAACATGGGGTCATCCTCTCGACGATGGTGGTAGTCCTATCCTTCATTACGTCATTGAAAAGATGGATCTTTCTCGTGGAACATGGTCGGACGCTGGAATGAGCATGGTTCTTAGTCACGATGTAGCCCGATTAACTCACCGTAAAGAGTATCTTTTCCGTGTAAAAGCCGTCAACAATATTGGAGAGTCTGAACCACTAGAAACTAAAAAGAGTATCATCGCTAAGAATGAATTTGGTTGGTATCTTCAGGAAAGCTTTAAAAATATTTTTCTTTTCTTCTGTAAAAACAGAAGCCCGAAGTATTGTGCAAATAATTATCCTCATTTGACAATATTTACAGATGAACCAGATGCCCCTGGCAGACCAATAATAACGGATTGGGATAAAGATCATGTTGATCTTCAATGGCCCGCACCCGGCAATGACGGTGGTTCTCCCATTACGGGATATATCGTACAAAAGAAAGAAAAAGGCAGTCCTTACTGGATCAATGCTGTTCATGTACCAGCTGGACAGACGAGTACAACTGTCCCAGATTTAACAGAAGGTCAAGAATATGAATTCCGTGTTATAGCGGTTAACGCAGCTGGACAATCAGAACCATCCGAACCAAGTGATCTTGTGACTGCTAAACCACGATTCTGTAAGAATACTTTTCTTATTTCCAATTTATTTTACTAGTTTTTTTTTTTTTTTTTATTCCGAAATCTTTTTCTTAATTTAAAATATAATGATTTTAAGTATAAAGTTACATAAATAAATGTATTATTCCAGTGGCACCAAAGATAAAGACACCACTGCAAGACATTCGTGTTAAGGCTGGCTTAATCTTCCACGTGGATATAGACTTTGTTGGTGAACCAACACCTGAAGTTACATGGACTGTAGGAAGCAAAGACTTGCTAACCAATGAGAGAACTACTGTTACTTCTATCGGTTATCATACGATCGTTCATACGGTCAATGCACAGAGATCCGATTCTGGGCTATATCATCTCTTATTAAAGAATAGTAGCGGAATTGACGAAGGTAGCTTCCAAGTAATCGTATTGGATAGACCAGGACCACCAGAAGGTCCTTTACAGTACGAAGAAATCACAAGTCAATCGGTTACTTTATCCTGGAAACCGCCAAAGGATAATGGAGGCAGCGAGATCACGTGAGTAATTAATTGATCGAGCGTAATATTAATTGTTTTTAATAATTTTTTATAAAACGATATGCTTTTCCCACAGTGGTTATGTAATTGAAAAACGTGATCTTACCCACGGTGGTGGTTGGGTACCAGCTGTAACGCATGTTAATCCAAAGTATAATCATGCAACCGTTCCAAGATTATCGGAAGGCACCACTTACGAGTTCCGTGTTTCTGCAGAAAATCTTCAAGGTCGTTCTGAACCTTTGACAACGGATCGCTCGATAGTAGCTAAGAATCAATTTGGTAATTGTTTATTACGACTATTGCGAACGTAAATTATCATTTTTGTATTTTAGTTATTAAATAATAACTTTATTGTTTCTTGAAATAGTTGCTCCTGGTCAACCTGGTAAACCTGAATGCGTTGATGCTGACAAAGATCATATCAAGATCAAATGGACTGCTCCAATCAGTAACGGTGGTTCTAATATTATTGGTTATGACGTGGAACGTCGTGATCGTGCGACTGGACGTTGGCTTAAAATAAACAAGGAACCAGTTAGGTATGCGGAATATTACGATGATCACGTCACTGAAGGTCACCAATACGAATATCGCGTTACTGCAATAAATGCTGCTGGAGCTGGTAAGGCTAGCGATACATCATCCGTATTTATTGCCAAACCCATGAAGGAAAAACCGAAATTGTATTTGGATGCTCTCATCGGTCGCAAAATTAAAGTTCGTGCTGGAGAACCCATTAATATTAATATTCCATTATCTGGAGCACCTACTCCTACCGTGGAGTGGTCCAAAAATGGAAAAACTCTTACAGAAACTCTTCGAGCATCGGTAAGAATATTTTGCACATTAATAAGAGTAAGATGAATAACAGGGGATATTATTATGTTTAATTAATTTCAGACCGAAACCAAGAGTGATCGAACACAACTACTCGTTGATAAATCTATACGCGACGATAGTGGTATATACAGGGTTACCGCCGTAAATGAACACGGTAGAGATTCGGCTGACATTGAAGTAACGGTTGTTGATAAACCTGGACCACCACAGGGACCACTCCAATACACAGCAACGACGCAAGAATCAGTTTCGCTATCCTGGAACAAACCCTTGGATGATGGTGGATCTGACATAACCAATTACATTGTCGAAGTAGCAGACTTTGGTTCTGATAACTGGCGCCAAGTGCCTGGATATGTACCAAGAACCAGTTTTACGGCAAAAGGTCTTACAGAAGGAAAACGATATCTCTTCAGAGTACGAGCTGAAAACATGTATGGAGTTTCGGAACCTCTCGATGGTAAACCTGTTGTTGCAAAGAGTCCATTCGATCCACCGGATGCTCCAAGTCAGCCACAAATTCTAGGCTACACGCCCAACAGTTGTAGCCTATCTTGGACTCCACCTGTTAACACAGGTGGCAAGCCAATCACAGGTAAAATAAATCCATTTTAAGGAAAACTATATTATTTTAAACATATTTTCACGTTTTTCATTATTCCTTACTTAAAATTTGTAGGCTATTATGTCGAGAGACGCGAGCGTGGTGGTGAGTGGCTTAAAGTTAATAATTATCCAACGCCAAATACTACTTTCACGGTTCAAGATCTTCATGAAGGCTCTAGATACGAATTTAGAGTAATAGCTGTGAACGAAGCTGGACCTGGCAAACCTAGTAAACCTACAGAGCCTATTACAGCTGGACATCAACGAAGTAAATTAATTTCCTTTTGCATCTTCCTTTATATTATAACTATATGAAATAATATTATCGTTAAAATGTCTGTGTAGTGAAACCCGATGCTCCAGAACCACCGAAAGCCGACAGGATTACGAAGGATTCGGTGACCTTAAGTTGGCGTCCTCCACGTAGCGATGGTGGTGCTAAAATCAGAGGTTATATTATCCAAAAGAAAGCTAGAGGAGAGGACGAATGGACCGATGTCAATGGTGCTCTTATTCCTACAAATATATATACCGTGCCGAAGCTTACTGAGGGCGAAGAATATCTCTTCAGGGTAATAGCTGTGAATGATGTTGGTAACAGCGATCCTAGCAAGCCCAGTAGTCCTATTGTTATCGAAGAACAACCAAATAAACCAGTTATGGATCTTGGTGGTGTTAGAGATATTACTGTCCGAGCCGGTGAAGACTTTTGTATTCATGTACCTTATATCGGTTTCCCCAAACCAACTGCTACGTGGTTTGCCAATGACGTTGTCAAAGATGAAACAGATTCACGTGTACATCAACAATTGGCCGACGATTATGCAAGGTAAGTATTTTGAATTGTATTTAACTATATAAATTGCTTAATCTACTTAATCACCTATCCTTTTTGTTACAGTCTTGTTGTGAAAAATTCGAAACGTTCAGATGGAGGACAATACAGGCTTCAATTACGTAATCCCTCTGGATTTGATACAGCTACGATAAATGTTAAAGTTCTAGATAGACCAGATCCACCAGAAAATCTGCGTGCCGATGAGTTTGGCGGAGATGCTCTTACACTCTTCTGGAGTCCGCCAAAAGATAACGGTGGTGGCGATATCACCAATTATGTGGTTGAAAAGAGAGAACCACGTGCAGCCACATGGTCAAAGGTATGGCTACGAAAATATACGAAAATATCACAATCATTTTTAATAAAGAAATTGCAATAAAAGAGATGTCAATTCTATATCACTTACTAAAACCGTTCTACAGGTCAGCAGTTACGTTACTACACCGTTTGTACGTGTACGCAATTTGACCGTTGGCCAAGTCTATGAATTCCGCGTGATGGCTGAAAATCAATATGGAACGTCAGATCCTGTCACAACAATTGATCCAATCAAAGCCAGACATCCATTTGATCCGCCAGGTCCACCCGGAGCACCACGTGGCATCGAAACCACTGAAGATAGCATTACTATTACATGGACAAAGCCTCGTCATGATGGTGGCTCGCCTATTACCGGATACGTCATTGAAAAGCGTCTTTTGAGTGAAGACAAATGGGTCAAAGCAACCCCGGCATTAGTACATGAAACGACATATAAGTAAATATCAGAGATAAAATGTTCTTGAGGAATTTGTTAATGCAAATATCTAATATATTTTTAATATTTCTTAACAGGGTTACTGGATTGATTGAAAATCATGATTATGAATTCCGTGTGGCAGCCGAAAACGCAGCTGGCCGTGGTGCGTGGAGCTCAAGTTCGGACGTGATTCGTGCTAGCGCTCCAGCGTGTAAGTATATTATAATAAACACCGGTGATCTTTATAAATGATTAAGTTATAATAATATACGTGTTCAAATAATTTAGTCCCGCCAAAGATTACCAGTGATCTAAGTATTCGCGATATGACCGTTATCGCTGGAGAACCATTCACCATCACAGTACCATTCACGGCGAATCCAAAGCCTAGACCAAGTTGGTCAATTAACGGCGAAGAAGTTCTCACCGGAGATAGAATTAAATTCGAGACAACAGATATTGCTTCGCAATTTATTAACAAGAAAGCAAAACGATCGGACACTGGAACATACACTATCTATCTTACCAACACCGTTGGCACGGATTCAGCTTCATGTAAAGTTCTAGTAGTTGGTAAGTATATTTCCTCTCAGTATTACTTATTAGTTTTAATTACATAAAATACAAGTTATTTAATAAATATGTATTCGTTATAATCTTAGATAAACCATCACCGCCTCAAGGTCCATTAGACATATCTGATATTACACCTGAAACTTGCACACTTTCATGGAGACCTCCGTTCGATGACGGTGGTTCACCGGTTACAAATTATGTTGTCGAAAAATTGGATCCCGCTGGCGTAAGTTATTCTTCATAATCCTCTAGAATTTTGCATATTTATAATAAGAGACATGGAATATAATTTAATCTAATATTATTACAGTTCTGGGTAAAGCTTAGCAGTTTCGCTAGAAATACTCATTACGATGTGATCGGTCTGGAACCAAATCGCATGTACAATTTCCGCGTAAGGGCAGAAAATCAATACGGCGTGTCTGAACCATTACAAGCGGATGAACCAATAACAGCTAAATTCCCCTTCACTGTTCCGGATGCACCTGGACAACCTCGTGTAATAGATTGGGATACGACAAGTGCCACATTGGTTTGGTCGAGACCATTATCCGACGGAGGCTCGCGAATACAAGTAATTTTGTAGAAGAACATAAACTCAAAATATCTTTCTAAAAATAATGTTATAATAATTCACATATCTTTGTATCGTTATCCAGGGTTACAAGATCGAATTCCGTGATCCAGCAGACGATATGACGTGGCGAATAGCCAACGATTATCTTGTTAAAGATACAACTTATATCTGCTATAATTTGGCCAGTGGTCACGAATACGAATTTAGAATACGAGCAAAGAACGCAGCTGGCTTCAGTAAACCGAGTCCACATTCGGCACCATTTAAAATAAAAGGCAAATTCAATGTTCCTTCTCCACCTGGTACCCCGCAAGTGACTAAAGTTGGCAAGAATTACGTTGATCTTAAATGGGAAGCACCCGTTTCTGATGGAGGTAGCCGTATCACTGGTTATGTCGTTGAAAAACGTGAAGTCGGAAGTGCTATTTGGATTAAATGTAACGACTATAACGTCACGGATACCGAGTATACCGTACTTCATCTTATCGAACGAGGAGATTACGAATTTAGAATATTTGCGGTTAATGCGGCCGGAAGATCGGAACCTAGTTCTTGCACCACACCGGTCAAGATTTGTGAAGTTGAAGGTGGTGAGAAACCAGAGTTCGTTAGGAATTTGCCTATTAGCCAGATAGTTCCGCTTGGAAAAACGCATGTATTTGAATGCGAAGCCACAGGAAAGCCATTACCGACTGCCAGGTTAATATAATATAATTTTATATATATATATATGTATATATATATATATGTGTGTATTATATATTACCAAAGAAAATTTCAATAATGATGAAACGATTTCTCAATGCCATTTTATTACAGGTGGTTGAAGAATGGTCGCGAGATCACCCTAGGTGGACGCTTCAGAGCAGAAACTTTAGATGGAATTTACAGGCTTGTCATATCCGGAGTAATGGAAGCTGACGACGGTGATTACAGTTGTCAAATATCGAATCCTCTTGGTCTGGCAACAACGACTGCGCGTCTCAAGATCGGAACCCCACCGCGTATCGAGCGTATGCCCGACGACTTGTATCTACCGGAAGGCGATAATACTAAGATCAAGATCTACTACAGTGGTGATCAACCGATGGATGTTACTCTGAAGAAAGATGGTCGCAAAATCGTTGAAACATCACATATCAAATACACCGTTTTTGACGAATATCTTATTATCTTTATCAAGGACATTGAGAAAGATGATGCCGGCGTATATGAATTGTCCATATCCAACGACAGTGGCGACGTTAGTGGCTCTTTCACCGTTTATATTACAGGTCTACCTGGTCCACCAACAGGTCCGCTCGACGTCACCGATATCAATAAGCACACATGTACTTTGTCTTGGCATCCACCTAAATATGATGGAGGTCTTCGTATAACTCATTACATGATAGAACGAAAAGACATTACGCATACTCATTGGATTATTGTCGCGTCCTTCTGTAAAGATACTACATGTTACGTACAAGGTCTAACGGAGGGTCAAGAATATCTATTCCGAGTAATGGCAGTTAACGAGAATGGTATGGGTGCACCTTTGGAAGGAACGAATCCTATAAAAGCCAAGGCACCGTTCGATCCGCCTGGACCCCCTGGTACGCCAAAGGTTATCGAAGTGGGTGGAGATTTCGTAAATCTTTCATGGGAGAAACCAGAAACCGATGGTGGTTCCAAGATACAAGGTTATTGGATCGACAAGCGCGAGGTCGATAGCCAAACTTGGCAACGCGTCAACGTTGCTATCTGTTTACCAACTCAGATAAATATTAGCAATCTTATCGAGGGAAGGCAGTACGAGTTCCGCGTTTTTGCCCAAAACGAAGCTGGTCTTAGTCCAGAATCTAAAGCCTCAACGTCAGTTAAGATCGTCGATCCTCAAGCCGCCAAAGCTCCGGAAATTATTTCGCCTTTGCATAAAGTTAATTGTGTTCAGAATCACAATGCCCACTTCCACTGCACCATTACTGGAATTCCCAAGCCCAATATTACGTGGTTCAAGGGAGCTCGTGAAATTATTGGTGGCAGTCGTTACCAAATTTATTCGGAAGGCGACGTGCACAATCTCATAATATACGATGTATTCGGCGAAGACGCGGACGAATACTTCTGTCGTGCAGTAAATAAATGTGGCGCAAAATCTACGAAGGGCGAACTATTCATTAAGACGCCGCCTAAACTCAATGTACCGCCAAGATTTAGAGATACCGCGTTCTTCGATAAAGGCGTCAATGTTGTAATTAAAATACCATTCACCGGTTATCCCAAACCAAAGATCACTTGGATAAGAGAGGGAGAAGTTATCGAATCAGGAGGACATTACTCCGTCGAGGTGAAAGAGAGGCATGCCGTATTAACCATCAGAGACGGTAGTAGACTAGATTCTGGACCTTATCGCATTACAGCGGAGAACGATCTTGGTCAGGATTCGGCGATCATAAAGATACAGATAAGCGATCGTCCTGATCCACCACGATTCCCGCAAATCGACAACATCGGACACGATTCCTTGGCGCTTTCGTGGAAACCACCAGTCTGGGATGGTGGCAGTAATATCACCAATTACTTGGTGGAAAAACGCGAACATCCGATGACCAGTTGGATCAGAGTTGGAAATACCAGATTCTGCACGATGGCCGTTACTGGTCTCAGCCCTGGACATCAATATGATTTCCGTGTTTGCGCTGAGAATGTTTACGGTAGATCCGATCCGAGCGAAGTAACGCCACTTATCACAACTAAAGGTACCATCAAGAGAGAGTTCAAGAAGAAGGAATACGAAATGGATGAGAGTGGCAAAAAGATACGTGGTCGCAGTGACGAAAAAGTTCGCGATTACGATCAATTCGTCTTTGACATTTATAGCAAATACGTGCCGCAACCAGTTGAGATCAAGCATACATCAGTTTATGACAAATATGATATTCTTGAAGAAATTGGTACCGGTGCCTTTGGCGTCGTTCATCGTTGCCGTGAAAGATCTACCGGCAATATTTTTGCTGCTAAATTCATTCCAGTTTCTCACATCATGGAGAAGGAATTAATTAGAAAAGAAATAGATATAATGAATCAATTGCATCATCCTAAATTGATCAACCTTCATGATGCTTTCGAGGATGACGACGAGATGGTTCTAATCTTTGAATTGTAAGGCGACTAATTATCATTCCAATTGATTTCTCTTTATCATTGTTACTAATAATTTGGAATGTTTTAGCTTATCCGGCGGCGAACTGTTTGAGAGAATCACTGCCGAAGGTTATATCATGTCCGAGGCTGAGGTCATTAATTATATGCGTCAGATTTGCGAGGGTGTCAAACACATGCACGAGAAGAACATTATACACCTTGGTTTGTTTGAGAGAGACTTTTTTTTCGTTCGTAATATTAGAAAAAAACAAAAAAAATCGCAATTGAACGTGATGCATTACAGAAGAAACGAATGCTCTAGGAGGAACAAAAAATAATCAAATGTTAATGTTATTTTCCAGACATCAAACCAGAGAACATAATGTGTCAAACGCGCAATAGCACGAATGTGAAACTGATCGACTTTGGTTTAGCTACTAGACTAGATCCCAATGAAGTCGTAAAGATCAGTACAGGTACAGCGGAATTCGCAGCTCCTGAAATTGTAGAACGCGAACCAGTTGGTTTCTATACGGATATGTGGGCTTGTGGTGTACTGGCATACGTCCTGTGAGTATTTGCATATTCGCAATTGCTTATCTCTCTATTATATTAAAAGTTTTAAGATATAAATGAAATCTGTGTGTATCTTTTTTTTTTTTTGATCATATATTTCTTTTACATATAATTAAATTTATTCTGATTGAAAAGTTTGAGTGGTCTCTCGCCGTTCGCCGGTGACAATGACATCGAGACGTTGAAAAATGTAAAGGCCTGCGATTGGGACTTTGACGAAGAAGCGTTCCGGGAAGTCTCCGAGGAAGGCAAAGACTTCATCAGACGATTACTTGTTAAAAATAAAGAGTGGGTGCATTCGCTTAAACCTTAATGATACAATTAATGAATAGCAAAGTGAATTTGTTCAATCGTTAATATTATTTTTGTAGAAAGCGCATGACCGCTCATGAATGCCTTCTTCATCCATGGTTAACCGGCGATCATAGTAATCGTACCAATGTCATATCTAGTAGCCGATATCTTAGCTTCAGAGACAAATTACGTGCCAAATACGAGAACTGGGATAAATACGTTTTACCCATCGGCCGGCTAGCTGAGTATTCCTCGCTTAGAAAATTATTGATAGAAAAATATAAGATCTATGACTCTTCATTCGGTAAATTTGTTTGATAATCTACAATAACTTTCTAAATTTGTATATAGAATTATAAATCGAATCATGCATATTATTTCTAGATCGCCGACAGGCTGCACCTAGATTTGTCATCAAACCTACAAGCGCATTCGCATACGAAGGACAAAGTGTAAAGTTCACCTGTCGAGTAATTGCCATTGCTTCTCCCGTTTTAACGTGGTTCCACAATAATCAAGAACTTCGACAATCTGTTAAATTCATGAAACGTTATCACGGTGACGACTACACTTTCATCATTAACAGAGTTAAGCTGGAAGATAGAGGAGAATATGTGATACGTGCCGAGAATCATTACGGTTATAGAGAAGAAGTTGTCTTCCTCAACGTACAACGTAAGTAGCAAGATTGAAAAAAATTTCTGATCAAAGTATATTTATATTATCGCGACACGTTACTAAGTTAAAGATTTTGTGGATCAATAATTAATAATTAATGTGATAAATTTGTAGCACTGCCCATAGAAATTCCAAAGTACAGACCAGAATTGCATCCGGTGCGCAGACGGGAACCGCTCGGTTATAACGTATGGATGGAAACGATCGAATCAGCTCCAAACTTTACCTTCTTATTGAGGCCACGTGTGATTCAAGTCAGACAAACATGCAAGCTACTTTGTTGTCTAGCTGGAAATCCACCACCAACCGTAAAATGGTACAGAGATAGAGAAGAATTATCTAAACATCATTATTCGATGACACACGCAGACGGTGTCGTCACTATGGAGATTATAGATTGTAAACCGGAAGACAGTGGCAAGTATCGCTGCGTAGCGACAAACATTCATGGCAAGGATGAAACGAGCTGTGTCGTTATTGTAGAAGGTAAGTTTAGGAAAAACAAATAGAAAAAAATGACGAAAAATATCGGTGACGAATAACAATGGAACAACAATCGAAGTAACAAGTGCTTCGCCACGTGAATCGATAAATCGTTAAATTATACATATGTTTAATACGAAATCTGATTAAATATTTATTTGTAGGAACTGGAGAAACAGAGGAGCAATGTAAATTAGCACACGACCTCCTACATTCCGGAGGTAGAGCTGCTTGAGCGTGACCCCCTTATTTTTATTATCCCCTTTGATCCTTTGCTATCTATGGAGTGACAAATGAGATATTGCTGAAAACAATTTTTCTTTTTATATTGACAAAAAAATTAACATATTCTTTTAGATTTGTACAAAACATTTTTCACAATTCTAAAAAAAATTATAACATCGCAGTATCATTTCTTTATATAAAAATTCATTAAGAAATGTCTTTTGTGAATGTCATCAAGTATGATCGTTCCATAGTTTCCCACAATTCAATTCTAATGTTGAACGATTCGAGTGATTTTCAATGTGAAAGTAACAAAATTTATTCCATCTTTCTCCCACATAATTGTTAATCGTTCACTCATTATGATTATTTGTCCATAAATATTTGTCCATAAATAGATATAATTTAAGAACTTAAATGTGATCTTTTTGCATGTATTTCGTTCATATCGGAAAAGTTCTTTAGCTATTTTCCATTTGTCACCCTGTCTATGTTTTGAAGGATTGGAAGATGCAGTAGTATAGCAAAACGTATACATACATGTATATATGTATATGGGCGATCACTCATTAAACTTTATGCAAACAGCATAATATTTTTTCATTAAAATTACGAATTAGATTTTAGAAAGTTATTATGCTATTTAGAGCAAAATTGATTAAACTTGAAATTATTGTTTGAATTAACTCCATGATTATCTATTAATTTGTATTATTCCTTTAGCGATGCACACGCATAAATCATCGAGCCAATATGTAACTCTGAATAACTCTAATCTAGAGATCATTTCAATGGATGCCTTCCAATCCTATAGCAACTCGTTTATTCCATGGTTTTATCCAATTTGTTTTTACTCTTAGACGCTGCAAAGTAAACAAAATTCCTGCAAATATGTAATATAGTGAATGCATACAAAAATGCGTGTAGAGCATGCTACAAAAGGCACATTGATTCCTATCATAATGAAATATATGAGCCCTGATACTAAGTACTTATCTTTAGATCGGAGGTTTATTGAGCAACCACTGAAACCTGCACCACCACCTATTGTAACTGTTCACAAAGCCAGTGGTTACAGTGGCTACAGTTCTACTACTACACAAGGTCATTCAAGTACATCACACAATTATAGTAGTTCAACTAGCAAACTGAATTCCTCAAGTTCCTCATCTTATAAAGTAAGCTTGTTAAAATGCAAACCAAAAAATAGATCGTATATACAATCATACAAACAGTTTATATACAGATAACATTATAACATTTTAATGTCAATTGTAGGCTACAACCGAATCTTCGTCAGATAAACGTAATGCTAAAAAATACGGAAGTAAATTGGACGCTACAGGTAGCCCATCTCGGTCTAGAAACACTACTAAAGAACTTGCTTGTAGGTATCCTATATATTATAAAGTAATTTTTTAGAAAGTTATATTTAATTCATGTCATTGTAGATCCATCAGATGATAGTATGAAACCACCAGAATTCACAAAGAAATTAAATGATCTTACAATTAACGATGGAGAGCAGCTGGAACTGACTGTTAAAGTTGATGGTGATCCAGAACCACAAATAACTTGGCTGAAAAATGGCAAAGTTAGTATAATTCGTATACGAATAATACAATTATGTTATTATTAACGATATTATTTAAAGTGAAAGTATATTTTTAATTCAATTCTATAGACCGTAAACTCCTCTGAGATTGTTGATTTGAAATACAAAGCTGGTACTGCAACTCTTACTATTAATGAAATATTCCCCGAAGATGAGGGCGAATATATTTGCAAGGCAACCAATAGCCTTGGAACATCTACAACGTCTTGCAAATTAACTGTGAAACGTTAGTAAAATGAATTTTATCCTAGTTGGAACAATATCATGAATTTATATAAATGTAAAGATATTTTTTCATTTAATTCCTATTCTGTTTTTAGCAATGGAAAATGCAGCAGCTAAAAAGAAGAGCGATGATAAACCACCAAAAATTGTAGATCATCTGACAAGCATGTTTGTGAAGGATGGAGAGGCCGTAACACTCAGTTGTCGAATTATTGGTGCTAAGAAATTTGATGTGGTGTGGCTTCATAATAATAAAGAAATTAAGCCTAGCAAAGACTTCCAGTATACAAGTGAGGCTAATATTTACAAATTAAATATTGCTGAAATCTTCCCAGAAGATTCTGGCACTTACACGTGTGAAGCATTCAATGATGCAGGAGAAAGTTTCTCATCGTGTACATTGAATGTCCTCGGTAAGATATTTTTTCAGATTTTTCTTTTATATTAATGCATTAATATGCATTTTTTCGTGGAAAATATAACATCGACATGCTGTTTAGTTCCCAACGAGGAACCCAAGAGCCCGGTCTTCACAACATTCCCACAATCAGCAACCGTGAGCGAAGGTGAAACAGTTACTTTCACATGCAAGACTGAAACTGCGCCCTTGAAAGGTAAGGAAGAATACGTTTATAGAATATCATTATTTCGAATTCTTTTATAGATTATTAGGAAGAAAAGTTATTTATTGGTTTTTTTTTTCTTTTTTTTTTTTTTTTATCGTATAAAAGAGACATGAAAAATTATAAAGGGAAATATAAATATTTATATAAGATTATATTATGTTTAAATTAATATGAAATAATATCGTTATTTTATTTCTACAGTAACTTGGTTGAAGGATGGTAAGGCGCTCCCTGAGACCAGCAGCAAATACTCTTTCAGTTCAGACGGCGACAAATCGTTTGAACTAGGTATTAAGGCATGTACGGCTAGTGACGTGGGACAATACATAGCACGTGCAATTGGCAAAAAAGGCGAAACTAATGCAGCCTTTGCTCTGAACGTCACTAATCCCGGCGATCTCTAAACTCAAAATTATTACTTTTACAACAATTTATATTACGGTCCTTTTTTAGAAATCAGTTTTAATATACATCTGCAATTTGCAATTTAGAATGCTTTCTGAATGAACGTGAATATTTTTCATCAATTATAATCTATACGAGAATACGCAAAATGTGAAAAGAAAAAAAATACCGTTAACGTACACGAATGGAACATGAAGCAGACACAATTCCGGAATACGGTAGAACTTTGGTTATCCGAATAGGTGGAAGGGGGAGAGAGGGGGTGATGAGGGGGACATTCAATGTCAGATGATGGAGCATTCAGATAACAGAACTTTCGAATAATCGAGGTTCTACTGTACGTGATACATCATCGCGTTTAAAATACTTAGCCTGGAAACAAATCAATTTGTCAAGATACAGTCGTTATACGTAAATTGTTAAAAAAACATACATTGTGTTTTTTTTTCTGTGTGCTTGTCATGTCGCATAAATTATGTCATTTAAACGTAAACAAATAAACGCGTCAAACATCAAGGATAGCACGCGCAACCTATACTAGCTAATATGAGCTTCGCTGTACACACGATTTAGCATACTTTAAGTACACAATGGTGCGTAGAGGCAGTCTGACATCAATATGCCTGGAAGAGTTATTAATTCCGATAAAATCAGCCAGCATCCTCTCTAGTCACCTAAACAACGAAATAATTTTATCGGAATGCGTTAACTTGTAATGGCATTGCCAAAACATACTTCTTTATTCCATATAATCGAACGCACTGTCGTGTTATACTTGTTTGAAGACTGCTTCCATTACAAAATTTATGATAAATAAAAAACTTATGATTAAAAAATATTATTAACATTTATTCTTATTTGCGAATATTTCTAAGAAAACTTTCTATCTTTTTATATTCCTTCATAATGATTGTTATAATCAAAATAATTCTCATATCATATCTACTTTAACTGAAGGCAAACTTAACATTGGTGTTAAAGTATTAATTATAATAAAAAAAATATATTACAAGTTATCTAATGTGGATACCTCGCACAATGTTTTTGGATCAATTGTATAAAAACTTCCTAGCCTAGGATCTAAAATTAGATTCCCTGGATCAGTTCTTGTTTTATCATCTGTTTGTAAATATGAATAACTACATGATTGACATTTTTTGGATAATATTGATAAAAACCCTATGCCAGGAATGAATAAACCAATTGACGGATACACATCACTCATAGTATGTATCATTGCATGATCTTTGTACAATTGTAAGCAATCATCACATATTTTTTCTTGTATATTACTAATTCTGGACAAAATTCTTCCATTATATCCTACAATTATTATTCCATATTAGCGACTAATTTATAGTTTTATATACGTTATATATCTCCAATTTTCTCACTTACTAATCATAAATATTACGAGTCCATATGCCATAAAATGATGTGCTATAGGCAAAGGAATATTCTCTAAGATAATAGTCTTCCATGATTCAAGTTCTGGATAGAATATATAAAGAGATGATCGCAACAAAAACAATTTTTTTCTCATTATACTATAATGTGGCACTTCGGTAAAATTTTCAGGTACATCTGCAGCTTTTGTCCATTTACCTACAAACATCCATTTGATGCATAGTAAAACATGATACATACATACATACATACATACATACATATATATATATATATATGTGTGTGTGTGTGTGTGTGTGTGTGTATATATATGTATATATATGTATTTAATGACTTAATTTACCTGTATGTATATCCAATATATCAACTGACGATAGTTTTAAACGATGACGTCCTACACCACCCACCACAATCAAACAATTACTTAAAAATCCAGCAATCATATGTCTTCTTGGGCTAGGAAGTCTAAAAATGTATATATTAAAAAGTAAGCGCAAATAATGATATCACTATGGAGGTTACAATATGATCATTCACCTTGCAAAATAATACCATTTTTTAGATATAAGGCAATATCGCCAAATTATTTGATTAAATTGACCAGTTCCTAAACCATATTCTCCACCAACAAGATATATATTAAATCCTGAAGAATGATAAGGTAAATTGCATGGATATTTAAAGAAATATTTTTTAAAACATTTTTTATCATTTTTATAATGTACATACCTCTGCCAGTAACTTGTAAACCTATTAGATCCCTTCCAGAACATTTTAGATATTTTAGTTCTACTAACTCGGATAACTGAATACCGTCCCAACAATAAATATATCCTTTCTTGTTACTACCACTTTCTAATTTATATCCAATCATATATTGTATAAATTTAGAGTTTCTTGTCAATGGTATATTTATTACATTATTATTAATTGTAGAAGCCTGAATAAATCCATCAAAAAAAAAAAAAAAAAAAATATTCCTCCCTATAAAATTTATAAATAAAAGGTATATAAGTAAATAATTAACTTACTGTATTATGATCCATCCATTCGTGCAATATATAATGCGAGTATTTTGTTGTTGACCTAACATTAATATTTTCAATTAACTGTTTGAGATTCTTAATAGGTAGCTCGATCAAAGAACTAATGGGTAAATCTATAAAACGATCTAAGCATACTGACAAACAGACATCAGTCAATAAACTTATAGCCAACTCTTGTGCCAATAACCAGACATCAATTACCTTTTCCGGATTCAACCAATATAATATGATAATATCAGTTATATCACTTATTAAATCGTCAGTCATGAAAAGCACAGCCAATTGTAATAAATTTAAAAGATCTATAAAATTATCTGTTTTATACTTCACCATTGAAGATTTAATGAAATGGCTAAGTTCAATTATTATTCTTTCATCGTCGTGAATCCATTCAATAAAATCCTAAGAAACAAAATAATCTTAGCTAGTAAATGATGAACAAATAACGAACAATCAATTAAATATTATACACAGTTACTATATATTAACCTGTAAGGTAGATGAAGCAATATCATAATTTATAATATGTTCTTTGTTTCGCGAGTCGTAAAAATTTGGAGAGAAAAGGCAATCAAAATAATGACTTTTATTAATAAGTCTTTTTTTATCGACTTTAAAACTATCATTTCCAAGTATTAACGTAATAATTTCATCTCCCATCGTATCAATGACAATGTATGTATATCTATAATATATTAAATGATTTTTGACACTTTTGGTATGAAAATCGCACCATTCAATTTTTCACTTTTCACAGAACTTTAAATTATATTTATATTAATAAAAAATTGTTGATGTATGTGAAGGAAGTACTTCTTCAAATGTACTTCTTGTTATCTTCTGGTTATCCTTGTTGACAAGAATCAGTTTTTCATGACGAAAAAAAAATTGACCTAGCCTGTTTGAAAGTTACTTGGCAATATAAATAATTCATTTCTTCTAATACTACATATCTATTTAAACTGTGAAAAATTCTCGACATAATATATATATTCATGGTATGTTTTATGAATTTGGACTAATAAATTAGTATATTTAAAATCGTACAATTATTTGTAAATATTTATTTTCAAATGATATTTCGGGATTGCATCTAATTATCAGGCGCAAATTTCAAATGTGTAGTCATAGCTTATGAACGAGCAATAATAGCACTAATAAAGCGTCAAAATATTCGATGTAATTCACTGAAAAATTTTATCGAGTGTATCAGTCCAGTGACAGGAAATATGATAATTTTACAGAAATAGTGAATAGTCATAATAATAATAGTAATAATAATAATAATAATAATAATAATAATAATAATAATAATAATAACAACAACAACAATAATAATAATAATAATAATAATAATAACAACAACAACAATAATAATAATAATAATAAGCGGAAATAATAATCTAAAATTTCGAATTGTGACCTATCAAAGAAAAGAAAAAAGAAAAAAGAGGCTAACGCGTAGCGATGAGATATTTAATTATTCCTTTTTCCTGAACTTCCAATTTAATCGCCTTTATAAATAATCGTAATATAATATTGTGAAACTTCAAAATTGTGGAATGAATAAATTTTAACCATATTCTCCTACTCACGTAGTTACCGGTATAAAATTCAACGACCAATCATATCGTAGCCATCATGATTTATTATTCGCGCGCTAACAAAGCAAATGATTACCGTCGATACTAAAGATATTTTATTCGAATTATGCGCTAGGAATTACAGGTATTGAAGTTATATTCATTTATGAACAATACCATTACTCTTATAATATTTAAGTCATTATGTCCTACCTATCAACGAACGGCATAATTTGTTCATTTCTCATCTTTAAATCTTTAGTCTGCTAATTAATTTCTAATCTATAAGTTCCTTAAAACATTAATTATTTTTAACTTCAAAAATATCTTTCGTATAATATTTATTATTATTATTATTCTCAAGTTCTGTTATATCAACGGAATTACGACTTCATTTTAGTAGGAATGTACGTTTGCATCAATGTACCGTCAGATAGCGCCTTATTCGACGAAATTTTCCTTCCATTGAAATCGTATTCAGAGGTCCAAGCAAAAATAAAATTCCCGAATAAAACTTCAAAATGGCGCGACTGCTGAGTGTAAACACCCAGTTTTGATATTAGTGGAGTGTAGGAGCTGAGTAATATTTCCAAAAACGATTGGCTGTAGTCCAGATATTTTGTACAAACGGTGTAAGGAAAAAATTCAAACTGGATGTTCACTACTGTATCCACGATCGCTCATTCTATACCAGGTAAACGTCGTCTATCACAATGTTTGACGCTCTCCATGCTTTTCCTAACATAATTTCTCTAATTTGTATGAGAAATATATGAAATACGTTCTAACCAAAATTATATTCGTCTACTTTCGTTGTTCGTTCCCTTTCAATTGGACGCATTTTAAAGTATAATCGTTTGATTTTTCAAAATGAGCATATTCGTCGTATGTTATGTCTTCAGTTTTTTCAACAGGATGCTTATATTTCTCGTAAAACATGTACAGTTATTCATCCTTCATATATAGATCGTCCAAATTCTTTAATACTTATTTATAATCTACTCTAATCAAAGTATTTATTTCTTCAAAACTTATTCCACATAGCACAAACAAAGTCAATAATCATTCAATAACAATATTACTTCTTTCTCTATGCTCTTAAATATCATACAATTGATATTTGAAAGATATTTGGTTCGATAACTTGTATTAATTTGAGCATATTATCATATTAGTTTATATCAATAGAAAGATGAATTTAATTTGCGACAGATCTAATTTATCTAGGTTATACGCAAATAAATCTTTAAGATATAAAACTTTATAAGCTTTTGTTCTTTGTATGTACTCATTGCGTTGCATATAATAAAGTCTGTGTAGTTATATCAGTATAGCAGTAAAAGTATATACGATTATAAAGGAATATTTATATAATTTGTGTTTGCCCTATATGACCCGTTTGTTACTTAATTTACAGACTAATTTAATAAGCGAATTAATTAAGTTTTCTATAATTACAGGGAGTGATCAGAGCAAAATGGCGCAGAAGTGTGGTTCTATTCACATAGGGTAAGTTAATATATTGAAAATTTCCAAAGAATGATATATTTCGAATGTGACTTTAAATAATTATATTTTATAGAATATGATTTTCCTTATAAATTCTTATATTAGAGATCTCGAAGATAAATTAAAAAGGCTAATAATTATTCTTCAATAAACATTATGTTTTTCATCTTATAATGATATTAACAAGAGTAAGAAATTTATTTACTGAAACATACCGGATATGTATAATCGGATGAGATATTGTCTATTATATATTAACTAGCAAACGATCTTATAGACAAAATTTTGTGCACGAAGTTGTACTATTACCTGTAATTGAGGTTATAAGTAAAAAATCTCTCTTTCCATCTGTATATATATATGTATATATATATATGTATGTAGGTATGTGTATATATATATATATATATATATATACACACATATATATATACATACTTGTATACATATTATATATAGATAGATAGATAAATAGCTCAGTTCATTTCAAAAGCATGTGATAATATTAAGTGATATAATATCTACTAAAATGTATCAGCTGTCAGCGCGGTTGAATATGTTTTATGACTAAGTACACGTACACTCGATAATTCTAATAATTAGTTCTAATATCTACATCACGATATATTTTTCGAACAGTCACATTTGTACTTGATACAATGATTATATTTTTGCAACCGTATCGAAACGTGCAGCGATAATGATCGATAACGGAAATCTAAAATATTTTATCGATCTTTACTATCTACATCCGACAAGATGGCCAAGCTAAAACATTTTGTGCGCTTCGAAATGAAGCGAAAAGAAGAAAGAAAAATAAAAATAAAAAGTTTTAATTGGTAAGGAAAAAAAATACACAGACCGAATAAAGTTTTAGAATAATATAGCGAAAAATAATTATTAATTATTTTTTGTAAGATTCCACGAAGATCAAACAACTAATATAAGGATGTTTGCTACGCAGCAAGTAATTCGTCGTCGGACAATGTTAGCGCCTCTTGGTAATATTTCTTTATACCGTCGGTGTTTTATTGCGACATCGTGCAAGAAACGTTTCGTTATCGTAATCGTCGTAGACTTTTACCTTAGCGGCAGCAGGCCTTTTTCTTGAAAATATTTTTCCACATCGAGCCAAATCATTTCGATCTGGTAAACTCGACTGACCTTCGTACCAAGAAACGATCGGACGTTGTGATATTGATATTTTTGTTTTTATTCGATATGGATATAGGAAAAAAGATCTTGTACCAAGAGAAAGACTAGGCGAAAGAAGAAGAAGAACGCGCGGTAGTCGATAGATTCGTTGGAACGTTAAAGCGCTATAAACGTAGAGCCGATAATTTCGTAGGATCGTGTCGGGTAGGAGGAAAAGAAAAGGTAGTTGGGGGAATACGTAAAAGAAAAGAAGCGTGCGAGGAGGGGTCATCGTTACGGAGAGAGAAGGCGCGTTCGTTCCGTTGCTACCACCAGGAGGGACGAAGGCATCCCGGTTAAAAGTCGTGCTTTATACGGTGGCTGTTCCGCTCTCTGGTGGGAGAAGTGATAGTCCTTACCGGGGTATACCACACGGCGGCACATTATACGGCTATGGTGGAATCAGTCACTGGCGAGTTGTGGGTGGTGACTAGTCGACGACCCATCCGTCCCTCGATCTCTCGGTAGATCTCCGATAGATCTCTCGGTAGATTTCTCGTCCGTCCGTTCTTACGTTAGTGCTTCTTCCGCGTTTCCTCCTTGTTATCGTTTCCATCCGAATGAACGTCGTGTTCTTAGTTCGATCGCGATCGAAGCGATCATCGTAGTGGTCAATCCAGGCGAATGCTCTGAACGAAATCATCTCCAACGTGTTCGGTGGTATTCGTCGTCGCTTATGATGCCTCGTGCCAAGTTTAAACGACGCGCGTCTCGCGCCCTCGTCTAAGTAGATCCGGGATTTACGATTCCAACGGAAAACTCAAATTCCGTTGACGCGAAAGTTTCTCCTTTTCTCTCTCTCTCTCTCTCTCTCTCTCTCTCTCTCTCTCTCTCTCTCTCTCTCTCTCTCTCTCTCTCTTTCTCTCTCACTCACTCACTCACTCACTCACTCACCCTCTCTCTCTCTCTCCTTCTCCTTATTCCACTCTCCTTGCTCTTCCTCCTCTTTCTTGTCGTACCTTCTTCGATATAAACATTTGGAAGAGCTTTGTATCGGCTCGACGGTGAAACGACGGATCTTTGGTGAGCTTCCCTCGTGAGTTTGTTGAAAGTGGTTGTAGAATGAAGTGGTGGAAAAATAGCTGCTATAAGCTCGGACGTAATTTGCCAGGAGTTTCGAACCAAGAATAAAGAAGAGAGGAATCCTACACAATTGTTCTCTGACGAATATCGTTTTAAGGATCGTTTAAAATCGAATCGGTTGATATTCTTTTGCGAAAGTGACTGAATATTAGCCGTTTCGAAATCGGCATCAAAATAGTCAGTGTCGAAAGCAAATCAACGTTGTTGCGCGAATCGATCTGGATCAACGAACAGAGTCTTTTCAAGCAAATTCATATTTTTCCAAAACCGATTGATACCAAATCGATCATGAAATTTTCGCAAAACAAGGACGAGAATTGCGAATCGAATATAAGAAAAGCGTAGAATGATTTACACCTAAAATCGGTCCTAGCTATTGGCTTGAGAAATAAAGGAAATTCATGCTATATTGGTCGTAAGCCATGGCGCGCAATAATGAGAGTCATTACAGCCGAGGTCGAAAGGTCGCAACGATAATATTGTAGAAGTAAAAGTAGTCCTGTCAGAGAGAATCCTCGTTTTAAAAAAAAAAAGTTTGTTTTGTCCTTGAAGATCCTTGGAAATAGACATAACGCTCGAAGTATTTGAACGATTAATTAATTTATTATCATCGGAATTCGACTTGGGAAGGAAAGGAATACATCGATCGTAGATTGAAAGAAAAAGTTTGAAAGCAGGAAGATACTGGAAGCCGTTTATACCGCAAATCGAAAGATATCTCGGAAAGGGAAGGAATCCGAGTTAGCTGGTGCTTTGATATTACGACTTCCTGCGGAGCACCCTTCGGCCGTCGCGTAGATATCGCGAAACCCCTATCGAGAGAACGCACGCGCGTATGTTCTCGAGCGTGTAACAGGTGTCCAGTGCGCCAGCAAACGTATGTGGGATATAACTTTGCAAAGTCTGTATTGATCTAACCGAAGAGTCATAATAAAATTGGCATCGAATAAGGAACGATATGTCCTTGTAAAGAGGAATAATCGGAATAAGATGAGTTAATGACAAGGAAATCGTTGGAGGATTTTTGGATCATCGAAATCGTGGAAGACAGGCCGTCAAAATAGAATATCCCGGTGGCAGTGGTATGTACGGGGGTGGTACGGGAGGTGCAGGGTATGGGGTCGGTTTGGGCCCGGGACCTGGGCCCTCGCACTACGCTCCCTCGGGTTCCGGCGTGAGTTACCAATTGGGCCCACCACCCCCACCGCCGCCAGCCGCTTGCCCCACCGGCGGAAGTCAGCTTCTGTCTTACGGGCCCAACCTATCGCCTCACCACATACAACAGACGCACGCGGACTCTCAGCAGCAGTCGAAAACACGGAGGTAAATCTTCGTCTCCCACGCGCCTCTAACCATTTTCTTTTTTTCTCCCTTTGCCTCTCCCAGAAGAGAGAAAAAGATGAGTATCGCGTTTCAAGCAAAACTTCTTTCCAGCCATGCTGGATCATCGTCTCGAGATCATCTTCTGCCTCCTCGGAGCACGAAACCGACATCGTCCGTCTACTAAAATCGCTTTCCCGGGGGATGTTAAAAGTCGGCCCTTTTGATATCAAAGCGGGTTTTAAGCTCTTGACGAAAGGATCCCGCGTCTCGCGTACATATAAACGTGCGGAGAATCGTGGGAAAGGTTGGGACTTTTAAATAGCACGCGGTTTTTGTGGTAAACTGGACATGCACGTTGAATCGATGGATGCCGTCCAGAGAGAGAGAGAGAGAGAGAGAGAGAGAGAGAGAGAGAGAGTTCGCTTTAAGAAAATTTATCCTTTTATTTATTGCGAAGATCGGTACGTCGAAAGTGACGATGAACGTGAGACAGGGACGAATTACGTATGACACGAGTAGTTACGTAGAACGAATTACGTATATTGATGATTATGAAGTATCTCGGTAATTACGTGGTACGCACGTTAACAGACAATCAATTGTCGCTTTAATAAGAATAGTGAGAACAGACATTGTGACTGTCGTGAGAAAGAATCGAAATACGATTAAAAGTTAAAAAGCAGTTTAAGATCTTTACGTAAAATTTGGTGGGCTTGAGTATGCGAAATAGCTGCATAATGCAAACGTTAACTCGTCCATTTACGAAAAAATCATTTATTAAGAAGCTCGAGAAAACATGCAATGTTAAGGGTTATCCATAAAGGTTTCGTCCACAGGCACGATTTCTTTTTGAATCGTCAAACATCTATTCCGTAGCGATCATTGAAAGAACTCGAGGCTGAGTTCTTCGCCTGAAACAATCTAGTTATCGAGAGTCGTGACCGAAGTACTTACGATTGCTTATTGAAATTGAGAGGCTTGCGGTGTACTTACGGATTCGCCTTTCGCTCGGACCGTCGACAAGCGGAAGAAATTTGCGGATCGTTTCGAAGATTACTTATGCCGATTCACCTTATTGTGACTTATTTGTGCCGATTGTATTTTAACCTTAATCTATCACGAGTAATTCCGTATTCTGCAAGATGCAATAAAAAGTAATCATTTTATGAATCTATTTTGCAAACAAGCTCGCAAAGTTTTCGAGACCGCTTTTACGATGAAATCGAGGAAACTCATTAAAACTTTTCTACGTCATGATTCTGAAGTAGCATGCTGGTTTATCGAAGTACGATGGAAATTCTTCTTTCACAATGATTATTTCCAAATTTCCAAGAAATTTTTCAATTTTTCATCGATACGTTATCGTACCTATCGCATATTATCGGGATTCAAATATTCCGAAGAAAAAGCAACGATACGCGGAACGCACATGTTCCGTGTCCGCGTGAAAAATACTGAAGTCGGCCGTGAATCTAGATAGCTCTATTATCGTCGAGCTTGTCGTAAAAAAGACTGCGAATTCTCGTCAAGCCAATCCGATCCTTCCGCGCGCTTCAAAAGCACGAGAACGGTGAATCGATAACGAGAAGTATCCTTGCATAAACTGAATATTTATTAACCGTTAAATAAATAAAAAAACCAAAAAAAAAAGAAAAAAAACAAAAGAAAAAAGAAGCAGCACGTCGCGTTTTCAGATTACGCTTTACAAGTAAAAACATTTTATACAAAAGTATACGTATTCGACCAAGAGATTATTATTAATTTATGGTGTGCAATCATCGCAGTTTAGCAAACATACGTTTTTGTTATTGCAAAGTCAGCAACTTTTTCTTTACATTAACAAGTAGATTATAATCAATAAATACAATTACAATTTCACTGCAGAATACGTACTTATGGCTTCTTCGCGCATAAAATGTGATTTCCCGTTGAAAAGAAGGAAAAGAAGAGGAAGAATAAAAAGAAGAAGAAGAAGAAGAGAGAAAGAAAAAAAAAACAAGCGGACGAAGGAAAAAAGGAGGAACTTCCTCGGCGACCTTGAAGAAAAAGATACTCTGGCGTAAGCCATTGAAACGACGATAACGATAATCTTCTCGAAAATATAACAAAGCGGGTACAAAGTTGACGTTATCGTGAAATGCATACAACAGAATTGCGGTGCGCGGTCACGCGCGACGATAATAAATTGAGATCACAAGAAAAATACATATATGCGCGAAGAAATAGTTATGACGGCGCAGCTCGTATATTATTACGTACGGTACGGTACGTAAGTACGTATGTATGCATGTACAAGAGTGACCGTATTACGTAGGAAGAAACGAGAGCACGTACAATACCCGAGAGATTACATTTATCAGCGAATATTTCATTGGCCTCGCTGATCGCTGATTTCATTTATCGTCTGCTTATAACGAACCGACTTCAAACTTCGCTCGTTACGTTCTTAAAGTCTCGTTAAGTCTTTCTAAAGAAGACTTTAGAACCGATTGACGTTGATGCAGGCGGATCTTTGAAAAGAAAGTAAAAGAGAAAAGAAAAAAATAAAAAGGATAAAGGATAATAAAACGATCGATATCTAATCGTATAAAATATCGAGTGTCAAGCCGTCGTACAACTGCTTATATTATGAAATAATATCAGTTGGAGTGACGGAACGTAAAAGTTGACGTTTAATAAAGTGCATCGCGTCTGGTCTCGTTTGCGGCTCGTCGCGTCTAACAAGCCGCAAAATACACAAGAAGGAAGATTAAGGGTAGCCGGGGTGTCTAATACGATGAGTTTACACGGGTCGTTCTACTCTCTACCACGTGCATCGAACGTGCGAGCACGAAACAAAACCCACTCGTCGAGGAATTCGTCACGTAGCAGAGATTTGTGACCGTTCCACGCATTTACGCGCCGATTACCGCGACCTTGTTGCGTAATCCGTCGTGTAAAACCCAAAAATCCAAAACACTCGTTTACCCATACTTTATCTACGTCCGTTTCTCTTTGTCGTCTTGTCTTTACATCGGGAAAAGATCTCTCCAACGTTTACGGAGAGATTTTGCTACTTAGGACGGACTATAATTTTCTTGTAAGCGAAGATGGAAAATAATTTGAGATTTAACCAAGTCTAACTTTCTTCGATCATGTTTCTTTTTCCCGCAAATGCGGGGATGCATCCGCAAGATGCAATTTCTCGCAGGTATATTTACAAAATCGTAACTCTATACTCAACTTTTGTTTGTCTTTTTTTTTTTTCTCCTTTTTCTTCCTTCTTTCTTTTCTTTTCTTCTTCTTCTTCTTTTTTTTCTTTTTTTTTTTTTCTTTTTTTTTTTTCTTCTTTTTATCGTTTTCTTTCTACATGGATGTTGAACATTTAAAAAGCAGGCTATATTATTTGTTTACATCGAGATGCCCGATGTTCGTGACAACTGGCTCGAAGTGGGAATTTCCAAGTCGGAGTAGCCTTCTTTCTAAGCAGCGATTGCGCTCGCGATATCGTCTCTTTTTACATTCTCTTCGGGAAGTCCTATGTAAATCGTGTGTTTGCTCTCTCCATCATCTCTCCACGCGGTACATTTATACAGTACAATTATCGTCGGTAGGCATACCTACGCACTGTACGTAGCTCGCGAGTGTTTTGATTTCTACACGTTAGCAACTCATTGCGAAGCGTTAATTATATTATAACGACTAATTAAAGGAAGCACGGGTGATTTCTGGTGCATTAATCTGTAAAAATGTAAATCGCAATGATAAAGATATATTTATTTCACGCGATCGCTACGGCCGCGAGCGCCTATGTTAAATAAATGGCATTCCGCGGCTGGAAGGAATTGTTAAACTGGATGGATCAAAATGGAAAGTATGTATTCAGTTTAATACGGCTCCGACCACGTTGTCGGATTATCTTCCTTCTAATGAATTCTCCATTATTAACGCCTCATACACTCGTCTGATATTAAATCCATAATTAGGTCATACGCGTGCGACGCGGATTTTTAATTTACAATTGTGCATTTCATCGCGAGCATAAATAAAACGAAGTAATGCGCGGACATCTATTCGCCGCTGATATCTGACCAAACAATTTTCCTTCCTTTTTTTCATCCCCAACGAATCGTATTTATCTAAAGATCGTTGAAATGATAAAACGAGACGACGGTGATTCATGTGAAAAATATTTTTTATTAGTCTGAGACAGCCCAGACAAAGAAAATGTCTTTAATGAAGAGTAAAAGAAAAGGGTCTCGTTAGAGGGCACATAGATTGCGCGGTTGTAAACGTAATTAGATGGATTTCTTGCTTCCTCTTCCTCGTATTCTTCGTCGCGTGACTTTCCGCTCGAAGCTAGGTTACACACGCCCTGAGCAATAAAGGTTTTCTCAGCCGTGAAAACGGCCGGGCCTCCCGATTGGGGTTCCGTTCTAGGGTAACGCGCGTCTTTCGCGCCCGCAAAAAACTCTCGACACTCTTCCTTTTCTTCCTTCGCATCTCTTCTATCGGGATCAATTGCGAGTTTAAAGCTTTTCTATTCGGTTCGACACTTGAACGACAACTATCGCGAGAATGGCAATTATCGTCGATATACCGTTCCTCTTCTACTTCTTTAGGATAGTTTCGTACAGAAGGAAAATGGGACGGTTACGACGTTAAAACGAAGACGAAGACGAAGAATTCGAAGAAATGTGATAAATCTCGTCTTTCGAGGGATCCCTCGCGAGTCGTAGAAGATTGTTAAGAGGCTACGGCGATCGAGGATCGATCGTGGAGGCGGTGACCAATAAGAGATCGTCTGGGAGGAAGAAAGAAGAGAGAGAGAGAGAGAGAGAGAGAGAGAGAGAGAGCGGAGAGAGAGAAGAGAGCGGTTCTCTCGCGCGAGCCGCTCTTCAGAGACCGATGGACCGCCCCTTCTCCAAGCCGCCAATCCCCAAGCTCTGATCTTGCTTTAATATGCGACACTGTATACACCGCGAGAGTATCATCGTCACCCCCTGACCAAGCTAATGAAAAGAAAAGCAATGAACGGCCAAGAGTCGTCGTCATCGTGCTTAGACGTTAGATAAGCAATCGGCGCCGTCATTTCATCGACTCGGAGAATCGAAGCGTTCTATCCGTCGCTTCGCTTCAACGAACCCCACGGGTGAGCTCTGCTAAAATACGATGATTCGTTGCATAATTATATAGTTAAATGCTACTTGAAATAACTGGACGCATTCAAGGACGCGTGTCGTAACGCTCGCGACGACACTAAGAATCGAGTTCTCTTTCGACTTGGTACTCGCATTTTTCCCATTTCTACTTGAATTTTTAACGAGCGCTTAAATAAATTTACATTTAAATCGAGAAAACATTTGTTATCGCGTGATTCGATGCGTAAAGGCTTTATGCCATTGGTGTTTCTTGCGTATTCCTCGGATTGGAACGTTTCAATTATCCCCGGCGAAGAAATCGATGAGATTCCGCTCGAGAAGGAACAGCTTTCTGAAAAATACCGCGCATTTCGTAGGTACACTGGGTATAGATGCTCGTTCTCCTGTTCTCGAAAGGCACCAGGACGGAGTTCGCATGTATGTATGTACGTATTATGTACGTGCGTATGTACGTGCAAGTGTCCCAAACGACTACAGGAAGAGAAGGTAGATGTAACACACGTGGACGTAAAGGAATGGCGAACGCAAATGTACGAGGACGAGCGTGGACAACGGTTACAAAGAGGAAGAGAAGGAATAGAGGGGTCAAGTCGTGACTCTTGAGTCGAATGGAAAAATGCAAAAAGGCGCCACCGTAACTTGGACACGGCGTGCCACATCACGTGGCATTCTCTCTCCTCATTGGCCCCCCCTCTGTCTCATTGTCGTATTTTGTAAATATTCTTAAGGTACTTTTGATCTTTAAAGAAAGATCGACAGGTATTCTCGTGTCTCGTCTTTATAAAAATTATTGAAAGTGAAATTATTTACCGATCGACTAATTAAACTCGAAATATTTTCATTCGGTGAAACGCTTGGAACCATTTAAAGTTGATCATTAATCTCTATCTTAATGCCGAACCGTCGCGTCGGGTCATTTACAGGCACGTCCACCGAGTATATCGCCGAGTGGCGTAAGCCTTAAGAGATAATTAGAAGCCCTAATTACCGGCGGTAAAAGCGTGCGTTTGTCTCGTGTGAGATCAGCGTTACCGCCCACTATGCGGACCAGCTATACTATACCGACATTTGGAATCTGCTCGTCTAAAGAAATACAAAAAAGCGATCGTTTAACTCTTCGTTTCGTAAGTACGTTCATATGTACGGTGAAACATGAAACAACATGGCACAGTATGCCTTTAGCCTCGTTCAACTCTTTACAATGAGAGAGTCGGCTTAGACGCACGCGAGATAAAGATCTGATACTTAGTTTCCCACGGCTTTTGTTTCGATATATATATATATATATATATATATATATATATATATATATACATATATATATATAGAAAAATTCACGAAAGCAGGAGAAATGGAGCAATACTGGCAAAAGGAAAAGGTGCTTCTTTCTTGTCCTTAGAGAAGTACGATGGTATATCTAAAGATCGATTTTTCACGAAATCGTTCAATGTCAAGGGTCGAACAACCGTAATCCGCTATCGTGCCAGTGGCTACTTTGAAAGAATTTTTTTTTAAAGGTTACAAACTTAATCGTCGTCGTTGTCGATCGTAAATACAATAACGACTGCCAGTCAGCCAGTCCTTTCGATACGCTACCAAATCCATTTCGGCCATTGTATAGTCGAATTGTAAACCGATGCTACCCGTCGATTCTATGAACTCGTTCTTCGAGTCTTGTAATAGGCCATCGACGTCATGGTTTATTGCGACCGTTGATTTAGTGTCGTGCAGGGTCAATATTCTCGTATCTGCGTTTGTATGCTGTTGCTTTCGTTTGTTTTTTTCAAATGATATTTTTCATAGTTTTGTATGGTTTACGACGTAAACCACCGCGCGGTCATATAGATAAAATCTATTTTCTAAAGGTCACGTTGAGTAATTGGTAAATGATAAACGATAATTGATATTTCTCTTTAGGAAAGTAATATTTTGCTAGGAGAAGTAAAAGTTTGGCGACTCGACGAACTCAAGTCATTGATATTTGATCGTTCGAAATTTCGTGCTGGATCTAAGTTGGAGAACGAGCATCTTCTTTCCGTCGGACGATGCATACGCATCGCATATGCAAAAACGTTTCGCATAACGATACGGGCCATCTTATAACTCGGCGTGTACGTGATACGAAGCCGGTTTTCGTATTCACCATATGATTTATTACCTAAAATCCGGATAAGGTACGCGTTCGCGATTTCGTTATTTCGAGATACAAAGAACATTTTACAAAGTTTTACAAGAGGAGGAGGAGAATAAGAAGAAGAAGAAAGAGCGATTTATTTGTAGGTGCCGAGAATAAAATGATAGAGGAGCGAGTTTTTAACGCTTGTCTTCCGCGCTCCTCGTTACACGGGTCGTTTCTAAAACCTTCTGGAAGGTGCCGCAATTGGAGCACCTCGTTGAACCTGCTTTGAAGCTTAAACTTTCTCTTCGATTCGAAGGCGCGGATTATAATGCCACGTTCTGGAATTGGGTAGCAAGATATAAATGCCAGGGCTAACGAGTAGTACGATGGAAGAAAAGGGAAGAAAGTGCCATAACTTTTCATCGGTATTCGATCGACCGATGCTACGGACGAAAGAAACTTGCCGTCGAGTCGTCTTCTTTCTCACGAAAGATTCATACGTATCTGTTAAGTCGACATAATACCGCGGGGCGCATCATTATGTACTCCATAAGTCTCCGGGTACATCTTCTCTCTCTCTCTCTCTCCCTCCCTCTTTCTCTCTCTCTCTCTCTCACTCTCTCTCTCTCTCTCTCTCTCTCTCTCTCTCTCTCTCTCTCTCTCTCTCTCTCCTCTTCGCATAAGGGACTAAGAAAAAGAGGAGGAAAGTACGTTGGAGGGCTGCAGAGGAGAAGAAGAAGAAGAAGAAGAAGAAGAAGATAGAGTAGGAGAGCGAAGGGAAGACTGGTGGGTACGGAGGTACCCGGATACACTCGCTGCGGGCCCTACACCCCCACTTACCTCGTCTACCGGGTCCTCCGGAGTTCTCCACGGTATGAGAAAGGTGAAGAGAGGGAGGCACCGCTTCACCGCATGGCACGTTCACCACAGCGAGAGAAAGAGCACGATGGCGAGTCGAGTGGTGGGGGTAAAAATAAAAGTGGTAGGGATAGGAGGGCGCACCGGTAAGGGGATATCTTGCTTTTTCGCTCAGGGTCAGAACCGTACATCACCCGCGCGCACCGGTGCAATAGACTGACGATCGGCCGGATTTCTATGAGCTCTCCGGCTCGCTCTATCTCTCTTTCTCGCCAGGCCGAACGAGAGCATAATTTTCTAGCGAGCGGTTAATACCGGCGTCGGTAGAACGAACACGAGCTTCGATACCGATAATGAGACGGCGGTGACGGATTTACGGTGCCCTCTTTTGCGCTCCGAGTCCATCACCTCTCTCTCTCTCTCTCTCTCTCTCTCTCTCTCTCTCTTTCTCCCCCTACCCTCTCCTTTCTCTCTCCCCTACCCTCTCCTCTCTCTTTCTCTCTTTTCTGATATCTTTCCATGTATTGTAGCGAGCGACCCTTATGGGCTTTGCCATATTCTTCCGGGTGTAAGCGGTAACGAGGTCTTGAACGTCGAATAAGCTTCAGCATCGCTATCGAATCGGCGATGTCGCAGGAAGGAAGGAAAAAGTGGGACAAACTGAATTATTTCGCTCCAATTCTTCTCGCGTTTCTTCGATTACGGCCCGATGTGTCGAGAGAAAGAGAGAAAGAAAAGGTAAAGAAACTTTCCTTCGAAGATGCGAGGAATTCTCTCGACAATTCTTCTAATTTTTTATTAATAAACTTTATGAATTCATTTGCCGGAAATAATTGGATTTATTTTCGATAAATACTTTTATGAAGAGTACTCTTCTCGTGATCTGTAATCGCACGAACGTTTTATCTATGTCTTGGCTGAATATTAAAAGAAACGTAAGATTCGAATGTATTTCGGCGGCATAGGGATAGGGACAGATCCGAGTTGGAAGAAATTAATTGGTAATTTGTCAAGGATCGTGTAGAATAGGACTCGGCAATCTCCATGCGTTGAATTTTAATCGTGCCATTACTGTTAGGTGATCCAGATTTGGTGGAGTAGAGCAGAAGGCCAATTTTGGATCGGGCAGTTCGCGTTTGGTAATCCGGAAGCTATTATAGTATCGCGCGTCGATGACGCGACATCTATTCGCGCGACTATTCCTTCCTTTTTTGCGAACTCGCTTTTCTCCTTCGTCTCCTCGTCGAACGGTATAATAATTTATCGCACAACCACACATCTTGACGTCCAACGTTCGCACACGCGCGCGCACACACGGAGGTATCTCGTAAAAAGTATCTACGCTCGCGACTCGCGTATCGAGAATTAAATTCGTCCATGTCCGCGCATACGTATACCTTGTTAAAAAGTTTCCCCGTGTTTTTTATCCTTGTGTTCGCGTGTGCGTTTGAATTTCTAATAATATTTCTACCGTCGGGCGCGTCGCGCGTTATGTATATATATATATATATTTACACACATACACTTTGGGACACCACTATAGGCGCGATCCGTGTAAGTTCCTGCAAAGAAAAAAGAAAGAATCGAATAAAAGGCGCGCTATCGGTATCACGATCCTCGATGGAAAAGCGAAATTTAATCGGTCATTTCCTTCTCTTGGTGTTTCAGGTCGGACGAGGATGATACTAGTGGATGTAAATATAGAAGATTGGAGGACGACAATGTGCAGGATAAGGAGAGGTTTGCGAGGTGAGTATCAGACTCGAGAAGATTCGGTAGACTCGTTAAAATGTTATTGCCCTTCGCACCGGAGATTCCTCCTCTTATACGCATATATCGAATCTTGTTCGGTTTTTCGTCGCGTGTAAGGGACCGCGAGAGTGGCATGGACACCTTTCTGGTAGCCGCTCCCGACATTGTTAATTCGTCTCACGAAATCGTGGCCCCAATATGTTCTACCGGTACACCCTGTACATGCCTTCTCAAGTACCAAGATACATACATACCTACATGATACCTACCAATGTGAGCCGATAGCGGAATGGGAAGCCCTCGAGGCTGCTCCAGCGTGGGAACATAAGGTACTTATACGCGCACCGTCCTTTAACTTCGTCCACACCGCGCTCTATCTCGATTCCATTCTTCACCTCTCTGCTCCTATCTATCTCGGTGATATTAAAACTTGGCTTTGCCGCTAAATTCACTCTTCTCTAATCTACTGAGTATTCTTTTATTTTCAACGAAATCGAGAGAGAGAGAGAGAGAGAGAGAGAGAGAGAGAGAGAGAGAGAGAGAGAGAGAGAGAGAGAGAGAAGGGGGGGGGAGGGGGAGAGAGAAAGGAAAGGATAATATTATTCTACAACTTTTCTCGTCTCCGATCGCGTGCGACTGGGTGGAGTCGCTTTCTGTAAGCAATCTCTACTGTCATTTTGCAGATACACAAACACGCATACATCGTGTTGTCGAAAAGAGGATGGAAAAAGAAAAAATGTTAAAAGAAAAAAAGAAAAAGAAAGAAAGAAAGGAAAAAAGAATCATGGCTCGAGCGATCCGCAACGACTCTGATGTCGCGCGCGCGAATAAGCGAGCGAGCGGGCCGCGCTCAAGAACCTCACTTTTAAGTTAATAACGCAATTACTGCCTCCCGCCGCAAGGCGCCCGTCTCTTCTCCTCCTCCTCCTCCTCCTCCTTCTCCTCTTCTTTTCCTCTTTATGCTTCTCCGCACTATCTTTTCTCTCCCTCTTCCTCAGGCACGTCTTTTCCTCTCTCGGCCGAGGTCCACGGTCGTATTTTCTTCTCGACCTCGGCATTAATACAGAAAGCCTGCATTTTCGGTCTTTCGGCGCGATTACGAGTCTCGCGATAAACCGCGGAATAACTTTGTTTGTCGTTCTACTTCGTCTAAAGTAAGGGAAAAAAGAAAGTCTACTCGATAGACTTGGTCAGAATTTTGTAAGGGTAATAATAAGGGTATTACGACTTGGTGCATATTTATCGAGCAAAAGGGAGGGGGAAAAAGATGACGTGGAACAGGAATAACGACGGAGAAGAGAAGGCGAGTGGTTCGACGAAGAACGAATACGATCGTTGTCGCTTAAATCATTTTCAAACGAAGATGTTATAATCGCGCGTGAGACGGCAGCGTGGCGCGCCATAAATTTTGCTCGGCAACATATTTACTGCCTTTGGGGCAGTAATCGAGAAGGAGGAAGGCGGACATACGCTACGGGACAAAAGTTAACAAACCTATAGGCGATATTTCGTTTTTTTTTTATTTTAATCCATCGTAAGAGAAAACGTTCGAGCGAACTTAGCTCTTATCGAATCAATATTTATTTGAGGAATAACGCAATCGTCGTTTCGTTTATGGATCTACGAATTCGAGAGATTATAAACAATCGCGATAACGGATATCGGCGTTATTTCGAGGTACGAGCTATCGAAAAGTTTCTCGCGATAAGATCGTGCGGGTCGTCGAGGCTAGCCTCCGCGGAGTATAAACCGTTGGTAGTAGAGGGTAAAGAAAAGAAAAGAAAGGAAAGGAGAAAAAAAAAAGAGAGAATAAATAAGAAACGATAGTGTCGTCGAGAGAGGGCCAAAAAAGAAGGATAAACTTGTACCGAAAGAGGTAGATAAGGATCTCGGACAAGACGGCATTCGCACGGTATCGTTTGGTGCTCGCGCGATTATCGGTACACCCCGTATAGTCAATCCGCTTGCCCGGACCTACGAAGCGAGCGAGCAACTTCGGAGCGTCTGACCTCTGACCCAGGAGTTCTCCGTCCTCCTCCTTGGATCGCGTTCCTTCTCTCCTCTTCCTCCTCCTCCTCCTCCTCCTCCTCCTCCTCCTCTTCCCTTTTGCCCTTCCATAGCTCGCAACCTCCATCGCGCTGGACCGTACGTAGCCTGCTTTATACTTGCGCTTTAAGCGCCGTGGCCTCTTTTAAATAGCGTTGCCCTCTAACAGAGAGAAAGAGATAGATAGATAGATATTTATTCTTATGTCCGTGAGAGAAAGAGAGAATGAAATCGAAGAAAGGAACAACGGAACGGAGATGTCGACGAGCGTTACGGATTCACGTGAACCTCCCGACGAGACGAAGGAAAGATCTTCTCTCTTGCGTGTATTTGCCCATCGTGGACCTTCCACGTTATGTGTCTTTGAACACTCCCGGATGTTCTTGCTCCTAGATCCTTATCCTTTCTTTTTTATTTTCATTTATATTCTTCTCTGTCCGTTCAAAGTTTTTCTTAAGAGATTAAACCACGATAATATCCTTTAACATCGACCGGAACGTTAATCCTTTTTGATTTTCCTCATTGTTGCTGTCCTCGCCGTCGCCGTTGCCGTCGCCGTCGCCGTCCTAGAGGATCGATCTCTTCACGCGCACGCACAACCTCGAGCACCCACGCAAACTTTCTTCGTGAAAATAATTGCGAATTAAATGGCACCACACGTGGAACGATTACTCGGCAGCGCGACAATCGTTACGCGAGATCGATCTACGTAGTTTCATGCAGGGAAAACCTACCTCGGGAGTCAATTTGGTCTAGAATTTGTTTCGTAGTTTCTATGTTCGTCGTGGTAAAGAATAACAGGGGAGAACCTCGTCAAATTCGAACGCTTTAGAAACTACGTGTACTATAGACGTACAAGGAGAATTTATTGGCCCAATCGATCTCGGATGCACGTACATACGTATGATCATTTTGGAAAATAGATTCCTCGATCGCGCGTTCTCTCCTACATTCGAGCCTGCTTACGCGCGTTAATATCTCGCGTAAGTTGATATCTAAAGTATTTCCTCGAGCTATGCAATTACCTTGGTTTTTTCTTGCAACTTACTGCAGGGAGAATCATTGCGAGATAGAAAGGCGGCGGCGGAACAAGATGACCGCCTACATCACCGAACTCTCGGACATGGTACCAACCTGTTCGGCCCTTGCGAGGAAACCGGACAAACTGACGATACTTAGGATGGCAGTGGCACATATGAAAGCTCTCAGAGGTAAGTCGATTTTCATTTATATTTATTATTTATTTCGATAATATTTCGTTCTAAAAGGCAAGTGCTCTCATGCGCGCTTTAATAAATGTTAAAGTTTAACATTTTGCTCACGCGCGGGCGCGGGCGAGCGCGCGCAATATTATTCACTCCACAAGCAAGATATTATGTATATGTAAAGAGTGTGATGCAACTCATCTCGTGGGACTTGTGACGAAGTCGTTTTTAAAAGTCAATGACCGTAAAGATAGAGAAGAAGGGAGAGTCGTATCGAGTAGAGTTGCATGTATCTATGTAATTTAATCGACGCTCGTTCAAGCTCGAAGATCGCGTTGCCGAAAGTTATTTCGTTGACCGTGCCGGATAATTCAAACATCAATGGTAACTTAATCGTCACGTTCCGCGTTAAGAACTAAAGTACTACTTTGTTCCTTATCGAACTCTTCAACGATTACGGCAACTAATCTAGACCTCGAGAAGTTGGAAACCGATTTGCAAGCGAGGTTGCCATTAGAAATTTTATTCAGATCCTTATCCAGTTCATTAAGATGACAAAGTGGAACAAGACTAATCCAATTCCGAAGATTTTCTTCGACGAAGAAGTAACGCCAACCCCAACGACGTAATCGCGGACTTTGATCCGGGAGAAAACAAAAAAGAAAAGAAGAACGAGAAAGGATGTACGTATGTATTCTCGAGATCATCGGGAAAGCTGGGGGGGGAGGGGTGGGGAACAAACAAAAAAAAAAGAAAAAAAAAGAAAAAAAAAAGAAAAAAAAAGAAAACAAAAAAAAAGTCGAGCCTCTTTTTCTCTCTTTCTCTTGGAGGTACCGGAACGAGCGTAACTCACGGATGGTTTCGTCGTCGTACTACGGTCATATCGAATGCAGAAAGCGCGATATATGCTTCCGGTGTAAGAATGGGTGGAGTTGCTCCATCGTCGGCTGTCCCTTTACCTTCGGACACGCATAGGCGTGGTGTGTGCGTGCCGTGATTCCACCTAAGTATTGGTGGTGCGTCGCATTGTTTATAGCCACTTCTCCTCTTTCCCGACAAGAGAACCGCTGAATACAAATTGCTTAACGCAGAGAAAAAGAAAGAGAGATAAAGAGGGGACCTCTCTCCTTTCGTTCCCTATCTTTTTCCTTCTTTCTCTTTACCTGAGCAAGCGAAAAAGAGTGGGGGAGGGAGAGAAAGAGAGAGAAAGGGAGAGAGAGAGAGAAAGAGAGAGAAAGAGAGAGAGAGAGAGAAACTATCGCCTCCGGGATGTGTCGACGGTCGTTTACGCCGTCTTCCTCGACCCTCTCCTCTCTTCTTCTCATAACTCCGTTCGATGCACGATGCACTTGGTACATAGATATCTACGAAAGTCGAAGAACGCTTTCGAGCCTTTTCTCTCTCTCTCTCTCTTTCTCTCTCTCTCCCTCTCCCTCTGTATCTATCCATCTATCTCTTTTCTCTCTTCTACGTCACCGGTTGCGGATTGTTAACGAGCCGTGTAGCGATAAAAGTTTACCGACGAACGACGACGGTGAAAGAACCGTTCGAAGGCTCGCGCGCAAACGGCTCTCGAACGATTACGTCGATTCGTTTCGATCCAACCTACCAGCTCCTCCAACCTACCAGCTCCTCCAAGCTCTTCCACCTCCTTTCCATCATCTCTTGACGGGGACGAGATACCATCTTAGCCCACCCGCTCTTATCAATTGCAATCCTAAGAAATTCTTTCGAAAGGCTCGCTCGCAAATTCATTGATGAATATATACGTACATATGTATATTCATCAGAATAAGAGAGAAAGAATCTTTCGAGGCAAAGAAATGTTAAGGGTAAATACTAGAGAGTCGAATTCTTGTAGAATAAAGAAAGCAAAGATGATAGCTTTTCATTTCCAAGCAGAAGATGATTCGATGCGAAGAAACGGAGCCGGTAGAATATCCATGGTGGAAAGAGCCGTAGGCGTCTCGACGCTCGCCACGTGGAAAGTAATGGTAACGAAGGTCACCGGGGGTCTTCCATAGATCTTGTTTGGAAGTCGTTAAAGTACCTCTTCCCGGAATTTCTCCGTATATCGGGGTAAAGATCGCATCGCGAGGCTCTCTCCCCCTCTCTCTTTGGATCCCATCCGCTTTGCAATTCCGATCTTGCACCTCGATAGTTACCTCCGCTGGCGAGGTGCCCCGTCCTCGTTTTTGGTACCACCATCGTCTTTTCTCTCTTTCTCTTTCTCTTTCTCTTTCGCTCGTCTTCTCGCGACTACTTCGACTCGCCTCCGGCGAGCTTACCGTCCGATCGGGTTATCGCACCTAAGCCGATCGCGTTAGAATCGCTTCGATCTGCTCGATTATTTTTTCCTATTTTTCATTTGGGAAAAATGCCCTCATTTTTCAAAAGGTTCGTTTTTATTTTCTACGATCATTGAATCTCCTTTTTTTAGGGACAGGAAACACGGCCACGGACAACGCGTACAAACCATCCTTTTTAACGGATCAGGAGTTGAAACATCTGATCCTGGAAGCCGCCGATGGGTTTCTTTTCGTCGTGAGCTGCGACAGCGGTAGAATCATCTATGTTTCCGATTCTGTCGCGCCCGTTTTGAATTACACGCAGAGTGATTGGTACGGGACGAGTCTATACTCGCAAGTACATCCGGACGATACTGAAAAAGTACGGGAACAGCTCAGCGCCGCGGAACCTCAGCAGGGTGGAAGAGTATTGGATCTCAAGACCGGGACGGTCAAGAGAGAAGGTCAATGTAAGTTAAGGGCGCGTCGGCGGCCAAATTATTCCCTACCAATTGATAAAGTTAACTTTCGCCAAAATCTCTTATTCTATAATCGTTATGTCATAAATATTATTACAGCGTCGATGAGATTGTGTATGGGCTCGAGAAGAGGGTTCATTTGTCGAATGAAAGTTGGAAATCTACAGACGACGGGTGATATGGCAGCCGCTCACGGTCTTCATCGTATAAAGCAAAGAAATTCGTTAGGTCCACCCGCTCGGGATGGGCAAAATTACGCTGTAGTTCATTGTACAGGGTACATCAAAAATTGGCCCCCCACCGGTGAGTTTGGCTTCCAATATTTCATCGTAATCGTCGACGCGACATAACGGTCGCGACAGCGCGACGTAGCGCCAACTTTCTATTTTAAAGCGAGGGAGACGCGTTGTGCTCGGAGAATATGAACGAACCTACGATTCGTAGAATGCGCCGATACCGAGGACGTATGTTGTACATACCTCCTATAAATTAAGCATCTCTCGGCGATCGCACGGAAAGGACATAAACCGAGGCACGTCGATCCCTCGGAATAAGCAGAATCGTTTTGACCTGACGATATTTCTTTCGAGCGAAGGAAAATAGCAGCCTCTCTCTCTCTCTCTCTCTCTCTCTCTCTCCCTCTCTCTCTCTCTCTCCCTCTCTCTCTCTCTCTCTCTCTCTCTCTCTCTCTCTCACTCTAACCGATCGGGGAATTAAGTGGAATTTCATATTCACGCTACATTTCCTTGGAATTATTACTATTATTAGTTTCATCGTTTCATTTATTCGTGTTTTGGCAATGCGACATGATGCTCGTTAGAATTCCCGATTAAGAGTTTAGATTTGTGTAACATCTTTATGTTACCGATCAATGGAAGAATCGTTTATTGATTCACGGTTTTACGCTGTAGGTGATTTTGTTCCCCCATGTGTACCAGGTGTGGGTCTAGCTGACAGAGGGCCCGGGGCCGTTCAAACAGGACCCGATGGTGTAGTTACGGACGAAAGTGCATCTACGCATTGCTGCCTCGTCGCCATTGGGCGATTACAGGTTACTAGTACGCCAAATACGAACGATTTAGCGGGTTCTAATAGCAATAGCGGTAAGAAGATCTCTTTCGTCACTTTCTTCTCCATCTTTTTTAATACGCGGTCTATTTTACGTTTAACGATCTCTATGTTTTAGAATTTATTTCACGTCACTCTGCGGAAGGTACGTTTACCTTCGTGGACCAAAGAGTCGGTGGAATATTGGGGTATACGCCCTCGGAACTTTTAGGGCATAAATGTTATCAATTCTTTCATCCGGAGGATGAAACCCATATGCGCGAAAGCTTCGAACAAGGTAACGCGAAATCTTTCGTTCGTTCGTTCGTTCGTTCGTTCTACGTATGAATTTGCACGATACGTTTCTAAACGCAGCAATAATTTTTTTTTTATTTAGTTTTGAAGCTGAAAGGACAGGTGGTTTCTGTGATGTATAGATTTCGAGCTAAGAATCGTGATTGGGTGTGGTTGAGGACATCGGCTTTTGCGTTTTTAAATCCATTTAACGACGACGTGGAGTACATCGTTTGCACGAACTCTCATGCGAAGTACGACTCTTTTTTTTTTTTTTACAATGCGGCGGTTCTAAAAAATAAATTTATCGAACATGTTTTTAATGATATATCCGACGATCGAAGGTCATTCCACTCTGGTAGCGATGGGCAAACGGAAAGCGAAGCCGTACCTGCCTACGGACAACCTGGTTTAGATTACTCCCTTCAGAGACATCCCACCAGGGATCCTATATACCCAGCGCATCATATGATGCAACATCCAGCGGCTGTCGCCGCAGCTGGTAGGGGAAAACTTTTACATACTTTCTATCGGTTACAAACGTCTTGTATAAGTCGACGATTTCTAATGCGACGACTATATTTTAGGTCCACAGCAACCTAGGCCGTCCAGTACACAAAATGTTTATCAAGGGTACGAGACAACGCAGTCACCTATAGCTTACGGTTCACCTGGTCAACAAAGTACAACTTCTTCTGTATTAAGTAGAATTCAAAAACCTGCAAATACATCTCCGACTCCTGTACAACAAGCATGGGCCATAGGTCGTCAGGTAAAAAAGAAGAAGAAAGAAAAAAAAAAAAAAAAAAAAAAAAAAAAGAAAAAAGAAAATTATTAACGAGTTGTTAATGCGAAAATGCTCGTGTATTTAATGAGTTTCTATTTCAAAGAACGAAAATGATATGTTGCGCGTTAACTCGTTGCAGCAACCTGTAACGGAAGGGTATCAGTACAGTCAATTAAGTCCGTCAAGGTCACCAAGTGGACCGACATATACGCAATTGAGTAGTGGTGCTAGAACACCGGCTACGCAATATCACGCAGTCACGACAGTGCCTAATAATCCGGGTATGAATCGACGTATTAGAATATTTATATTTATTAATTAATTTTAGAGACTTTCGCTGATTCCTCCTTATATTATTCATAGGTATGTGGGGATGGCAAGGTCAACAACATCAAACACCGCAACAAGATGCTGCACAATCAAATCCACAAGTTGCCGGTCAAACGCAACCACCTCATCCTACACAAGCTGGTGGTCCTGGCACGCAACCTCAAGAGCTCTCAGATATGTTGCAAATGTTACAAGACCAAGGTGGCGCATCCGGATTCGAGGAGTTAAATATGTTTAATACCAATTTTGAGTAACGACCAAGGACGAAAATTGCTGACAGTCTTACATCTTAAAAGACTTAAGGTTCAAATCATTTTTGGATTATTCTAAGCATCGTAATCCACGCTCTTACTCGAGCATTTCGACCTGTGCAAAGTTTATGATCAGCACCTTCTATAGATATATCCTACATGAGCGTTAAGTTACTATCGATTGGAGTATCCTGATTATTAGGTCCTAATCGATTAGTTCTGTTCGCATGCATTTCAGATATTACATTCTTTTGATAACTTTTTCTTTTCTTTTCAAATTATGTTCTCGAAATCGTATGAATTTTAAAATGCATTCTTAAGATCGGTGGTTATTATTTAGCAAAAGTGCCATTAGAGAATGCTTGCTCTTATAATGTGTTTTTATCAGATGTTTTAACGGAAATAGAAAAAAAAGAAAAACTAATAATTATTAACATGGACATAATTATATGAAGATATCGAGAGATTTCATTCTACTTTAATGTAATTATGAATTCTATGATTTCAGGTAATGCGATTTGCAAGAGCGTGAATCCATTATTTTATAGTCAATATGATCTAATAATTTGCAAAGGAATGATAAACTTTGTGTTTTATTAATTCAGTCTGTATCTCTCTCTTTCTCTCTCTCTCTCTCTCTCTCTCTCTCTCTCTCTCTCTATCTCTCTCTCTATCTATCTATCTATCTATCTATCTATCTATCTATCTATCTCTCTCTCTCTCTCTCGAAGTAGTTTATTATTTTGAAGCTTACAGTAGACATTGTGCGATGTGTTCAGAAGAGAGAAGCCTGCTTTACATGGCATATATAAATACATATACACGTGGTATATACGATATGTAACATTTCAAATCTTCTGAAATCATCGATGTCTAACTTTATCTGTCCTTGTTCAAAGAGGTAGTGTTATATGATCTTTTTATTCATTAGACTATTATTTCATTTCGAATGCCTTACGAATTCTTTAAAAAATGCGAAATAGGAAATGTGTTATTTGATTATTGAAAAAGGTATATTTTAAAAAAAGAAAAAAGAATAATCAATCAAAAATCTATGCAAATCATGATCATTTTAATACCAGCTTATCGGTAGGCACATAAGGTTAGCTTAATTATTTTTTAATTTAGATATTTGTAATTATAAACAGTGCAATCATAAATCAACATTTGACAGAAATTGTTCAAACTTGACAATGTACAAAATTATGTAACCCACTTTGCTTCTCTGTGCAAAACACCATTTTTAGATATTCTTAAAGAAAAATATAGATAATGTTATACATATAAATAATTGCATTTATAAGTAACCACGTGTGACTTAGTGCATTTGTACATGTTTAGCAAAAATTTCGATAAGCAGATCAAAACAAAATTACGGCATATCATGATGAATTGGGAACATTTTTCACTAATATACGAGGTATACACATATATACGATTTTTTTTGTTCTTTTTACAATCAATCATCCTGTACGAATGTAGTTCCAACATTACCTCCGACAATAATTATAATAGCGAAGAGACGAAAGATATCAAAATGTGTAGGCAACAGTTGATTAAATATCTTGTATTTAATATTGATATCTTTCAAAATATTTCAACTCTTACTCTCATACTCACGAAAGATATTCCCCCCGTTCCTACACGACCCCACATACATACTATATTTATTTTATCATCGAATCACAATTTCAAACGATCTTGAATGAGCGACCAAAAATAGAAAAAATCCAATTAAATTTCATTTAATATATATATACATATACATATGTACATGTATATATATATATACATATATATATATTGTATTTACATAAAATATTTACAATTTTAATCTGACAGCGGACAAAGCTTTTTTATTTTTTTCTTTCGACATTTGATGATTTACTTTCGACTTGACGTGACTTTTAACTTGGTCCTGTAGCTGAGTAAAGAACTTGCTCGAAGATTTTGTGACTTTACCAATCGTCTCATCCACCATCGTAATATTCCTATCCTTGCTCAATTTTTTCATCAAAAGAACGTTTTTGTCCTTTTTATATTTTTTCTCGATTCCCGGTTTGATCGCATTTAATTGCTCTTTTCTTTCCCTATCTTTTTGTCGTTCCTTTTGTTTCAACTTCTTCCTTCGTCTTTCGCGTTTCATGTCGGTGATCGTTCGCTCCGATTTACCGATAACATCGCCCCGTGGTTTTTCTACAAAAATAAGAAATAAAAATAATAATAATCTTGTAATATTTTTTAAATTTGATACATCGAAACGATATAATCAATGTTTTTCAATGACATACCTCTAACTTCTTCAGGTGCTAATAAGGCAGCATCGCTGGTAGCTATCGGCGCCACTTCTTCCATATTGATGGCAGGAATGTTACTTATAATTTTAATTTCAGGCTGGGCCTACAAAGAAATGAACTTGCACATATTTCTTGTCCTTTAAATATTACAAAAAGTATCTATATAATAAAATCAATTGGGAATATTATACGTACTGCTTTTGGAGTATAATGGAAATTGGACAGTGCGTCCAATTTGGAGAATAAAGAATGCATCATCTCGCGAATTTCAACTTGCGCTTTCGGCTCTTCTTCCTCTACTTCTTTGGTTTCCGGATTTGAGGCTTGTTTTTGCTTGAGATATTCGTTCTCATAAATTTGTGACAAACTTTCTTTGCTCTTTTCCTGATTTAATATCAACTTTTTCTTATATTCCAAGGGTGTCTCAACGGGTTTGAATTTCTTTTCGACGTCGTCCCATGCCTTGTCCTTTATTCGTTGCTTAATTAAATCCTCCAGTTTGAAAGTAGTCTGTTCGGTGATAACAGGAGGTGGCCTGGAGGTAACGTCAAACTCCACATATTCTTCCAATAAAGAGTTTGGCGGTCTGAGAGCAGCATTTACTTCTCCCTTCAATTGCCAAGGCTTTTCAGCTAACGCTTCTTCTTCCAGTTCTTGAATCCTCTGTTGCAAACGTTCCTGACGCGCTTCAAGGGAGGATTTAATTTCCAAATTCTTCTGCTTATTATCTACTTTATTTTCTAAGCTATCTGTTTCGTCCGAATCGTTTGTCAGATTGAACTTAACTCTTTTAGTAAAAGGTCTTAATTCAGTACCATTTTCTCTCTCAACGTCGGTACCTTCTAATTCGCTATTGTCCAGCGATTCCTCATCATCATCATGATCGTTACGAAAGGAAGATGATACTTTATTGTCGTCGCCATCGTCCTCGCTATTCGGATTATCAAAAAAGTCGGCATATTTAATGAACTTTGCATCCTCCGTAAAATCGCATTCGTCTTCTGACAAATCGTTAAACAAATCAAGAGATTCTTCGTCGTCATCGTCCGATTCATTCGTGTCTCTCTTGTTTAGTTTTTCTCTTCTATCCTCATTGGTAAGATATTCATCTAATTCTTGTAATTTAAAAAATTTATCATCGACGATAGACTTTCTTTTGCGTTCTTTTATCCTCTTTATCTTTTCGAAGCTATTCTTACATTCTTCATCTTCTTTCCCTTTCGCTCGTCGATGTTGTATTACGCTCGATGCATTCTCAGCTTTATCGTCCCGCTCTCTGTTCTCTTCTCTGGATTCAGGCTTCGTGGTAGAGATAGGTAACGTTAGTGCTTTCTTACCGGCTAACAATTTGGATATGCCACTTAAAAAATGTATCAATTCTCCTTCATTCTGTAACTCCAATTGTTGCCAAATTTGTTCCTCGTCAAAACCATCGGTCAACAGCTCTGGCAAGGCGTTCGTATTCCTTTCCGTTTGTTCTTTCGTAAAATCGTAGAGCTGCTTCATAGTATTTTTGAAATTAACCGCAACACCATTCTGTACACTTGATTGAAATAAATACTTTATTAGTTTATATAATTATTTAAGTAACGTTCATTGTAATTGGTTATATTAGATATACCTTAGAAATTCTTCAGGTTTCCGCGTGTTGTCGTCGATCGCAGATATAACCTTATTAAGAATTGTGCCTTGAGCCATTATTATATCACATTCGATATAATAAACGTTAAATAAATGTTAAAGTTTGCGAAAAGAAATAGGTTAGAAACATCGCGGGTGGCCACCTGTACGGATTATAAGAAAATCATAGAAACGTAACCTTAACGTGGGCATTAGTAATTGATGCGATGACAAAAGATTAAACGCGATTGGCCAAATGGCATCCCCTTTTGGCCAATAGAAAACGTAAGCGACAGTATCGAAGACTGGTGGCAACAAAAGGAACAAGGACTGCGTCCACCGTGAAGTTGCATCGTTCGAGTTGTACCTAATAATTTTTATCATTATTTTTATCGAATTAATTTAATACTTTCAACGTACGAAAGGAGATATAATTTTATAGTCTATTTATAATCTTTTATATACTCTTGCAATTTGTCGTTGGTGACGAAGAGGCAAATCGTAATAAGTTGAAAAACAAGACAGTCTTACTATAAACTTTTCATTCATATTTCTTATACGCGCTGGATCGTATCTTACGAACGACCACAGGGAGCTCGAGTATTTATGAAAAGGATCGCTCGATTAATCGTATGATTCGTTTTGATTTTATTTCAGATAAAATCAAAATGAAGCTGTCGATTCGGGTGGACGACAGATGGCGCGCCAACTAATAATCGAAATGCGCGCCGTTAAGTATAAAAGTTGGAAGGGAGAAAAAAGGTGGGGAGTTTAGTTTACCGGACAGGAAGAGAAGAGTGGGAATGGCAAGTCGGTCGAGCGGGCGAATACGAAAGCGACTCGGAGACATTGGCGCAGACCTCCTTAGTTGTTCGGGCACGGTCGAGCACACTAACGGATAGGAAAATTGACGTACGCCGCACGCCGCACGCACGCCGCACGCACGCGCGTCGTTCACCGCTGCCACCGCTGGATTCGTCCTCGTGCGTCTCCTATTTCGAACGAGTTTAGTAGCGGTATTCCGTATTCTGTGCGCGAGTGCCGCGATAAATCTTTCGGAAGGACGTGAAGATCGAGAGAAGCCGTACGAGGATTTGTGAAGTAATTCTCTTTTCTCTCTCTCTCTCTCTCTCTCTGTCTGCTCCATCCTTTCTTTCTCTCTCTCTCTCTCTCTCTCTCTCTCTCGATCTCTCTCTCTCTCTCTCTCTCTCTCTCTCTCTCTCTCGATCTCTCTTCGTTTCACGGGTAGATCAAGTCTTAAACGCTGGTGTTTCTTTCAAGTGCCTCCACCGGTTTTTGGGTTATCGAGGATTTCTTCTCCGTTCGGAAGCCAACGGACCGGATTTTTCGGATAAGATCGAGGCACGAGAAGCGAAGGTAAGATTTCGTTCCAATTTTCAACGCGAACTTTTTTATTTCTCGCGGAAAAGCAAGTTCGGGTTAAACGATTTTGCTTGAAGTTAGTGTTGTGTGTGCGTGTGTGTATGAGTGCGCGCGCGCGCTCGATACCCAATGGAATTCGACGTGTTCGGCCTTCCTCTCCTTCGGCGCTCCTTCGAAAGTCTCTCTTTCTCTCTCTCTCTCTCTCTCTCTTCTACGCCATTCGAATCGCGAAACGCGCGCGTCCGTGTTCTCTCTCTTTTTTTTCTCTCTATCGTGAGACTCTCGCAAGGACGAAGCTCGCGACGCAGTCGTAAACGCGGAAGGAAAAACATATATGTATATATATATATATATATATACACATACATACATATACACGCACACAGAACACGCGCGTATACATTCATTCGTACGTACGTACGTAGACAGACCGAGAGCTGTGTATAATTCGCGATCGTGTGTCTTAACCGGTAATAAGAGATTTCTTCACGCCTTCGACGATACGAGCAACTTTTCGAGATTTATTCGACAATCGTATCGGAGTAGGTACGTACGTGCCTTGTCGAAAGTACACGCTTCGAAATTTATCGCTCTCAAACAGGTTGTATATATATCTACGTGCGTACGTACGTTCTCGCGTTTATAAGTTTATCCGTTCTTTTTTTCCTTTTTCATTTTTCCTTTCTTCCTCGTCGTCATTCTTCGTTTTCTTAATCGCATCGCAAAATTTTGACGTTACATTCGCATTTCTAGAATCACCGACGCGTCACTCCGACGAATATCGTGTTTCTTTATTTCCTTTTTTTTTTTTTCTTTTCGACTCACGAATTAATCCATTCTCCAATGGAAATTTCGAGAAAGAAGAAAAAAGCGATAACGATTTGTACTCTTATACGACATATGTAGACGAATTTTTCTAAAGAGAGATAACGACTTAGAAGGTCGTTTAGAAACCTCTTTATCAAGAGTACACATCGTTGAAATAGTCGATAATAGTCGCTATATCGTTGGATCCTACGATTTGGATCGTCGTTGTTAGTTCGGTTTGGATCGTTAGGCGGAGAATTCAAAAACTCGATCCTGGAAAGCGGATCGTCTCTCTACTCGAATTATCCGAAGGAACGTGCCTAC